GGAGCTCTAGGGACCCTTAAGAGTGGATATAGGGTATACAGTAGGTATTTAGGGACCCTACACCCGAAAATTCCGAAACCGAAGCCCCAAGACCCAAAAACCTGAGACCCTAACGCTTTGGTGAAACCTCATCGTGCAGAATCCTCATTCACAATGATCTAAACCAAGAAAAACTCCGCACCCGAGCCTTGGGCGCCGCCTTTTTCTGCTTCTTATCCTCCTCCGCGGGGGGCTCCGACTCGCTGTCGGACTCGGCAGCCAGAGAGTTAAGTTGGGGTTTAATTTAGGGGCCTAAACAATTAAAAATACTATTTTAGGGGTTCCTTATTATACTTACAGATTAGGGTTTGGGATATAAGGGTTCCCACCCAATAGACCAGCGAAGTCAGAAAAGTAACAAATCCCTTTTTTTTTATAAAAAGAACGATATGTCTATAACAAAAGTCAAAACGCGATTTGACTATGTGAGTTAACTTCGAAGTGAGTAGTTATTTTTTGTGCGTTTACTTTGAAGTTAGCACGCCGCCCCCCGCAAAGTCAAAACAGAGTTTACTTCATACTAAAAATTTTCGCTTCGAAGTAAACTCGGGAAGGGGAAACTGCTACTGAAACTGCTTCTAAACCGCTTCTGTGGCCGGCCGAAACTGCTACAGAGATTTTGGTGTATGTGTCGGTCTGCCATGTACACTTGAGTTGTTTTTTGCATGTACGTACCCATATTCGTTGCCGGAAATAATGCAAAAAACATGAAGAGCAGTTTCGTGGAAGTTTTGATTTCGGCCCCTTGAAACTGCCACTCAGGGTGAAGCAGTTTGGAAGCAGTTTCAGAAGCAGTTTAGAGGAAACTTCCACGAAACTTCCTCTAGCAGTTTTGCACCGAGTTTACTTCATAGTAAAAAATTTGGCTTCACGAAGTCACTTTGATGCCACGCATTTTAACTATTTTCTACGCCCGGTTTTAACTTCGAAGGGAAAATTAAGATGAACCGAAGTCAAAATTTTTACTATTGACTATTTCCTGCTTTTTTGACTTCGCTGGTCTATTGGGCAGAGACTCCAATATCCCGTAATTAAGGAAAACTCCGTGAATCATATTGGGGATCCTACTAGATTTTAAACGTATATTCCTTAGTTAAGGCATATTGGAGTCTCTGGGTTCAGGGTTGGGGTTTAGGGTTTGAATGTAGCACTTCGGACTTAGAGCTCAGGGTGTAATTTTCGGGTTTGGGGTTGAACGTTTCGGGTGTGGGGTTAGGGCGTCGGGTTTATGGGCTGAGCGTTTCTAGTTTATAGGGTTATAGGGTTTAGGATGTAGGCTTCGCGTGTAGGGTTCAGGTTTCGGGTTTAGGGCTCAGGGTTAGGGCTTAGGGTCCAGGTGTCGAGTTCAGCCTCTGTGGCTTGGTTCACATCCTCGATCAGACCCAGCGGTTTGGCATTTGTCTTAACCCGCCTGGCCGTGTCTCATTACCCTAAGGGTCCATGCACCCAAATAGTATATACTTTGGGCCCAATCTACCCATACAGGGAGTACTTTAAGGCGAGTGTATATACTATTTAAGCACATGGACCCTTTGGGTTAGCTGCTCATTAGCTCTCAGACTCAGGCCGTCTCTTCGTTGCTAGCCGTGACGGTATGAGTTCTCAAGTGCCATCAAAACATCATCCTGCAATCATGCAGCGACTAAAAGGCAACACTACTCCTACTTATTCAGATCCCTATAACGGGGTCGGTCCTAAGAAATGATCCGATACGAACCTGCCCATCCTGAGCTAAGACGCTGCTGTGCCGTAAACCCTAAGCCCTGAGCTCTAAACCCTACTTGTCGGGTATCATGGGGAACTAAAGGTTAACCTTTTTGATTATGTAGGGGTATACGGGTATTATACTACCCCACTTTATGTTATTTCCAAGTGCGCAACTACGTGAACCCACCGCAAACCTTGCCCGAACCCAACGCAGCTACCTTTCAAGGACTTATATACGGAAAACATAAGAAGGAACGCTTTAGGTACTTCTGAATAACAACACCTCGCTATAGAAACCTACAGCCTCCACCCACCATCCTCCACCCCAAAAACACCAGCTCCGTGTCCTTCCCTGCAAGTTTACGGCTCAAAGCTCTGCACGATGGCTCAAGGAACATGAAACAATCCGGGTTCTTGGCTTAGAGCCTTCAGATACGGGTCCCGTAATTAAGTCTCGGGAGCTTCCAGCAACCCTTATAATAGTATGACGGAAGCTAACTTGAAACCATGCTGGTAAGGGTCCTTTAGGATCTTTTCTATGAGGGTGCCGTCCTACTGTAGTTTGTGAACCTAGAAGGAGACCCTAATTTAGAGAACTACCAAGATCTACCTGAGAAAAGATAGCGATAGTACTAGTTCGATATTCCACCTCAAAACAATTATCGATGGTCTTGACAAATTATACCCCCATAATAACGCAGAGTCTCTTCTTCCAGATATACGGTCTATATCATCAACCGTAGCCCTATACCCATACCCTAAACCTTCTTCTTCCATATGTATGGTGCATATCATCAACCGTAGCCCTATGCCCTAGACCCTAAACCCCTGAACCGTAGTTCTATATGAATGGTTGTCAAAATGATGGTCCCTTTTGGGGTACCCTAAATAACAGGTGCTGCATGATATTAGGGACCCCAAAAAAGGGATCCTCATGATGACAACCACCCATATGAATGGTTTTTTGCAGTCTCTTGACTGGCTGGGAGCTCAGACGTCCGAAGAGGAGGAGCTCTTCTTTCTCTTCTTCCCCATGCCGCACCTGCGCATATATATATATATATATATATATATATGTATACACATACAGTTACATATATATATATATAAATGAAAATGCAAAGAACTACATGAACAATACATATTAAATAGAACACATGTGTATATATATATATATACATGTATATATATATATATATATATATATATACATATGTATGTATACACATGCACATTGGCTATGTCTCTATATACATGTATATATATATATGTATTTATATATATATATATACATCTATATATGCATGCAGAGGAAGTCAGGCACGCGCATACGCATGTGCACCAGAACAGACCTGCTTTGCCTCTCCACCTGCTTTCTGACATACCGGCTCAAGCTTGTTCCGATTCAGGCTTCTCCTGCTTCCGCAAAGGACCCCTAAACCCTGAACCCAAGACCCGAACGACGAGCAACACAGGGGCCCCTCATGTTCCTTTGGAGGCCATACTTGCGATACAGATCCTGAGCCCTAAACCCGTAGAAACCTGCGACCGCCGCATTCCTGGATCCCGAAACCGTAATGCCCCAATCATGCCGCAGGGTCTGGGATTTGGGGCTGTCACACCCAATCCACACAAGCCCTAAAGCCTGAACCCTAAACTCTCCAACCAGGAAACCGACACCCTGAGCCCAACGGGCCGCATCTGCTAAATCTCGCGCTTCCGCAAACCCTGACCCGTAACAGCCAACTGTTCCACAAGCCCTAGTGGCTTAAGGCAGGGTGTAGGGCTTGCACCGCAAGCCTCTAAACTTCGAATCCCTTAAGTGTAAAGAAACTCCCTAAAACTCTCAACGCTGCCTGTGCCCCAGCGCAGCTCTGGAGAGCTAGCTCCGGAGGTCCAGCCGAAATCAAGCAGTGCACAGGCTTGGGTGCTCAAAACTGCAAGCTTTTGGGATTTTGTGTTCTAGATTCCATGATGGTAGGGGTAAGTGTAGGCGGTATGTGGTTAGGGTTGCAGGCTATGAGCCTTGGGCTTAGGTTTGAGGTTTACGGTTGGGGTGGCTTTCGGGGTTTGCGGGTGGACGCTCTGTTCTTGTTGAAGTTCAGTTTAAACTTCATGTTGATGACGACAGCGTTGCAATTCGGTGAATAGACGGCCACGACGACGACGATGCCCAGCATAACAACTACGACTACGACTACATAAGACGACATAACGAGACAATGACGTCGCTAGCAATGGCTATAGTGCCAGTAGCCACCTTGTAAGTTTAGCAATTGCCTGAACGTAAAGGCAGTATGCCAAGCACCTGCAAGAGTCGCAACATTAAAAGTAACAGAGTAAGAAGTAATGTAGTAGTCTGGCAATACAGTAATTGTACTTGTAATTCTATCAGTAATCGTAATCAGTAAATGGAAATAGTAACTGTGTTTAGAAGTGTACTAACCAATGAAGTAACAGTAAGTGGCAATAGGATTTGTAGTACGACAAAACAATACTAACTATCGTACTGTACTAGTACTAGTTACAGCTATGAGAAAGGAAACCCAAAACAAGCAGAATGATTAACACAATAATGGTAGCAACCATGATATCGATCGTCGCTATAATCGTGGTCAACCCAAAGCCCCAATGCTGTGAGCAATTGACACACACACACACTCTCTCTCTCTCTCTCTCCCTCCCTCTCTCTCTCTCTCTCTCTCCCTCCCTCTCTCTCTCTCTCTCTCTCTCTCTCTCTCTCTCTCTCTCTCTCTCGACTGTCGCATTCATTTTCGCGCCTCATTGGCCCTCTGCGAACCTGCTCCCCGCAGGCCATGGGGTAGTGAGGAAACCAAGGGCATTTGTGGCTGTTGAACGGTCTTGGGGCTTGAGGATTAGGCTGTGGGTCAGAATTATACAGTGCATGGGGCGTCTGCAGGGGATCAACCCTATAAAGCTTAAATCCTGGACCAACTGGGCTTGCAGACGAGGCTTCAACCTCCGCGAGTATATAGGGACTCGGGTACCCCCAACAGCTTAGAAGTCTCCTTACTTACTCGACCTCAGACTTTTGATACTTCCTTAAGCCCTGCACCCCATCTAGGATACCCAGTAACCTAAGAATAAAAAGGCCTCTCTTTTTGGTATTGGGTAACTTTATAAGGAACCTAGGACTACAAAAAAGGGAATAAGGGTACTACTGGGCATCCTGGTTTTGATACTTCCTTAAGCCCTGCACCCCATTCGTCTCTCAGAGATTCCCAGGGCGGAGTTCATGCTTCGACTTGGCCAAGGCGTGTCTGCTCCTGCGGAAGGAACTGTGTTAGAATATAGGAGTCAGGGTTTAGGAGTTATAGGGTTTAAGAGTTATAGGGTTTAGGAGCTATAGGGTTTAGGAGTTATACAATAGAAGCCTAAAAGTTGGAAAACCAATAGCCCCTATCCTTAAGAGTAATGTATACGGAATCCCAGCACTATTTCGCCTTACTCCGGTTTCCAACTTTAATAGGGTTTACTGTAAACCGAACGGTCGGGGGTTCAGCCTTGACAGTGTAGGGCTCATAGGGCTTAAGCTGCAGAGTGTAGGGTTTAGGCAAGCCCAATCTACTATTTGCTTAAGAACCCACAAAAAATAAAAAATGTATTCCTTATGGGGGTAATATAGGGATTATTATTTTTATTTTTTGGGTGTTTCTTAAGCAAATAGTAGCAATCCTAGCCGTAGATCCGGAACCCTGAACCCTCAAGGGTTCACGTTTCGGATGATGATCACGAAACCGTCAACTAGACCCAAGAGTAACCTAGGAATAAAAAGGGTGCCCCTTTTTGGGGTAAAGGGGGTTATAAGGGAACCTAAACCCATAAAAAAGGGAATAAGGGCCTACTCTGGGTCCTAGAAACCGTCAAACAGTCGTCAAACCACCGGCCCCATCGGCTTCCAAACAGCCGACACTTACCCGTGCAACAACCCAAAGCCCTAACACCAAATCCCTGCGTCACTTGAGCATCCCAAACCCCAGAAGACCTGAGAAAAGAAACGTTGACCCAGACACTACGCCCCAAAACCCAAAGTTGCAAACCCAACCTTACCCTTACAGCCCTATACCCTAAACCCACAAGAAATGTACATCCGGCCGTCCTAGACATATACAGAACCATGGATGCACGCACGAAATCCCGATTTGTGAAAAACCTGCCTGTGCCGCGACTGGCTTGAGCTTTATACTAGGACGAATCAAGGGCTTAGCATGTCGGAATTACGGCTGGAGCTCTGAGACCACAACTGTTGGGTTTCGCGTTCGGTCACTGGGGGCAGGCTTTAGGTGAGGATTCAGGGATTCCTAGTACTAGTTGTATAAGGCAAGCTCGGGCAACCCTGCACCATCGAGGTGTCGCTGACACTCTGCACCCCAAGGACCCAGCCCGAACCGTCTTGCCTTCAAAGCTCCTTATCTGTGCACTCTGCATACTACAACGGTCTGGCTAATTCTGCATGATAATCATATTCCTTTATAGCCCGTGCTTACTTGTACCAAGCAGCCAGGTCCGTATGTCGCATTCCCAAACCCCTGTGACAAGTCCTCGATCACCTTCCTGGCCTCTGCACGAGGCACCTGAGCATTTCGTACCCAGGCCGGGGCCGTGATACGGTTGATGATATTATATATCCTGCATTACTCATAATAAGGAATAGACCATAATTCTCATAGTTTAAGGTCCTTAAGGTAATGCAGGATTTATATCATCCACCGTAGTATAACATAGGATGCACGGCGTGCAATTCTGTTTTTGGGCTTGGGTGGTTGCAAATCCGTTCCGGGTTTGAAGCCCTCAACTCTCGGCCCAAAGCCCTGAAAGCCTCTATCCCTAAGGCTGCAGTGTTGGTGACATAAATCCTGCATTACCCATGATAAGGAATATACCACAACTCCCATAGTTTAGGGACATTAAGGTAATGCAGGACTCATATAATCAACCCTAGAAACCCCAAACCCTAAAACCCCAGAAAGCCCAAGTTCAGCTTTGAGGGTGGTCGGGGTTTCCGGTCCGGCCCGAGGCTCTTCTGTCTATAGGGCTTGGAGCGCAGGAAAATTTGGGGAGAACCCTAAACACTAAACCCTCAAACCCTAGACCACTAAAACCCTCAAACTTTTGTAAAACCCTAAAACCCTTAAAATGTTGTAACACCCTAAGCCCTAAACCCCTAATTAAACCCTCAACCCTAGTTTGGGCATTCGGGAGGTTTGAAACTTTGGGATCGAGACGTGGCAGTTCGCCCGGGGTAGACTCTGCTCCCGGCTTCCGGTATATAGGTTTGAGGGTTTTTTTCAAGTGCAATGGGGCCGTTGAAGGTTTAGGGGTTTAGGGTTGAAGGTTTAGAGTATCAGGTTTCGGTTTCGGAGTTTTAGGTGTAGAGTAGGAGGTTCGGGGTATATATAGGCGGTTTAACGTATGAGGATTAGGGTCAATACAGTCTACTGTGTGGGCTTCAGGCTTTCGTTTCTAAATCCTTAAGAGCATAATGGCATAAGGTTTATAGGATTAGTTTCGAGTCTAGCGTGTAGGTTTCAGAGCCTCTAAACCCTAAACCCTACACCGTGGCTCGCTTGTAAATCCCTCTCTTGGGGCTGGCATCATATCCCTAAGACTCCATGTGCCGATATAGTCGGTACTTCGGCCTTAAAGGGGTTCCTATATAGGTACTCTAAGGCCTAAGTACCTACTATGTGGGTACATGGAGCCTTCGGGTATGCTGTCTTGAGGATCCAAGCTCCACGCACTCTCGATGCGGCTGACGCGGTTCTTCATGTACCTGACATGAAGACTCAACAGGATAGGGTTCAGGGTTTAGGGTTTAGGGGTTTATGGTTCAGGCTAGGGGTTTAGGGTTTAGGATACCCTGAACCCTAAACCCTAAACTCTGAAACAGTACCCTCCGGACCCAAACCCGAAACCCGTCACCACGTGAACCACACCAGGCCCTGGATCCGGAACTCTACGCAAAAATCCCGCGTGCTCCTTCGAGCTTGATGAGATATAGGAGCAAATAGTTTCGGGCGTGGTTCTGTGACGTCGTCACTATGCCCCTAAGGGTTCCAAAGATATGTTGGAAAGTATAATATACTAACCGTGTACTTGGACCCTTGGGGTCTATATTCAAACGGAGCTCGAAGAGGTTGGCAGCAGAAAATCAGGGTCCTAGCGTCCGGGTACCATGACTTAGAGCTCATCCTCTTTCGCGTGGGTCTTGCCCAGCTCCGAACCTTACGGTTTAGGGTTTAGGGTTTTGGGATGTTCTGGTTCAGGGATGTACCATTCCTCAAAGCCAATCTCCAACCTCAATCGCACAATGTTGGTACTTGGGATCCTTTGGGTAGGCCCTATTCCCCCTAGACCCTAAACCCCTAAACCCTAAACAGATACCCTGCTTCGTGAAGCTTCTGGCCGGCGCACACGCGGTAGAAACGATCTGCAGTTTCGATGATCTCAGGCCGGAAGGTCGTGAGAACCTGGAGTGTAGGGTGGTGGGCTGAACTTCAACCTTGCAATCCTCAAGCCCTACGGTAAGCCTTCAAATCCGCGACCCTGACATTCGAAGAAATAGGAAAACGGCTCTAGCAGGAAGCATTGTAGGACCAAGATTCGTGCTTCGTTTTGAGGTTGAGCTCCATGGGACATGGACGTGGAACAAGAGATCTATAAGGGTTTCCTACAGGAGACAGGACCTACGCAAACTCCCGAGGCCTGTGAGTTGAGGCGCTTCCCTGGTTTCCTTCTTGTTGGTTTCGGAAAAAGGTGTCGGGTTTAGGGATTCCTGTCTAGGTCAGGGACGGGGGGAGCGCCTTTGACAGGAAGGCCTAAAGGTGCTGTGAAGCTAAGTGTACTGGCTCCGTGCCTCCTCCACGGCAGTGGGCTCTCTAGACTTCAAGTTTCCTTCGGCACGGCGCTGCATGTTTCACTGGTTCTTGATGCTGCTCCTGCCCTAAACCCTAAACCCCTATAAACCCAAACATCTCCAAACCCTAAACCCTAAAAACCTAAACACCTAAAGTAAACTGGCAAGCTTCTGGATCATGCATGTCAGCTCCTCTCGCTACATCCAGCGATCCCCGGCAGCTGAATCCGCTTCCCAGAGACCCCAATATCCCTTACTTAAGGACTATATATATATATATATATATATATATACATATATATATATATATATACATATATATATATATATATATACACACACACCTAAAACTATAGTACGGTCCCTAATCTGATTCAAGGAATATCTCTTACTTAAGGAATACACCTTAAACTATAGTAGGGTCCCTAATATGGTTTAAGGAATACTCCTCAATTAAGGGATCTTGGAGTCTCGGGGTTCCGCCGCAGACGGCAAGCGTAGCGGCCCTCTCCATGCAGAATCGCGGGTGACCCCTCCTCCAAAACGAGAGGCAGTTTCCGTAACATGTTTCACCAGACTACGCCATCAAGCTCCTTATTCTCTGCTTCTCGAGCCCTTCTTCTCTAGTTCTCGAGGCAAGCTAAAGGCTCAAAGGAAGGAAAACTCCCCAAAGGTCAACGCTTCGAAAGAGGCTGCGGATGCATCATATACTGTTTAGGGTTTAGGGTCATACTCTAGGTTCCTGAGTAGCCCCTTTATAAGAAGAGTACATTGCGCATATGTTTTCTGTTATTCGGCTTGAATCAGGGGACCCTGAACCAAAAATTAAAAGGGCAAAAGGGCACTACTCAGCAACCTAGATACGGTTCATGCCAAGACTGCGATTTATGGTCTTTCAGTAGTTAGGTTTGACTAAAGGGTACTTCGGTCAGGAGGTTTAGGGTTTAGGTGGAGGTCGGCACCAATTGCTGGAGCCGACTCTCTGATCCCTACCAGACCTGTTTGAAAGAAGCTCGATGTTATCAAAACGATTGCTTGTTTGCTGATTAAACTACATGTTATGGAAAACCAACGTAGCTAATGGGATCCTATCGACAGGAACTGACATGCTACGTCAAACCAATACCATGATGAGGTCTCTATCGTTAGGTCATAAGGCCATGGACATATGGCAAACCAAGCAAAGAAACCAAGAGAGTGTGGGAAAGCCAAAAAAAACCTAAACCCTCTGTCCCTAAGCCAAGAAGCCATCTGCGCATTCCGGGCATCTTTCGCCAGGAGCCTGGCAGCACACGGGGCTGGGGTTTACGGGCTACTCCTGTTGATGATAAGAATCCTGCATTACCTTAAGGACCGCAAACTATGGGAATTATGGTATATTCCTTATTATGGGTAATGCAGGATTTGTATCATCAACCGTCGTACGGTTTTGGCTTTGAGGATTTATGGTATATCATGTTGTAGGGTCTGTGGCTTCGAGGACAGACTGGCGCATTCCGCTGTATCTGCATTAGTTAGCTTCTAAACCCTTAACATATCTTCAAAGTAACCCTAAAGTGAAATATGAACACAGAGCCATACAAGACCCCAAACCCTCAACCAGAAGATCAAGACCAGGGACCACGAATCAACTCAGCAACGCCACAGCCGGGTTCTACCTTCCCTTACTATAGGGGCTTTAATAATTAGAATAGGAGTTGGGGGGCCCATTATACTATAATTATAATAAGGAACCCCCAAAACAGTATAGGTAATTATTGAGGCTCCTATATGACACCATCCTGCCTCGCTACAGCAGTGCGGTACTGCGCATCAAGGGCTGCGTCGATCTCGTCGAAGAGATAAAAGGGAGCCTAGGTAGTTCTGGGACCCCAATTGGGAGTTAGGATTAGGGGGACCCTTGGGGATATAGACCCTCTCAATAAGGCCCCTCTTAAGAGAGCCAGAAGTAGGCTTCAGAAGGGGACTCCCCGACTCCCTAATACTACCTACCTTGTGCCAAACCCGAAACCCCAAGCCGGAAACGTGAACTTGCTCCGGGGAGGGATATATCGTTCTGCTACAAAAAAAGTTGACAGGGTTGTACAAGCGTGGAACCCTTGAACCGTACTTGGGACAAGGTGCAGGGTAGTTTGGGGCGTTGTGTGGGGCTTAAGCGCTGAACCCTGAACCGCATAACCTCAAGCCCTCATCCATCAAGGGTGTGGAAAGCTTCGCAAGGCGAAGGGTCACCTATTCCAGCCGTCAGCAAATCCGAAGCGACAGACCAATAAAATTCTGAGCCGAAACCGCGAAGCTGAAAACTCCGCATCGGCCAGGCTTTCAAGCCGAGATCCCGAATCTCTGTGCCCTTTCATCCTTGAAACATCTGAACCTCCATGCCCTAAGCCCATAACTATACTTTAGTATACTAATCCCGCATATCCTAATTGTAGAACCCAAAACCCCGAAATGCAGAACCGTAAACCTGTGGCAAGCAGTCGTCTGCGAAGAGCCCAGGAAATTGCCCAACAGCATCCTTCTTACTTGATCAGCTTAGGCCTGTGGGGTATACCTAGAGGCTCATACCCTACCCCCTTTTTGGGTACCTAATGTTATGGTTAGGATCTGTTAGATTCAAAATTAGGTACCCTAAACAAGGGGTAGGATAGAAGCCCCTAGGTAAGGCTTCAGGGTTTGAGATTTAAGCTTCCGAAACCCTAAACCCTAAACCCTAAACCCCTAAACCCTAAGCCAACATGAAACTGTAAGCCCGCTGAGCTCACAGCGGGTTCGAGGCGCTGGATGGCAAAGACGAGGGCAATGGCCTGCTAACAGAGCTCCGCTTCCTTTAAGGGCTCCTATGAGGGGGTTTATAATAGGGCTCCTTTAAGGTTTACTAGAAGGGTTCTAGAAGGACTCTGGTAGGGTTTAGGGTTTTAGGATCCATGTACAGTTCAGAACGTTTCCTTTTCCTTGCTCTACATTAAGTCACAGAGCTTCTTCTCTTCCTAGGTTCCTGAGTAGCCTCGCCGCGACAATAAGGCACCCTTTTTTCTACTATTCGGCTTTAAGAAGGGGCCCTGAAGCAAAAAGGGCAAAAGGATACTACTCAGGAACCTAGGCTCAACTCAGGAAAAATTGCCTAACTAGCGGGTAGTTGACTGGGTTCGTAAGTAGCTGACAAGGGCCGTTGTTCGGGCTCAAGCAACACAGGCACCTGCATAACTTGCTGGAAGTCTGCTTCTCCGCACTAGCCCGGAGATTTCGCAGAGGGCTTGTAGGGTTTAGGGTTGCTCCACCCCAATGAAGTTTGAAGTCCCGAGGTTACCTATAGTACTGGATTGCATTTACAGCCTGTTTCTTTCGGATAACGCTCGAAATGGTGACTCGAAACGGTGAGTAACGTATCATAAACATTTGCGACAGGGACCTAGAACTACATTTCAGCGCTTAGCCTCCAGGTGCCGTGCATGCTGACGGTGTTAAAATGTGCTAAACATGTGGCTCGGGGTCGAGGTCCAAGAATATCCGAACCTGGGGGGAGGAGGGGACCCGTGATGTCCAAATTAGGGTTTCGAAGATGTGGCTATGGCTCCTCACCAAAGTCTGAAAGGAGGCGAGAGGCGAGGGTTCAGCGCTTGCCGAAGCCTTACGCCTCCCAAAGGGTCTGAAATAGTTATATGAAGGATAACTACTTATCCAAACCGTAAACAAAGATCCCGAAGGATAGAAACCCTTGCTTCCTACCATTCTGTATGTACTCAGGACCCGGGACCCCTTGGGCATTCAACGTCCAAGGAGAGATAGCGCAGATCCGCACTGCTCCTGTTGGCGTATCGAGGTTTGGGGCTTTGCGGTTAGAGGGACTCCTAAAACCCTCAACCCCTAAACCCTTAAATCCTAGACTTTGAACCCTTTATCACCCCTAAACCCTTAAATCCTAGACTTTGAACCCTTTATCATCCCTAAACCCCACCACCCTAAACCCTAAACCCTAAACCCTAAACCCCAGACTTTGAACCCCTTATCACCTCTTAAACCCCAAGATCAAGACTCAAGACTCTTAAGGCGGCCATAAGCAACTCTCAGAACCCCAAACTCAAGAACTGAAGCTCTCCGAAGAACCCAACAATCCTCGCTGGTAGCCTTAACTCTCATCCTCTCTCTTCTCCAATAACCAGGCCCAAACAAAGTTCAAACTTTTTAAGCTAGACCAAATATATGAAGCCAAAAAGTTTAAAGTTCTCCAATAGGCTAAGTAAGTCCTATACCATCCCCAAACCTAAACGCTCTCATGCCCTTTTGCTACTGTTATGGCTCTTATTCCCCATACCATTATGCCCTAAACCCCTAGCCTTCCCAGAGGCCCCAAAGTAACTCCTTTTTGGGATTACCTTATAGGATTCTATATATGAACCCCAAAAAAGGAACTAGGGGCCTTAGGGTTTTCAATGTCGAATAGAAGGCAACCCGCAAGCTTCGAAAACTGGGGGTTCGCGCCACGACAGTCTTCTGTCCGCCGGAAAGCTGGGGCATGGTCAAGAAGGAGGAGGACTGACCTTCAGGGCTTTATGGAGAGGGCCATGAACAGTGGGTAGAATAAGGTCTTCGTAGATTGAAGTATAGAGTCAGAGAAAAGCGGTTCTGTACGAGTTCTATCCAGGCTTTGGGTACATGGTGGCTCTACCCTCAGGCCCCAAAGTAGTTCCTTTTTGTGGTTCTTCTATAGAATCCTATAAGGTAATCCCAAAAAGGAACTGCTTTGGGGCCTCTGGGTAGGCAGGACAAGGGCCGACATTGTGGACTTGAAGCGGGTTCTGGAATGTTTGTGCAAAGGTCTCGGGTTTCTGTAAGGGTTTAGGGTTTTGGCTCAGGATTTAATGGCTGAGCAGGATTTAGGGCTTAGGGAACTTTCGATAAGAGCTTGGGATTTTGGGCGCTTTGATTGCGGACTGGCTTCCGGTGAGAGGCCTGGCTTCGGCACCGACTACCGAAGCCTGGTTGTCTTGCTCCCACGATGCGTTCCGAGCTGGAATAAAACACACGCGAAAGACCTGAAAACGTGAACTTAGACGCTCCATGTGTGACGTCATACTGCTTTATACCATAGCTAGGTTCCCTAAACCCAAACCCACGGTCAGGGTTATACCATAGTAACTACAATATTGGGTGTAGGGTTTCGGGTTTAGGGATTTACTGCTAACTAGACTGCGAATACAACAATTATACTCATCTAGATTATAATTAGAAACGGTACGGTCAGCGAAACATTGCTGAACTGTTGATTTGTATAGACGGCCTTATTGATCAGCAGAAGGTGTTGGGGGATGTTCTTAAAAGAGCCCGCAGGAACAATGTTGTTCATTTTTCAGGCTTCGACATCAAGCCCTAAACCCCAGACCCACAAGCCCTTAAAACCCTAAGCCCCTAAAATCCGCAAACCCTTAACCTGCAACCCCTAAAACCCGGAAGCCCTAAAGCCCTTACGGGCGCAGACTCTAGGAACCCAGCCCCCGGCCTGTGAAAGACACCTCGATGCGGACGCCTCTGGTGGGCTCCTCCTCCGGGATTGGGGTGCTTACTTAAAGGATCATGGGACTTAGTAACTAAGGTTATCATTAGGGTAACTATACTTATAACTACTTATAACCCCAATTAAGGTACTTATAACCATACTTACGAAGTCCCGGGTGTAGAGTCGATAAACCCAATATGTCCTACTTGGAGGTTCAGGGGTAATTATAAGTGGGGTTATAAGTCCCCCCATATGTAGTTATCCTAATTATGACTGTACTTATAACTACCCATGAACCTCCAAGTAGGTGCCTACATGGCGGAAACTTACCTTAACCAGAATATTCCTAGCATAGAAGCCCAAGCCCCTAATCTGTGCTATGTAGGTACTTGGGGCCCTTTTTGTGGAATTCTAAAGGCACGCCACGAAACCCTGCACTGTCTTCAGGTGTAAAATAAGGTTTTCATAGACTGCTCAAAGGTTTTATTCGGGTTGAATCTAGGGGCCTTGACAATCAGAATGAGTTTGTTTAATTTTGCAAATACTGTACAATCATGATGACAGGCTGATAAATATTCAGCCTTCCATTTTGCACAAACCCAACGTCTCAAAACCTGACTCCTTAAAGGTCCGAACTGCGGCGAAATGCTTAACCCCTCAACTCAAATCCAAGAAATTGGCGGAAGGTTCACCTACTGCAGGTGGGAGGCGCAACAACTCGACATTGAAGGCTCCCGGGAGCTTCTGCAGAACTACAGACGAAGCTCAAAGCTTCTGGGGGTTCGGGGGGTTGCTGGTGCCTACCTGCGGCGAGCTTGGATTCAGCCAGGCTCAATCTGATCTCCCATCCTGACACCATCGATGTCGACTGGCGAGTCGACATGATCCGTGTCTTCTGATTCCTCGGTGATGTTTGCATTGATGTAGAGGAAAGGCTAGCACAAAGCAGAATAACGCAAACGAAGTGTCGTCGTCAGGACACTCAAAGATTGCTCCCATGGAGCATGTCGGCAGCAGGGACACCGGAAGCCGGAAAGCGGAGCTTTCTTGGTGGGCGGCAAAACATCACGGCAAGTCACCAGCTCCAGCGCTCAACTCTGAACAGCCTACTTGGAGGCCCAGGGGACTTAGCAGGTTATAAGTAGGGTTATAATTGGGGGTAACTGCATTTAAAGTACTTATAACCCTGCTTATAACCTACCTACTACGTCCCCCGGGCCTCTAAGTATAGCAATCCAAGCCCTACATTAGCCCTACATGCTTGAAGGGATCATGGGGCCCAGCAACTAAGATTATGATTACTTGCAGAAATACGTAGTATAAACCCTAAACCCTAAACCCTAGTAGACCCATGATCTCCATTGTTGTTCCCTTGATTGACTACACATAGAGGAACCCATAAGGTAAACCCCAAAGTGGAACCACAATGGAGGCCATAGGAACATACTCAAGAGCCTTGCAGGTCAACCGGTCATGTATGCTGTGATAACCCCGATTCATTCAGAGGGTTGTTGGTGTAGGGTTTATGTCCATGTTCCAAAACCCTAGAAATCCCTTAAAGCCATTGAAATCGTTGGGCATCCTATGAATATCCTTCAAAACTCCCCCCGAACCCGATGACGCGAACTTCAATGCGGTTGACGTCGTTCTGGCTGCAACAACAACCCTGAACTGCCCAAGACCACCCAACCCTGCAGCTCTAAACCCCCCAACAAACCCAGAAACCCTCAAAATCCTAAAACCATACCTCCATGTATAGACTTCAAGCTGCCTCCAGCCAGCAGGTCTAGAAGGGAGGGGTTTCCCATGACAGAAGCAGTTGCAAAGAGACGACTGTCATTGGTGTTGGGTTCGTTTAGTTTAATGGGACCCCAAAATCGTAAAACACTAAACCCTAAACCTTCCACCTCTAGACCTCTAAATCTTAAACCCCTAAACCTCAACTTCCCAAGCCCGGAAACCCTGTCCTCACCCAGTCTGGCAGGAGTTTCCTGATCCAAAAGGCTTCGGGCGTAGGCGATTTCGGGTCAAGGATTTAGGGTTTAGGGTTTGGGGGTTTAGGGGTTTAGGGTTTGGGGTTTGGGGGCTTAGGGGTTTAGGATTTAGGGTTCGGGGTTTAGGGGGTTTGGGCTTCTGGAATGGAGTTCCCAAATCACCGGGCTCAGAGGGCCTTCACCTGCTTCCTGATAATCCCTGCGATGATAGCTCCTCCTGCAACACAAGGCTGCACAGCGCTTGAAGATCCTTCACCTCAAACCCTTAAAACCCTGAACCGCTCCAAAAACTAAAATTCGAAGCAGGTCTTCTGGGAAAAAGGGCCCGTCAACCCTGAATCCCAAAATCCTGCTCGAAGGAATCGCTCGGATTCTGGAAAAGCCTCAAAACATGCCTAGTACTTTCTTTGGTGAACCAACTTTATGGTGAGGATCCTATCCCATAACTTATAACACGAATCTGGTTAACCAAAAAAAGGAACTACAATGCAGACTATAGGCGGTCGCACCCTCAATCCCAAAGCGAACCTCTCGAACCCTCTGGCCCCGCAAACCTCAACAAATGCTAAACGACATCATCTCGTAACCTAGACCCTAGGCGAACCCGAGATCACATATAGGAAAGCTGGAAACTTGACAAGTGGTGCCTCGGGATCGATAACCCGGTCGCTGGCGTTCATCATCCGCAGTTTGCCCACGCCGCCAGCGACCTGAACATAAAAACCCTAAACCCTAAACCCTAAACCATATCCAGGCTTCGTCGCTCTTGTGGGCTTGAGGGATTTAGGAGGGTTCAGGCTACCGGGTCTGAGGGTTTCAGGAATGTAAGATTGTAGCACTGTAGGATATTTTAGGATTCCAATTCTTTAGGATTTGGATGGAGTTGGGGAATCTGGGAGGTTGGTGTTTTAGAGCTTGGGGTTGTGAGGGTTTAAGGCTTAGGGCCAGGGATGTCAGGCGAGGGTTTAGGTTGAGTCCAAGGGTAAAAGGATGAACCCTTAATAAGGACCCCTAGGTATATACCCTTAACATAGCTATTAGATACCCATTAGATAGCCCATTATAGGGTAGGGGTTCCCATTGAGGGTCCCTCCTTTTCCCCTTTGATTGAGGCTTTCAGGGTCGAGGCTGATGGTGGTGTAGGCTGGAGGGATCCCGGTTCCGGGGCGTCAAGTTATGTGTGACTTCAAGGGGTCTAGAAGGGTACTATATTAATGGGGCCTTAATAAACAGAATACGGCTCCTTTAAAAAGGGTCCGATATATATGTATGTTATACATATATGCTCAAGCCCTGCGGGCATCCACGGTCTGTGAGATGGCGAGTTCGGTTCTTAACTCGAAAGAGTTCCTGTGCCCCTGAAACCCTACACCGTTAAACCAACGAGCCCTAAATACTCAAACAACCCTAAACCCTAAACCCTCAACTGGGTTGGATGCAACCCTGGGCTCAGACTTTGTGGAACCCCAACTGCTTGGACTTCTCTGTTCTATCATGGGGGTCTTATGTTGTCTTGTGCTCTGATAGCGTCGACTCCCAATCCCAAAAAGCCACGTCAGAAAAGCCCTAAATCCGCTGGTAAAACTGGCAAGCTGGTGGCTTCAAACAGCCTGGCCCAGCACAGGTTCTGAAGCTCTCGGCTACTGCTTAAAGGATCATGGGACTTAGTAACTTAGGTTACTACTGGGGTAACTATGCTAATAAATACTTACAACCCCAACTAAGGTACTGATAACCATACAAACGAAGTCCCATGATCCTCCAAGCAAGCTCGGCGATATCGAACCACATCTCAAGAACTTTGTACTCTCTGTCGAAGTTCTTCTCAAACGTCGAAGCCATCTGCACAGCCTGTCGTGCTCCGTTGAAACACACCAAACCGCTTGTCAGCTTCAACTTCTTGACAGTGTTCCGCACAACCACGAAATCGAAGAGGTCCCGGCAGGCCTTAAATGATTGATTGCTCATATGACTTTCGAGACTCAGCTTCTTGAAGTTCCACATTAGGGCTCGGGGCCGTCGATGCTCAGCTTGGAATGTAAGTCCCAAATGCCAGACCCTAAACCCTTTAAACCCTTGAACTTTAAACCTATAAACCCTTAGACAGCCTTCAACCTTTAAGCCCCGAACCCTCAACCCGACGCCCTAAACCCTTCAACCCCTAAACCTCAAACGTGTAAAGCAGACCATTGCAGCTGGGGTTTGGTGACACTTAGACTCGGGCGCATTTTCGACCTGAACTGAAACCCGAAGCACTCCTGAAAGCTATCCAAAACTCACACCATTTAAGCGTAACTCCGTCGGAGCTCTGACTTCTAAAAAGCTCGTGACTAGTTAAAGTACGGTATTGCTATATGATACTGCTGGCTATAGGGTATTATGAAAGAGTATGGGTATAGGGTACTGTGATCTCCGACCGCCGTTGTGCCCATAACCCGGACGAGCGTAAGGTCGTCGCGAGATCGGCGAAGATCTCTTGGAAGTGTTTGTCCTAGGCGTTTAAGCATTTAGGGTGTTTACCCATAGGCCGCATAGTATTTCTTTCTTGGGATTACCTTGTAGCATTCGATATGTGGGAGCTACTTTGGGGCCTATGGGTAGTCAGCAGGGGATCCTAACATAGTACCCCAAATGGTAGGACCCTTATCACAAGGACCCCAAGATAAGCGTAGAGTCGACGTGGAGGACCTCTGGAGCGTTAGACTCATGTACGGGCCTTAAAAATTAGAACAGGCAGGGTTTTGGGGGTTCCTCTTTTAGGGTTTAGGGTTGGTCTTTAAGGGTTACTTTGCGGGTACTGTAATATAGGGGCCTGAATGAGTAGAATGGGTTTTGTTCCTTATTATGGTTATAATGCAATCTACCCCCAAGCCCTATTCGTTAAGGCCCCTACATTAGGTATGTAAGCGGATTCATAGCATCTTATAGCCCCACATATCTCTTAAATGCAGCTGAGCAATCCAGGTCTGTGCTGAACTTAGAACCCTAGCAAAAATTATAATTTTAGCTGTTTCTTAGGGATTATAATAACCAAAGATTAAAAATTATTTCTAAGTACCCCTAAGAGGTTGCGCTTGACCTTCTATCCTTACGAGCTTTTCGCGACTCTAGGGTTTCGCATTTTGGGTCTTCAAGGCTTCGTTTCAGTTCGAAGTTTATGGAAGGATTGGGGCCTGGGGGTTGAGGGTTCAGGGTTTGGGTTTTGTAAGAAGAATAAGTGCGAAACGAGGCTTAAATCTTGTAGGTGTTAGGGTTTGAGACAGGGTTTAAGTCTAGGCTTTGGTTTAAGACTTAAGCCCCCTCAAACTTACAAGGTGGAGGTGCCATGCAGACGTGGCGCAGTCGTGCTCTACTACACTTGCAGTGCTGCTAATGAACTGTCAGACGTTATACGAATCGATGGCAACCAGTGAGTAGCGGCTGAGAGATTTGTAAACTTCATGCAACTCCCCTCTTGATCTCCGAAAAAAAGATCCAAAACCCTACAGATCCTACCCTAAACCCGAAGGAATAAACTCTAAATCCCACAAATCCTACACGTTAGAAAAACAATAACTATTAGGAACTCGGGAGAGCTGGGTGCGGGGACCACTCGCTCGAGAGTCTGTCTCATGGTCTCCTCCTGTGGAAAAGCTTGGGGCTCAACTTTAGGATTTTTGCGTTTAGGGCCTACCCTAAGGCTCCTAGGAGGGTTCGGGGCTTTCTGAGGGAGGGTTTGGGCTCTGGGGGCTAAGGTTTGGGATTTCACTACGAGGGTCCAGGAGCCTCAGGGTAGGGTTTACCCTAAGGCCCCAAAATAGATCCTTTTTGGGATTCATATAGAGAATCCTATAAGATACTCCCAAAAAGGAACTACTTTGGGGCCTCTGGGTAGGACTTGTTAGACTTCCGGATCTGGCCTTCAGGCTTTATAGGGTTGAAGCGTTTGGGGTTTACGATGTCAGGCTTCGGCTGTGAGGTCTAAGCTTTAGCCCTGGAGTAGCCAGAGAGACACCGAAACCAGATCACTTGCAGACTGTAGGGCTTTACAGTAAACCCCATAAAGTTGGAAACCTGATTAAGGCCAAATAGTGCTGGGATTCCTTATACATTACTCTGAACTTAAGGAATGAGGCTATTGGCTTTCCAACTGTTGGGCTACTAGTGTACAAGGTTTGCAAAGGGTTGCATATGGTTGTCTAATAGGGCTTTGCAGAAGGCTGCTACCGCGGCACATATTGTACGTTGTGGATCCTTAGTATGACTTATCGTGATTTTTCTGCATTAAGAGGGTTGGGAGTCTATGAATCATTGCCACCGTCGCTCCTTCTGGGCGTCGACAGAGCTCATGAACCTTGTTGGGAAGGCAATTACGGGACCCATTACGGGATTTAGCAGTAGGAGCATGCCATTCGACACACCCAAAACCCTGCTACCTCGAAACCTTAAGCCCTGTAAACCTGGAAGAGATTTTTGGTAGCACTTTAGGCCCGTCGGGTTCCCTCTGATTTAGGACTGCGTGGTTCAGGCAGCAAGTTTCAAGACGATAGCTTGGGTGATGCAAATCTTGAAACACCAACCCTTTTCCTCTGCACCGTCATGCAACCTGTCGTGCCATGTGCATGGACGAATTCCTCCTGTGCTGTCTCTCAATTTTTCCTTGGCTCAAAGCTGAACTTCTTCATGGGTTTACTGTTCGGATGCGTTATGGATCATTGATGTTGATTTCGGGGTGGAAGGGAGGGCGATGAGTATCACCACCGACATCATCACGGGGTGCCATCATCACCACCATCATCTTCATCGTCGTAACCATGATCATCAGAATCGTCGTCGTCATCATCAACAGCAGGTTAACGGTTAGCAGCTCCATCACAAACATATGCGTCGTCGTCAACACCATCATCATCAACATCAGCATCATCATCATCATCATCACAGGCCTCATCGTCGTCATCAGCATCCTCTGCATCATCATCATCATCATCATCACCAGAACCATCATCATCGTCGGCGGTGGCGTCACTGTCATCATCGCCGTGGCCTTCAAACCCATCATCATCATGATCGCCAAGCTGTCCGTCCTTACGCGCTGCAGAGGCTGCCGTCGGAAGCTGCACCGTCGCCGAAGATGAACCCGGTTCCTCCGATGCACTTCACTGCGCTCTGGCATCACTGGCCTGTCCTGTAGCCTCGATCTCTGGCCCGGGAAGCCCGGACAGGGCCTGAACGGGGTCCCGGACACACAGCTTGCCCCTGGTCCCTTTCTTACCTTTGGTTAGTAGGGAATGGAGGAATGGGGTACAATTATGACTACTGCTACTACCATTCTTCCATTCCCTACTAACCAACAGCAAGCTTTGCCTGGATTCCTGACCGCTAGGTGTTCCTTCGCTGATCGAAGTTCCGGCCCCTAGCCGATTCGTCCGGCGAAGCCGCCGGGTGCCCTGAGCGGGCATGCCTCGCGACATCAGGAACCAAATCTCTACTGCTGATGGACAATATCCTGCAGGACCCTAAGGACTCTACACTATGGGAACTATGGTATATCCCTTATTATGGGTAATGCAGGATTTATATCATCAACCGTATGACCCCTTTAGCCCTCTGTACTCGAAGACCAAAGCCTCAAAGCCCCAACCCGAATCCTAAAACTCTAGAAACTGGGCAGTGAGCAAACAACTCAACACTACCTATATTCTCCGTTGTAGTTCCTTTTTTTGGTTAACCCAAATCTCTATTATAGGATCCTAACCATAAAACTGGTTAACCCAAAAAAGGAACTACAATGGAGACTATAGGTAAAGCTTCAACCGCAACACCCTAACCTTAAGCACCAAAGCCTGAAAGCTAAACCCAAATACTAAGCCCCAAAAAACCTAAACCCCAAACCCCCAAAAAACCCTAAACCCTAAATCCCTGAACCCTAACCCCTAAACCCCTAAGCCCTAAACCCTAAACCCCTAAACCCTAAATTCCTGAACCCCAAAGCCAGAAGCCCCCCAGAGCTCAAGGCTTCTCAACGGCTTCCCGCGACTGATCGATGACCTCCTTCTTCTGCTGGAGCCTCGGATGCGCCGAGACGTGTCGACATCTTCAGGGTTTAGGGGTTTAGGGGTTTAGGGCTTAGGGGGCTAGGGTTTAGGGTTTAGGGTTTAGGGGTTTAGGGGTTTAGGGGTTAGGGTTTAGGGTTTAGGGCTTAGGGTTTAGGGTTTAGGGGTTAGGGTTTAGGGTTTTGGGGGTTTAGGGGTTAGGGTTTAGGGTTTAGGGACTCCAAAACCCCTTAATTAAGGAATATACCTTAAATCATATAAGGGATCCTATTATAATTTAAGATATATTCCTTCATTAAGGGGTTTTGGAGGCTCTGGGGACGTGTCCAGATCTTTAGGGTTCAGGGTGTAGGCTTTTTTTGTTTGTTTTAAGGGCCTCGTTCTATTCCGCGGGGTTTAGGGGCTTAGGGCTTAGGCTTCACGGATTTCGGTTATGTAGGTGTTAAGGGTCTAAATCTTCAAATTATGTGAGCTTGCTCTTGTTCAAGCGGCTTCGAAACCAATGGCAACAGTGACAGCTCAGTCATGGTTGTGTACAAAATGCAACGATACGGAACAAAACAACATCACACAGTCGAGGTATGTCAGAGTAAGACTTCAAGAGTTCTGGGATTAACCTCGTAATGGTGATGTCGTAACTTCTGTTCCAGGCCTTATCATTCTCCGAACCTTCCAAACTTCCGTAAATGCCTCCACTCCGGATCCTGCCACGCCTGCTGCTTGTAACCCTACACGTGGAATAAGGTAGGGGGAAGGGCCTTGGTAATTAGAATAGGTCTTTGGGCTATATTGTGCTATGAATGTACTAAGGAACCCCCCAAATGGTACAGGTAATTATTGAGGCTCCTAAAATCATGACTCAAACCCTACATCTCAAATCCTAGTTGCTCGAACGCGAAACCCTTGAATCCGAGAACCCAAGCTGCAAGAAGATCTAAGCGCTTAACCCGGCACCTCAGCTTGAACTTGTGGGCCCGGAGGATTCGCGGTTTAGGGTTTAGGGTTTAGGGTAAAACCTGAAACCGGAGACCCGAAACCCCTGAATAAATGCCGACCCTAAACCCTAAACTCCAAAGGCTACTCAAATCAGAACCAACACCCCAAACGCTCACCCCTCCCCACCCCGAAATGGAAACTTGTGCTGAGCCGGTTTTCAAGAGATTACCTATAGTCTCCATTGTAGTTCCTTTTTTGGTTAACCAAAATCTCTATTATAGGATCCTAACCATAAAACTGGTTAACCGAAACAAGGAACTACAATGGAGACTATAGGTAAGGCGACTCTGAGGTCGCGGCTCTTGCAGCTGGTCCATGAAGGTTGTATACCTCATGCTTACCCATAGTCCCAAAAAGGGACTATGGGTACCTTATCTTGGGGTCCTTATGATCAGGGTCCTCCTATTTGGGGTACTATATTAGGATCCCCGGCTGACTACCCATAGGCCCCATAAGTAGTTCCTTTTTGGGGCTCATATGTAGAATCCTATAGGGTAATCCCCAAAAGGAACTACTATGGGGCATATGGGTATTGGTTTAAGTGTCTACAGTCTAGAGCTTGAGGTTTGGGGTTTTGGGTTTAAGGTTTAGGGTTGGGGGTTCCTGGCTTCTTGTTACGGAAACTATCTCAAAATAAAACAGGGGTTTGCTAGGTTTCTTCTGTGTTCTAGGGTTCTGGGTTTTTGGCTTTAGGATCTCTTGTTGAGGAAGTTAGTGAAGACATGCTGCTGGGCCCTTGGGGTTTAAGCGATTATGGCTTTGGGGTTAACAGTGAACGACGAAAGGTTACATGGACTACAGCTGATGGGCTGCAGTTGAGGGAAATGGCCCCTCATCGAAACTTACATTCGTTTCCTGGTCGCAAGAGCTCAGTATGAGATGGCTCGAGGTTTCGGGCTACGGCTCAAAGCACAGGGTGACAGATTTAGGGTTCAAGATTGAGAGCTTCGGGTTTGGGTAACTCTCCAAACTAGGGTTCCGTTCACTGGTGGACGGATGGCTAGGGAGGTCTTCAGTTGAGTTCACATGGTCTGCAAACCAGTGTACCATGATCACAACGACCATCTTACTTCCTAGACCCATAGGGAAAAACTTCAAACTTTCAGAGTACGACTACGCGTTAAGCCTGAAAGGTTGAAGAGTTGGGTTGTGGACTACTAACCCATCAGCATCTCCATCAGGCACAGCATAAGGCACAACCATCTCCACGGTTGATGATATAAATCCTGCATTAACCATAGTGAGGAATATACCATAATTCCCATAGTTTAGGGTCCTTAAGGTAATGCAGGATTTATATCATCCACCGTATCACGACCCGTACCAAGTCGTTGCCACCATGGCGGCAGGCAGCTTCATCATCGGCACCACCATTACCATGAAGGCCATCATCATCCACAACGTCATGACCATGCTCACGGTAATGATCATGATGATCATGATGATGATGATGAGGAGGAGGAGGAGGAGGACACGGAGGATGTTGATGAGCGTTGCCACCCTGACCGCCTTCCTCCTCTTCACCATCATCAGCATGGACGGTAGTGGCGCTCACAAGATCACAAGAAAAGCAGAGGATGGAGCAATCTCGCTATCGAACAAAGTAACTTTCGTTGCAGGTGGATCCAATCCCCAGAACAGACTCACATAACCCATTTCAGACCTACCCATGAGTCTAAGCACCCTGGACCCTAAACCCGGAAATCACCAACATCTTAGTTGCTGAGTTCATAAGCCCCAAAAAGTGTGCACTTTCAGTTTTTTAGTGGGTAAAATTATCCCCAAAAAGTGTAAAGTGTATCCACTCAGCTACTGAGACATCTAAACCCTCCCTAAACTCGGAATCACTGACATCTAGGAGGGACTTCAGCCATGCTCTCGGTGCTCACGGCTTCCACGATAGGGGAGTTTCCGAAAATAGGGGGACCCCAATATAGTACCCTAAATCGTAGGATCCTTATGATAAGGACCCCAAAAATCAGGTGCCCCTAATTTTCGGAAACCCGAATACATTGGTGTAGTGTTTATTTTTTTGTGTTGAGGGCCTTTAAGGGTCTGCACTCGTCTCTCGGGTCGTATTGGGCAGTGCTTAGAGGGGACCGGATCTGAAAAAAAAAGAAAGCGTAAATGTAGAAAGCCCAAACCGACACAATCCCAAACCCAGAAACCCTAAGTCCTGACCCTGTCACTAAACGCTAAACCCTTGATCCCGAGCTCCCGAAAAAGGAAAACACCTTAACTAAGTTGCAAGATATATAGCCCCTTAATCACGGATTACTCTATCGATGGACTGTTCCTCCAGGGCTTAGGGTCTAGAGTCTTCGGGTTTCTGTGCTGAACTTAGAACCTAGCAAAAATTATAATTTTAGCTGTTTCTCAGGGATTATAATAACCAAAGATTAAAAATTATTTCTAAGGTTTTCGTTCTCTGGGAAGCAAAGACATCAGGAACCGGGCTGGTCGATGGCTTTCTTGTTGACGTGCTCGAACTTCCCAAGAGCCTCCACAGCTTCGGGGCTTCAGGGCCTCCCAGAGACTCCAATACCCCTTAATTAGGGAATATTCCTTAAATCATACTAAGGATCCTATTATAATTTAAGGTATATTCCTTAATTAAGGGATATTGGAGTCTCTGGGCTCTAAAGGCCACAAAATTTCAAGTTGTTCCGATAATCCTTTTCTATTTGGGAGTTTCCGAAAGTAGGGGACCCTAATATGGTAGCCGGTAGCCTCAATAGTAGGACCCTTGTCATAAGGACGCCAAAATAAGGTAGCCCTATTTTCGGAAACTCCCATTTTCATCAGAAGTAAAAGCATGTCCTAAGTGCACGACGAAAGCAGGGCTATGGGGCTTGCACTGCTGGGAGCTGTACTTCGGGTCTGGGGCCGTTTGGGCTTTGGGGCCGAGGTTTAGAGGTTTGGGGTTTGGGTTTTTTTTTTCAAAGCATGACGGACTTTCACACTGCAGATCGAGTCCACCCGACAGGGCGCATGCTAGCCACAGGCATTGGAGGGGTTTAGGGTTTAGGGTTTGGAGTTCTGGCGCTCCGTGCGGAGATGCCATACAGCAAAATGATCTTCGGTCGCGTCTTTGAGCTTGGAGGGTATGTTTGGGACGTACGGTCTTTGGGACGCTGGTATCAGAAAGGAGAGCTTGTGGCTTGAACTAACCAGGGCCGTGTGCGTTCCAAAAGAGTTTTCCGACTCAAAGACTTCGGGTGGAGGGGGTTACCCTCAGGGTTCGATTCGAGTTCTGTAAGGTTGGTATAATGGGGCTCTACGGTTGCGAAACCCTATACCATAAACCCTGTAGGCGGTAAACCATAACCCTTAATTGGGGTTCCCGTCTTCGCTTCTTCCCGGCCTTGTTGGTGGCACCTAGCTGCTTCATCAGCTGCTGGGGCGTCATCTCTTTGTACCTGAAGTGTCAAAGGGTAAAAGGAGGGACCCCTAATAAGGACCCCTAGGTATATACCCATAATATAGCCATTATATACCCATTATATAGCCCATTATAGGGTAGGGCTCCTCATTAAGGGTCCCTCCTTTTCCCCTTTGAAAGTGGCCAGCGATAAGGCCCTTAAGCCTCAGACTCAAACATCCGAACACCCTAAAGTAAAAGCCAGAAAGTTGGAATATGATTATCCTAAACCCTTTATAGTAGATTATAAGGTATCCTACCCTGAAACCATATTCCAACTTTCTGGAGTTCCCTTTAAACTAAGCCCTAAGCATTAGACCCGGAACTAGAGCCCTAAACCCCTAAAACCCCTAAACTCGAAACCGGCTGAGGCCACCCTGCTCCGGTATGTTGAGACATCTCCGTGTCTTGGGACGGGATCAGCTCGGTGCGTTAAGGCTTTACTGTTACTACAAATATTTCGGGCTTATTGTTTGGGGCTTAGGCCAGCTTAGTGCGTATGAGGATTTTCGGTCTAGACAATCTAAGGCATATACGGAGACAAACAAAAAGGTGGCATGGCATTGGTTTAAAACTGTATTACCTATACGGGAGTTTCCGAAAACAGGGGACCCTAATATGGTAGCCTGAATAGTGGGATCCTTTGTTATGAGGACCCCAAAATAAGGTACCCCTATTTGCGGAAACTCCCAATACATTGTCGATCGAATCTCGAAGCCAAAAGTGGCACTGCAGTGGCACCTGACTAGCGGCAGGGACAAAGCCGCCTGTCACCAACACGACAGGAGTTCCTGCGGGGCTTCTAAAGCTTTTTGTGAGCTTTTGTGAAAATTCTCCCAGAAGCCCAAACGAACCCATGCAAAAGCTTCTGAACATGTGGGACAAACTCTACAGCATGATAAAACAGCGGTGCAACATCAAAACCCGGAACCCCAGATGCAAAGATAAGAACCCAAACCCTTTCCCCTCACCTCCCGCCCCCTTTGAAAAAACAATTGGGTGGCGGCACTTGGCCATCTCGGATGACACCACCGTCAGACTGCGGAGCTTTTCGTCTGAGTCACCCTTCTTCTTGACCAGATTGTTCACCTTGCAGGGTTTAGGGTTCAGGGGTTTGGGCTTTAGGGGTTTTAGGGCTTGGAATTTCAGAATTTTGGGTCGTGCTTAGCGTTGAGGGGTGTGCGGTTTTCGGGGTCTCTGCTAAGCTTGAACAAGGTCTCTTTGAATGTGTTATAGTTATAATATCTTTGCAGCCTTGGATTAGGGCTAAGGGCTTGGCCGATTTCCGACAAGAAAGGGCTTGGTTCGTATACCCTAAACTCTAAACCCTAAACCCTAAAACACTAAACCAACAACTTGAATTCTTCAGCTTCGGGGCTTTCACGGTTGATATGACTTCCTTCGGTCCAGCTCAGCCTAAAATAAAAGCCAGAAAGTTGGAATATGATTATCCTAAACCCTTTATGGTAAATTATAAGGTATCCTACCATATTCCAACTTTCCGGAGTTTCCTTTAGGGCTCTGTAAAGGTGCAGGTTGGGCAGATCACGGCCTGGGCTCATGCTTCGGGAAATCTCGGGAAAGACTGCCAGATCCTGAACCACTTCAAGGGTCATGGGACTTAGTAACTAAGGTCATTATTAGGGTAGTTATACTTATAACTACCTATAACCCCAATTACGATACTTATAACCTTACTTACTAAGTCCCATGATCCTTTAACCATGATGTCCAAGACCTGGACCCTTAACTGCTCCCAGATTTGTTTCCGAAACTCCAAACCCTTAGAGAGCCCTTTAAAGGAACCCTTATCGTCAAACTTCAAGAAACTGAGTCTCGAAATCCGAGCTTACTTGGAGGTTCAGGGGTAGCTGTAAGTGGGGTCATAAGTAGGGTAAATAACCCTACTTGTAACTACCCCTGAACCTCCAAGTAAGACCTGAACCCTTAACTGCTCCACGGCTTTCCACAGAATTCTCTCGTGCCAGCCGGATGTATAGGGCTCTCCTCGTTTAGGCGCATGCCAGGTGTTGGGCCTCGTGGTCTGACGTGAAGGTACCCTTCAGCCTACATCGTACAAGGCTATGGCAGCTCAAGACACCGGGCTCCTGCACCCCAGAAACTAGTTCTTTGTTGGGATAGGAATAAAAAGTCAATTTTTTAAATACCCATGAAAAGTGTAAAATGTTACCCAACTGTGACAAAGGAATTATGTACTGGGGTCGGGAGTTACGGAAAAGATTCGGGAGGTAGCTTTGCAGTTCACGCACTCCCTGGGAAGGTTCAAGGCTGGTGGGGCTAGTGGTGCCTGTCGTGCCCTGCTTGGAGCTTCAGGAGTAGTTATAACTAGGGTTATAAGTCCCCAAATATGGGTTATAAGTATAATTATCCTAATTAAAACTGTACTTATAACTAACCATGAACCTCCATGTGGGTCAGACAGCCCAGCAGCTGTTGAGTCATGACTCTACCAAGGCTCCAGGTGTTGGCAAAGTGGTTTGCATGACGGCTACTGTGCAAAAACCAGGACCTTGAGGGAGATGTCATCCAACGCAGCGGTGTGCTGGCTGAGGGTGTGCTGGAACTTCTGATCCTGGCTAACAATATACGGATCACTGAATAATTAATCGGACTAGCGGTACCTGATAGTAGAACTACGATTTAGGAGGAGACTTTAATTACTGGCCAGTTGGGATGTAGGGTTGGCTTTTCCGGGTGGAAGTGTGCGGGCACGGAGGAAGTCTCAGGGCCTACGGCTTCAGAAGTTAGGATCCAGGTGCCAAGAACGGGAGGAAATGACACCCGAAGCCTAAGACAGGTAAATACAATCAAATATATGCATATATATATATATATATACATATGTGTATAGACATGTATATATATATATATATATATGTATATGTATACACACATGTAAAGAGAGCGAGAGAGAGAGAGAGAGAGAGAGAGATGTGAACACTATTACATACTGTTATACGTCATTATGCAATTGTATACCGTTCGATGCTGGCACCTGGTTCTATCTATCTACCCATCTGTATATGTGTGTGTATATATATATATATATGAGCATAGAATCCGCCCGCAAAAAAACGTATGCCATCACTGCGACATAGAGATAGAACGTGCCCGAGATATCCAGAAAGGTATCCTGTCCTACCGCTGCAAGGACTGGAAAGCAAAACCCCGGCCAAGAAGGCATCCTACCTCTCCTGTTGGGGCGTGTATAGTTAGCACTCGTCAGTGGTTCACACCATGCGGTCTCTAAAAATGCACAAAAAAACTACCCGAGTCACAGGACCACAACCTCAAAACACCGAAATTCTAGGCCTTAGACCCAGAATCAGACCGAACAACAAGCTATTTGTGGGTTTAGGGATGAGAATTTTTTGGTTTGGGGCTTCAGTCTCCTCCGCTTGCAGCTTGTCCACCTCGCTCTTGCTCTTCGCATGTGCCTAGGGGCTGGGCCGAGAAAATTTCTAGGTTGTAAAGTATAACACGATTTCGGCGTATGTTTTCATGCATCAAGCATCATCAAGCCTCCAAAACCCTACCGTAATCTTTGAACAAACAAACTCTACAGTAATTAATACAAACGGTCAGAATTTAACATCCCGTCGTAGCCATAGCAATAAGGCAACTCTAAACATCGTGGTGACAGTACCAGTCAAAACTGGGAGCAGGCCAACAGCAACAGATACCATGAGGCGCAGTGCGCGTCGTGCTTTGCTATGGACGGGTACATCTGAGCACTTGGCGGACATGGAAAGCCTGACATCGAAGGCCCTTGCTGCGGAAAGGGTTTGGAACCTCAGCCCTTGACCCTCAGGCCTGAGAATCCCTGAGCCCCATGAAACAATGTGGAGCCACCCGCTGAACTAAACACACCGTACCACGAACACCCCAGTCTGTCTAGACAGTCAGAAAGCAACCCTGCCCCCCCCCCGCCCCCACCCTGCCTTCAAAGAACAACACAAGAATCGGTGAACTCTAGCTTCCAGACCCTAAGCCCTAAAACCCGAATCTGCTCCCCTAGCCCCAACCCCCCCCACCCTCAGCTCAAAATAATCACGAGTTCAGGGAAGCTCTGTGAGGGCTTTTATGCAACAAAAACAGCACCGCACAAACACAACAAACAAAGACCTGTCTCTCAACAACAAAAAAGCTGCAAACCCTAAACCATGAGGCTTTCAACAACAAGAAAACCCTAAACCCTAAACCCTAAAGCCTTAACCAGGGAGACTCGGGAGGCGGACAGCATCGGCGGCTTGGAGCGACTTGAGTAGCTCCTCTTTGGTACTATGGGGTCGAAAAGAGGATTTTGGGGGGTAAAGTTTACAGTTTTAGGGTTTAGGGCTTGGGGTTCAGGGTTAAGGGCCTCACTAATCATCAAAGTGAAGGTTTCAGGTGTAGTAGCGTACTTCGGGTCCAAAAGACTGGCTATAATAATCCCTAGGGCTCCGGTTATCTCAATGATGGGTTGCTGGGGTACCGTGGCTAGTAACCTGCTATTTAGCTAAAACGGAGCAATCGGGAATTAGAGTAGGGGTTACGGGCATACCCTCGTACATAACCAAGGAAGCGGAAGGAAACGTGTTGGTATCGAACAGGATTTTAAATGCGATTTGGGATTGAAGGGGCCGCAAACTTCAAGTGTTCAGACTGGAAGTTCGATAGGGTTTTACTGGGTTGGGGGTTTTGGGGTGGCGGCTTTAAGAGTTTAGGGCTCCGTGCTGTTGATTGGCAGATTCAGAAACTGAAGGTTTAGGAAGGTTCGGACCTGGGTGTCCATCAGGGACAGCAGAGCCGCTCTTGTAATGATAATAATCATAATCATAATCATAATCATAATAATAATGCTATTATCAAAATTACAATAATAATCTTGCCGGAATGCGCTTTAAGGGCTTGTGGGGTTTAGGGTTTAGGGTGGCGCTCACTCGGCTTTTGTCCGAGCTGTTTCCTTGCTCTGTACAGCAAAGGCAAGCAGACTCCACCGACATTCTTGTAAGCCACCGTCAAAATTTCAAGTATAACCTTACAGGCTATAGGCAGAAGCACCTGTACACTGTCACAACTTTGCATAGGTAACCTTAACGGCAGAGACCGCCTGGATCCATCAACCTCCATGCTGCACTCATGTAGAAACTTACATCAACTTTTTAAACTCAAACAGAAGTACTTAAAGGATCATGGGACTTAGTAACTAGAGTTATTATTACTGGAACTATACTTATAACTGCTTATAACCCCAATTAGGGTACTTATAACCATACTTACTAAGTCCCATGACCCTCCAAGTAGAAGCAAGTTTACTGCAACCCTAGCCCCTATATGCCCCTCAGTGAGGGCAGAAGTCGTTACTGCATAGGGGCTAAACACAAAATCCCAACACACCCCAAATGAGTGCAAGCCCTGGGCCCTCAGGTTTAGAGTTTACCTGAACCCCACATAGCCTACCGTTGTAAATAAGGACTTTTACAGGGAACGGTTTATGGCTGGTATACTGCAAGGGCCTTAATGATTAGAATAGCGTTTTCGGGGCTCCTTACTATAATTGTAGTACAATGGGACCCAACACCCTATTCTATATTACAGTACCCTTACAGATCCCTTATAGACCCCTTTTAGGAACCCTTTATAAGAACCCTATTCTAATTTCAAGGTCCCTACAGTAGACGACTGGTTTGTCGGAGTCTGTCTGGCCAGCTCACTGGACTTCTAACTTCCGCCCAAGCGATTCAAGAATCATGGGAACTCCTTGTAGAGTCATCCTGCACCCAAAGCTACATCTTCCTTGTTCATATAAACCCTCTTTATGCCAAAAAGTTGATGCCACTTGGAATTCCATTCTTGAAGGCTTGGGCCCTCTTAGCACGCTACCCTTTGAAAGTGGTGCGGGTCTCTAAGCTGTCAGATGCTGTTTGATCCGACCGGCCTGAGATCTGGTAAGGTCTAGGGTTTAGGATATGCTGTCGTGCTTAGAGGTTCATGGGTAGTTGTAAGTGGGGTTATACGTGGGGTAACTATACTTATAAACCATATTAGATGACATATAACCCCGCTTATAACTACCCCTGAACCTCCAAGTAGGGTATAGGATTTGATTGAGGTTTAGGGTTGGGAACTTAGGGTTTAGGATCCTCACGGCCAAGCAGTCGGCCTAAGCCGCGCTAGCCTTCTTGGAGGTTCATGGGTGGTTACAGATGGGGGTATAAGTCGGGTTGCTTTAAGGGTTCTATGGGGTTTAAGGTTTAGCCTTCAGGGTAGTTGTAAGTGGGGCTATAAGTCCCTAAAACCGCTTACAACTATAGCTACCCTACTTAACTCCCCTTATAACTAACCAGGAACCTCCGTGTTGCCATCCTAGCAGCACTTGTACCTCAATGGCAAACACATTGAGTACAGCTACATGGTGCTACATGAAAATCACGCTAGAAAAAGGTACATGAATACCTACATGCGTACATACGTGCATGCATGCAGACAGGCATGCATGCAGGCAGGCAAGCAAGCAGGAATGTATGTATGTGTGTAATTATTCTTGTACGTATGTATGTATGTATGTATGTATGTATACCCGTGTGCATGCATGCATGTGTGTATGTCCGTATGTATCTATGCAGGTATGCTGGTATGTATGTATGTACGTATGTATGTATACGCGCCTTCATCCTCTCCTCTTGAGTTATTTAGGAGTTACTGTAGGGTTCAGGGTTTAAACATAGTTACGGTCCGTTGTGGATTCAGGGCCAGGCTTTTAAGATTTCAAACACCTAGGCGGTCAATGTTGTTTTTTGAGAGTTCTTCGGGGAAGATGACAGAACTGATTTGGAACGCTCCTGCAGGAGTGAATGGCAAAGAATATCACCAACTCTGCTATATACACTTGGAGGTTCAGGGGTAGTAATAAGCAGGGTTATAAGTCCCCTAATATGGGTTATAAGTACAGTTACCCTACTTATAACTACCCATGACCCTCCAAGTAACCCTAAACCCTGAACCCTAAACCCTGAACCCTAAACCCTGAACCCTTATAAACCTTAAACCCTATAACCCTATAGATCCCTTTAAAGGAACCCTACTTATAACTACCCCATGAACCTTCAAGCAGGGAGTCTGCAGGCCCAAGCTTCAAGCTTTCCCCGCGCGATAACGCCGAGATTCCTAAGCTAGGATACCCAGTAACCTAAGAATAAAAAGGCCTCTCTTTTTAAGGAACCTAGGACTACAAAAAAGGAATAAGGGTACTACTGGGCTTCCTAAGGCCTCAAAATCAAAAACGCTTCAACTCACAATCCGAAAAGGCAGCAAAAGCTAATCCTGAAAAATGCCAGGCTCCGGTAACTACTTGGAGGTCCATGGGTAGTTATAAGTAGGGTTGTAAGTAGGGTAACTATACTTATAACCCATATTAGGGGGCTTCTAACCCTACTTATAACTACCCCTGAACCTCCAAGTCCGTTCGTGCATCACTAGATCAACCCGGAACTTAGATTAAAGCAGCTTCCCACACTACCTGCCGCTCAACAGGGTACGGAGGGGATGCATCGTTGTAGCATGGCACCTGTGATCTCTTCTCCAGCCAGAAAATCCTGAACCCTTCGACTGGGCTCCTCAGTAACACCCTTTTTCTGAATATTCAGTTTTTATCAGGAGACGCTAGACTACAAGGCAAAAGGGTACTACTTAGGAACCTTGTCGATTCATGCCAATCCGAGGGGCCAAAGATCAAGACAGTGTCCTCCCTGGCCGGGCGGCATTTGGGTGGTTGTCAAAATTAAGGTCCCTTTTTGGGCACCCTAAATAATGGATGCCGTATTATAGACCCAAAAAGGGACCCTAATTCTGACAACCACCCATTTCAGGGATTCAGCCAAAGGTTCTGAGAGCCCAGCGAGTCCCGAAAGGTCGACCTTTACGCCCTGAAACCCGAGATTCTACAATGCTCCGCATCAAGAGTTAAGGAATGGTCATGAATTCCGAGTTATTGGGATTTGACAAAGCTAGGGTTCACCTCCCGGCGGGATGGAATGCAAGGATCGGCTGTGGTGTCAGAGAGCTCTACAGTTGGCACAAGCGGAGTCGGCCTCGAAGACCAGGAAGCGTCAGGGTTCACCCTAAACCCTAAATCCTAACCCCTAAGCCCTAACCCTAATACCCCTGAGCCCTAAACCCTAAGCCCTAAACTCAGGTCTTTCCAAGGTATTTAGAAGGCTCTCGCCTTCAAGTCAGCTGGGAGTTGAATCCCCACACCCCTACTTGGATGGGCAGGGGACTTAGTAAGTAGGTTATAAATAGGGTTGTATTTGGGGTAACCCCACTTAGGGTACTTATAACTCTACTTATAACCTACTTACTAAGTCCCCTGCCCTCCCAAGTAATCCCCCGAGCCCTGAACCCTAAACTAACTCGCACCACAAAGTTGGGAGTTGGGATTTAAGGTTTGGGGCTTAGGGTCGTCCGAAGTAACTGGCAGAGCCTGAAGCCTGAACTATAAAGCTCGCGAAATCAGATCAAGTCGTCATCTGAAACGCCCTCAACCCGAAACCCAACCTGGGAGTTTCCGAAATTGGGGGGTATCTTATTTCGGGGTCCTTATAATAAGGATCCTACTACTTAGGGTATTATATTAGGGTCCCCAATTCTCCGAAACTCCCAATGTCGTAAACCCCGAACCAAAAAACCACGTCCCTCCAGCCTTGACTATCTTCAACCCTCGCCTAAAACGTCCTAGACCCAAAGCCTTAGACCCAAAAGCACTGAGTCTGAAAACCTCTATAACTTTAAGATCAGAAACAACAAAGTGAACTGCAAGGCAGTTCTGAACGGGGGGTCATATACATCTAAAACCCTAAACCCTAAAACCCTATACAAAAAGGTGTATACCCATCTCCGGCCTCACAGTTACTGCTCCTTCTCGCGATCGCTGACGACATCCCAGCTGGCAAGGCTCATCCTGGCTCGCTGATTGCTGTATGTTTCTGTGTATACGCATATATACACACAAAGAGAATGTATCTTAAACGCACATACAGGTACACACGCGTACATAGGTACATTGATTTGATTTCGAGGCATTCAGAGGTGTACGCAGCTCTAATTAAATGCAGTCAGCCCGCAAAGCCAGGAAAGGCTTTGCAATGGGAAAATCCCAGAAATGTGTGGGCGCTGATATGCAAACGTCTGTACGTGTCAGCACTTGGCTCCACACCGTTCGGAGTTTCTCTGGGATGATCGACTGTATGTCCCGGGCCGCGGCGAGGGCTTCCCCGACATCTCTACACACAGAGTCTCTCGCGTCCCACTCTATGTACAGCTTCTCAGATGTCGGTCCAGGGGTCTCGCGACCGGACAGAGTCTGTGGAAGAACGTGTTCCCAGCTGATGGTCGCAACCTTCCGCTGGAACTCGTCAAGGGTGAGGGCTCCATCATTGGAGTCTCTGGTCCTGTGGTCGTCAACCAGGGGCAGCGGATGCTCCAGGGCCTCAAGGACGTGACAAGTAGACTCGGTGCCCCAAAGCTCTTCGGGGGCCGCAGCCTGGACTTCGAGCAGCTCGACTCGGATCTGCTCCAGGATGGTCTGCTCCTCCGAGTAGTACAAGGGGAACGTCGTCAAGATCTCGAGGATCGCTTGGAAGACCTCGGACACATTCGTCCAGTTGTCCTTATCGAAGAGCATGAAGCACAACGCCTTGTACGCCGCTCTAGCCTCATCGCTCCAATCCCGGCCGCTTTCGACAGGACAGGGCTCATCTCGTCGAAAAGTCGGAGCAGGCGTAAATTGTTCAATTTCGAGCTGGCGCCATTTCTTGCTTCCAAGCCCTGGTGCTAGCTCGGGGGCAATCTCGCCAATCGCTCGAAGAGCACGGACACACCTAGGTGTGTCCCGGAGATGGATGGAAAGTCTCGGCAGCGACCAGAACTCGGTACCACAGCCTTTGCAGAAGGTTCCCTTGGCAACCTTCCGATAATCTGCACATCTCCGGTGGGTCTTGAAAAAGTGAGCTCCCAGCCCTCCTTTCGACCCAAGACACCGGTGACACATTCGGCATTGCCATTGCTTCAACTTTTCGGTGTTGCCATGTTCGTCACCTCGAGCTTGGCGGTACATCGCCCAAAGAACCATGTCGCTCTTGTATCTCTCCATGTCCGCAACATGCTGCTTCTTGAGCATCTGCTTGACACGGAGCTTGAAGCGGTTGGGATTCGCACAAATGGCCGTTTCCCATGCCTGCCAGGAGCAGGTCTGATCCGGCCATGTATCATCAAACTTGGCCAGCTGGTTGAGGTCATCACGGACGATCCGCAGCCAGCTCTGCTCCGCTCGCAGTTGTGCCCAGAGCACAGCGGGCCCTTTGAGGCTCATGGCACATAACAGGCCAAGCCGGCTTCGTCTGGCAAGGTGCTTTAGCTCCCAGCTGTCAGTAGCTATGTGCACAAGCGGGGCCGGTACTTTGTAGAGGGCCTCGCCTTTGATCTCCGCCGCCAGAACCCGTCGCGGGCACCGGGTATATCCCCCACACAGTCGTCTCCATGAATCCCCGCAAGGAACCCACAGGGACAAGTTGAACAGCGTGGAGCGAACACTGGCCTCGTAGAGCTGGACACGCGTATGCAAGGGGATCGTACAATTTTGAAACAGGAGCTTGCGTCCTTGGTCAAATGCATCGCCAAGCAACGCAAGCCTGCGCATGGCTTCAGCTTTGAGGCTTAGCTTGGCATCAAGGACACCACCCAAGTGCGTGTATTGGGGGGTGATCTGAACTCGCACATCCAGGTCATGGAGGTAGAGCTCAGCCTTCTTGCCAGCAGTGAGTGATCGCTTGGCCTGTTGCGAGCCCGGGCCACATAGATGTACCATCACTGCTGTTTTTCCCGGTTTCAAGTTCGGAGCGAGACCGAACTCTTCCAGGGTTGCCAGGGCGATTGAGGAAACCCTTTTGATCTTGTCGGCAAGCCGCACAGGGTTCTCGTCACTGACCGGGATCACTGAATCATCGGCCCAGGTGGAGTCTCTGACCATACATGCCTCGGTCAAAGACGGCCCGGGGAGGCCGACAGGATTGGAGTCTGCCGGCAGGTACGTCAGAAGATCCTCACCATCCGCCCGCTCGATGATGGTGCCCAAGGTCCTGGCATAGATGTAGGCGAAGATTGCATCCGCCCAGCTTTCCCCCGGGCGTGACCCTGTGGCTGTGAGTGCCACAGAGTCTCCGGCAGAAAATGCCGATACACACCACGTTTGCCTGTGGAAATCAGCGCAGGCAGCCTGAACCACTGCAGAGTTTCCGGCCTCCTTCATCAAGCCCCCCGACTGTACCAGCTCCAGGAGGGTGTGCATGTCTTCCGGAGCCATGCCGAACTTGTCCAGCAGCTTGGCCACATTTTCATCACGATCTAGGGGGCCGAGAGCAGCTTGTCGGATAACTCTGTAGTAGGCCGCCGTCGTATCAATGAACAGCGCAGCATAGCTGTGCTTGTGGAGTTGGCATCGGCGGATGTGGGCCACCAGACTCATCGAAGCAAAACCAATGGGCGCTCCTCGTCGGCTGCCAAGGTGCAGTCCGTGGAGGACTTCGTGTAGTGCACCTTGTCCACGGTTTCGCATGAGCTTGTGGTAGGCCTTCGCCAGCACGCTGCTGACAAACAACGACCGATGGTTGGCTGGCTGGTCGATCTCTCCTGCACCTTTCCATGCTGCGTGCAGGATGCCTCCGCGCCACTGCACCGGTTGGGAGAGTGTGGCAAGGGACTTGACCACCAATGGATGAAATACTGCCGCCATCTGTGCCGGGGCAGCTCGGACGATTTCACCAGGGACATTGTCCAATCCCATCGCCTTCCCAATGGGCGCCTGTCGGATCACCTCTTCGGTCTCAGCCAAAGTCGGTAGGTCCTCGATCGACCAAGGCACGGCATTGTTCACCATGCCAGCTGTAGCTTCCTGCCTCAGGTAGACATCAATAGGCAGGACTCGTCCACACTCCTGGTTGCCAAAGTGCTCCAACCAAACAGCATCACGTTGCTCACGGCTTTCCGCAACGTTGCCCTCGGCATCAACCAGCCGTGGCAGAGGCTTTTTGGATACCCGGTTTTTCTTCCCACCCAATCCGTGGGCACGAACCCGGTGCAATATCTGGCCAACCGATTGCAGGCCATCCCTCACGAGGCCTTGCAAGAAACACCGCTTGTCATCATAGACCTGTCTCTTGATGCGGGCAGTGGTGAAGGTTATAGCGGAGGCCGCCAGCTGGTAGAGGAGCTGTTGTTTGGGGACTGCACCAGCACTGAATGTAGTTCCATGCGCCCATCGTTGATAGGCACACTCTTTGGCTGCATCCCACATCTTTCTCCTATGGCTCGCTGCAAGTTTGAGTCTCAATTTTGCAGCACGCCATTCCCAGACCTGCGGGGAGATGTAGGAGGCCTTGAGGCCACCCGCAGGCATCACGAAGTGTTTCTCCAAGATGTCCTGGAGGTAGTCTTGCAGGTGCTGGCAATGTTGGTTGACATCGGTCGTCCAAGCGGGAACCTGATAGCACTCCAGGGCAGTCTTGACCAGTGCTTTGCCCTCCTCAGTACACAAGCGCTGTCTGTCAAACTTCGGCCGGTAGAGCTTTTTCGCGGAGGAGATTGGGCCTGTCCAGGCCGACAGGCTTGCGCCCAGAGGGCGATGATCTTCGACTGTGTTGGCCGTGTCAAAATCCGCCACAACCGCCGTCATCACATCGTCAGTGCTCATCTCACCCCCAACTATAATGAAATCGATTCGGTGGAGGTTGCCACCCAAATGCTGAAAAGTGTGGCTTGGTCCTTGATGCCTGGCAGTAAACGTCGACGGGATCCATAGTCCATGGCGGTGTAGGAGGTCAGCAAATTGGCGGCCTGGGGGGTCTGGTTCTCCGTATTCCAGCCCCCCTGTGACTTGGGCGAAGTCTGGGGGTGGTCGCCCATTCGCATCTACACCCCCCAATATCAGATCAACACCGCGGACTTTGCTGAGCTGCTGGTCGAGGTCAGCGAGGGTGTCCCGGCGTTCCTGTTCACGGGCCTCGTGCGGGATGTGCGCCGAAAACAAGATCAGCTGCAAACCGGCTTTGACAATCTTGAGGAACAAGAGTCGAGGCCCGCTGTGGACGACAGTTGTGTCATTGTCATCAATGAAAACCGGTCGTTCATTCAGATCGAAAGCTCCCTGCTCCTTGCTGATCCAGATGGCTGTGCCCCAGTGTCCTGCAGCTGGGCTGGCGAACCTCACATATCTTGTTGTCCGAATCATGCCAGCAGCATCCTTGGTCTCCTGGAAGAAGGCGATGCGGGTTTTTCGCCAAGCCAGTTGATCCTCAACATAAGCATGCTTGCCCTTGAGGCCCTGAATGTTTATTGTGAGGAGCTCGGTGCGGAGCTTGGCAGTCTTGGCAAGACTGGTGCCGGAAACCGTGGGCACAAGCTGCTCGGGCTGAATGACGGACTTGCTGTCAGCAGCCGTGGGGTTCCATTCCATCCATCGGCCAGCCTTGATCGGCAGTACGTGTTGCCCATCAGGGGGCTCGGCTGCAAGAAGCCACGTGGAGTCCATGTTCCGGAAGGCTTTGCAATTACCTTGCGGGGGGCGAGGGACCCATTTGATCTGCCGGGCTGCAGCTTTGGCAATGACATCAGCCATTTCGTTCCAGGGGTCTTCATGGTGCGCCCGGACGTATTGAAAGACGAGGTTGCCATGCAGGAGCCGCCGGATGTAGGTCTCCAGTTCCCTCGTCTTGACAGCGAACTCGTTGCAGGGCGACCATTGTCCACTGGCACCCCATCCAGCTGCTTGGTTGTCGAAGTGAATGGTGGCCGAGGCAATCGACATAAAGCGTAGCAACTGGCCTATCCATAAGAGGGCCACCACAATGGCAACTTGTTCCGCATATAGTGGGTGCGGGGTCATTGCCCCCCAAGGTCCATTTTCAGCTCCCAGGATCCCGTCTCCGAAGCTTCCAAAGTGTGCCCAGTCATCTTTGTAGTTCAGGAGCACGACTGCGCCGTAGCCGCTGCAATTATGTGCTTCTTGGTAGGATCCGTCGGAGTAGACATGGACGCTCGGGGCTTCTCCTGGAGCAACACCGAGAAGCAGCACGGCCCAATGCACAAGGCCGAGTAAGGCAGCCTGTGTGACCGGCTTCCATTCGGCTTTGCCACAAATCTCTTGAAGCCATGTGTTGGGCCAGACCTGGAAAACAGCCTCAAGGTCGCCCAGGGTATGGCGGAATTCGACCTTCTCATTCGCGATGTCAAATGTGGCCACTGTGATGTGGTCCGCCAGCCTGAGTTCCTGGGCCATACCAGGGGAAGGCTCGTTTTCAGGCTCACCTCCTTCTCTTCTTGGGGATCGGCTTCGGTCCGCATCATGTCTGGGTCCATGTGACCTGGGCTCGTCGTCGTGGTTCTCAGTCTCACTTGGGCCTGGGCTTCCTGAGTGTCCCATGCTATCATCTTCATCCGGGTCCTCATCAGACTCTGCACTGAGCTCAGCTTCCGAAGCGGTTGGGGTTATGTCGTCGGTATAGCGGAGCACGAAGTTGAGAAGTTCACCATGTTGAACTTTGAGAACCGTTGGCGAATCTGTCCGCTGCCCTCCTTGGATAACAATGGACCAACCAGGGCAGTGGACGAGCTGGAGGCTGTCGATGAAGGGCTCCGGGTCAAAGCGCTCATCTTCTAGGGCCAGCCACCGGCCATCTTCCGACTCCACGCAGGTCGGCAAAAACAATGGTCTGGGTCCCAGGAGGATCCTGTCTATCATCTAGCACAGCAATGATAGAGCGGACCCGTCTTCCAAAGGAGGCCAGGCGCTCAGGCCTATCATTTGGAGACAGCAGCCATGTGTGTTCCACATCGACGTCCATTGCATCCGACACGATCTGCAAAGGCGACCTCGGGTCATGACGGGTGACGAGGTTGATGAGCGGCTCTCCACGTCCTTGTAAAGCAAGGAACCTGCCAGCTCGGGGTTGCGGCATCTCAGCATTTGGATTCCATCGACGAGGGGTGTCCAGTCTCTCAGATAACGGCGAGCACCAATCGACAACTTGGCCAGCCTGGAAAATCCGGATGAGGCCACCCTGGACAGCAGGCCTGATATCATCGTCGGCGAGGGGTGCAAGGTCTCCATACATGAAAACTGCTGGGTTCTCCCTCCATGACAGATTAATGGTCTTCAAAATCTGCCTTCGGCTGATCAAGCCCTGAAAGTAGTGCGGGTAGAAGCCCATGCCGAAAGCCGTCGCATCGATGACCTGGCAATAGATCCCGGAGAAGGGCACCCAGGTGGGGAGCAGGAGGAAGGTCACATACTCCTCGGCTGGTTGGGGTTGCACTTCAACTGTGTGCGACAACCATGTTGGCAGGTTGGAAGCCATGTCGTATATCACTCGATGCACATCGGCCTCCAACAAAGGGAATGCCATGGCCACATCCAAACATTCCGCTTCAAACATGGGAGAGAGGACGTGGAAGGAGATATGCTCAGCGACCGGTGCTGGATCAGCCGCTGGAGCATCGACAAGAAACTGCTCCGGCTCGAGCTCAGTGTTGGTCCTTTCCAAGGGCCTCTGCGCATCGAGCCTCTCAATCGCTCTGAGTGCTTGTAGTCGCAGGTCATCTTGGCTGAGTGCCCAGAAGGATGGGTCCTCAGTCAGGCGATGCCTTGCTGGTCGTCGGTCGTTCGGTGGGGCCGCCGTACTCACCTGTACTGCACTCCAGGCGATGCAAAGCTGTAGCAGCCGTCCCTGGCCGCGTCGCCTCAGTGTGAACTGCGCTCGGCCAGGTCTCCCAGGGGTCGCATTCCAGAGCATGCTGCCCAGTGCCGCCAGCCATATGCCTGCGACTGTGTTGATCCAGCCCTTCGCGCTGTCCACCAGGAGGGTGCCGTAGTGCTCGAAGAAGACTGCAAGGGCGGTGAGGAGGAGGTTCCCGACGTCGAGCACATCGATCATCTCCTTGTCAAAATCGTTGGATTGGTTCCCTGTGAGGGGAACAGGGAGAACAAGCCGACAAAGTCTCCCAAACAAAGGCTGCCCTCCGGAATGAGGCATCGGAGGGGGCTCATATACATCAGGTGGTGCACAAGACCGAAAAGGGCACCACATAGTCACTCGTTGGCCTTCTGCAAGAACTCTGCATTGCAGCCCATCCTTGCAGAGGCTCTCAAGGGTCCCTTGTCTCATCCCGGGTGGGTCCCGGAGGCAGCCGCAAGCTGGGCTCCAATCTCGGCAATGGACTGGTCCTCGCTGTCGGTCTCGTTCCCATCCGGGATCTCCTCGATCTGGTCCATCTTGCGAGCTCGAACACTCTCGAGCTTTCTCGCCAGGGGGGTACCTCCCAACGGCGTCGGTAATGGCTTTTTCGACGCCAGCTTGATCGGTGTTCGTAGTCTCCCGGCGCGACGCTGTCTCGTGACAGTCCGGCTCGATGGTGGCGATGGCATAGCACCCGGGAAGGCCGGGGAGGTCATGTAGGGGTCCCTGGTGCGGAGCATCACATCCGGGCTTTCCGTCACAGAGGGCAAAGGCCCCACCTGTGGTCCCGAATTGGCAGGAGGGCGTTCCACTGCCACCGTCGGCGAATGCAAGCCTCCCGTGGTCGGCCTCACCGGCGTGTGGGCCACATGCTTCTGCAAGGCCTCGAGCATCTGTTGCCGTGCATTTTGCTTCAGTCCCTCCTGTCCAACGATGGAGCCCAAGAGACCCGCAAGGCCCATGTCTTCGTCCTCCGGCTCTTTGGTGAGGGCTTCCCATTCTTTTTGGGCTGCATTGGTCATCTCGTTCTTGGGGGCATCCTTGGCAGCGGCATTCGTGATCATTGCCTCGGGGTGTAAGAGGGTTTCGTAGAGCTCGGCGACGGCCTTGTCCTTGGTCAGCATCCATTCGTTCTTCTCCTCCTCGAGCTTTTCCATGCCATCCTGGAACTTGGCCCTCTCCTTTGCGAAGGTGCTTTGCAGTTCCTGCTTGTACCTTTCCCATTTCGCGGCCATCTCCTTCTTGTCGTTGGCTGCCTTCCTGAGCTTGGCCTCCGACTTCCGGATCATGTTGGCCTGGCGCTGCACGAACTTCACCAAGTCGGTGGCTCCATTCGGGACGGAGGAGGGTCCAGGCTGGGCCCTGTTCTCGTCGCCCTCGGTCTCCGCCACCTCCATCGAGTCGAAAGCCGGGAAGGTCGAACGAGGGGCCGGCTCGGAGTGTCGCTTGGGCTTCTGTCGTTGCCGTGGATCTTGCCAAGCACCAGCAGATTGCCGCCGTTGCCAGGCTTGCCACTCTTCTTGGGTCCATTGCTTCTTGCCTCCCATCCGGAGCGTGGAGAGCTCACGGTACCTCGGCTGAGAGTGGTGGAGCGACAGCCGGAGTAGATCCGAAAGTCGCGGTTGGAGTCCACTGGCTCGATGAAGCCGGACTCGAGCCCTGGCCCGCGATCGGACCTTCCGCAGCCGTCGGTGCCAGGCGGGCGAACGAATGGCGTCGGCGTGCGTTGTGCACTGGGGCGTCGGCAATGCTGCACTACGGGCGAGCTTGCTCCGAAACCCTACATAGGTACATGCGTACATACATACATACATACATACATACATACATGCAGACATAAATACACACAGGCGCACACTACTATCTGTACATATACAATATACATGCACATGCATGTATGTTTGTATGTGTGTGTATATATGTATGTAAATATATACGTAGTCTATAAAAAACGTACATGCTGTGTGTGTATATATATATAGAGGAGCCGTAATGCTACTGGAGCCACTTGCAACCAAAGCACGCCGCGGGCAGGATCTTGGACATCATGTTCTTGCCGTCGCCGTCCCCGAACATGTTGAGGCGAACATCCTTTAGCACTGCCAGCCACCCCAGTCTTTTCCCAGGGAGCCCAAAACCCCTTCGTGGTTTAAACTGCATCAAGCTTCTGCGTATGATCCTCGACTTTCGGACCCTACACCTACGACTTCGTTGCGGAGTGATCGCTTTAGCTTTGCACCCAATACCGGGAGTTTGCCCCCTACATGCCTCAAGGACTTCGGGTTTAGGGTTGCCCAATAGCGGGAGTAGGGGTATGCCCCTAAAACAAAGGCTGGGGGGGAATGCGAGGCCAGGTAACTCATTCCCAAAGGGTCCAAGTACTCCCGAATATGGGACTTTAGGACCCAAAACCATACATAGGGACTACTTGGACCCTATTCACCTACAGGCTCCATATATAGTACCATTATGGAATTAGGCCCCCAAGCCATGATATGGATGGTCTTTTGGGGCCTATTTCCGTAATGGTACTATATGTGGAGCCTCTGGGTCAGTTCAAAGTTCAGGCTGCCTGCAGAGGTCAGAGGGAGTTCCGGGACTCGGGGATGCTCAGTATATGTCTGCCTATATCATACTCTATAAGAAATATATGTGTGTAATTACATGTGTATATATATATATATACACATATTCATGTTAATTTATATGCATGTGTATGCGTATTTTTTAAACAAATATATATATATATATATATATATATATATATATATATATGTACTCTCTTTCTCTCTATTATATACATGTATAGAGAGAGAAAGAGAGAAAGAGACAGAGAGAGAGGGAGTTCGGCGAAAGTCGGGAACTTCGCAGACTGAAGTGAAGTCTTTCAATGGCAGTGCAGTGCTTGTTTACGGCGGTTCGTCAGATTTCACTAGCCGGAGAAGACCGAGATAAAGAAGCTAAAGCCTCAAACTCACTTCCAGTACAACTTCAGCGAGGATATGCAACGCGGGGCTGCGCATCTCCGTCACATCGGACTTTCTTGCAAGGTGAGAACCAGAATCTATGATGTGACGGATGATCCACCCTACTTGGAGGTTCATGGCTAGTTATAAGTAGGCTAACTATACTTATAACCCATACTAGATGACATATAACCCCACTTATAACTACCTCTGAACCTCCAAGTAGGGTTTTAAGGACTCGTTTGCTACGGTTGATGATATAAATCCTGCATTACCCATAATAAGGAATATACCGTAAATCCCATAGTTTAGAGCCATTAAGGTAATGCAGGATTTATATCATCCACCGTATTTCGGGTTTAGTGTTTCTGGGGTCGGTATCCCCCGATGCTGCAAGCAGTCCCTCGGGTTTCGGTGCAACAGAGGTGCCCGGAGCGGCAACTTCTCGCACATCTCCACGGCTTTCTGCAGGCTGTGGCACCTGGCGAGGGTGTTTGAGTTTAGGGTATAGGGTTTAGAGAGCACAGGATCCAACTTTCGACTGCGATTCCAGGTGATGCCATTGTAGAACCCACAGATAACGGTGCTGAGACCAAACCTGACCTCCGATCCCAGCAGCCACTCTAGTTTCTGCACGTTACACTGATGTTCTGTGTCTGCGCTTGATCCGAGCGATATCGGTGAAGGCTAAACGCTTGATCGTACTACTTCTCCCTCAACCCTACAGCACACTGTCATGCAACGAGAACCCAGAAGCCGAATGACATAAGCTGATACAGGCGGCTTCGTGTGAACAGAGTTTTGCCATGGTATGCTTGTGGGACTATAAGAAGATGTGAGTACTCGCTCATTCAAACCGCGATTTTTGTTCTAGAGATAATTAGCTTGAACCCTAAACCTAAACTAAACCTAAACCCATTTTTGTTCAAGAGATAGCCTGAACCCTAAACCTAAACCCTAAGCTCATGTAGTGCTTTTTTTGCGGCCACCTGAGGCTGCTCTCAGGCATCTGTCGCTCCGCGTCGTACTGCATCCGCAGCCTTGCCGATGCTTGAGTTTTTTACTCACTGGAGTAGGGTTTAGGGTTTAGGGTTTTAATCTTTGGACTACAGTAGTAGTCCTTTTTGGGATTACCTTTTAGGAGTCTATATATGAACCCCAATAAGGAACTGCTTTAGGGCCTTTTTCTGTATGCAATAGGGACTACAGTAGAAGCCCAAAAGTTGGAAACCCACTAGCCTCAACCCTTAAGAGTAATGTATAGGGAATTCCAGCACTATTTGGCCTCAACCAGGTTTCCAACTTTATGGGGTGTACTGTAGGGTGTCAGGGTGTACTCGACAATACTTATATTGAGGAACCCTAAGAAGTAGTAGTACTGATTCGTCCGGACAATGCATTGGTGGCTTACATCGCCGTATGGGCTCTTCAGGGCTTGGGGAGCTGCAAGCTTTTGAAAGCGGATTCGAGAGACTTAGCTTCCAAGCCTTAGACTTACAAAATATCGTACGTGAAAACTCGATCAAGCATTACTCAGGCCCTGTATCTAGAATCGTGATTATAGCATAGTAACCTATAACAACCCTTGCTGCCACGAGCACGTTGTCACCCAATGATGTAAGACCTTCTGCTAGCAAGAAATGGCAAGAAATGCACGAATACCGTCTATGGCAAATTGGCCCGGGGAGTTTGAGTCCAGCCAAACACCCTGCCGATGATTTATCAACACCAACTGAGCCCACACAAAACCCTACAATGTAGGAACCTGATCAAGAAAACTTGGGCCTCTTTATTAGGGTTGCTTACATGAGTCCTACTAATTTGGGGTTATAGGCCCAGGGTTTCTAAATCAGGTTCCTACATTACCCTGATTTTCGCCGCAGGTTGCTTGCTGTCCAGATGACCTGTCCATCTCGGCTTCCTTCTGGAGCCGCGCAACCTGATCCGTTGAGACAAATGCCGGAAGAAGGTCTATGCTTGTGATTAACATAAAGGTTTTCGGAACTGAGTATTTCCCTGCCCAGGCCAGGACGTGCTGGGCTTGCGGCAGATGTGAGATATCGAGCCAGGTTGCAGGTTGTCATACGTAACATCTTCCAGGCAGTCTCAAGCTCGCGGGCTAGGTAAGCGGCAACACCAAACTAAATCCCCAGACCCTAAACCCTAACCTACCTGGACCGTCACGCGCAGTCTGTGCATTGTCGTCACCACGAAAATAAGTCAAAAACACTGTGTTTGAGGGTCTACCTACGGCATTCGCAGGTCTTCGGCTCTTTTCTGTTGGATCAGTTCCACGCCTTCAGACAAGCAGGGAACAGGACAGAAGCTTAATAACAACTGAAGCCCGGACTACTGTAGCTAAGCCATGTCATCCCGGAGACTCCAATATCCCTTAGTTAAGCAACATATATTCCTTAGATCATATTCGGGATCCTACTCTAATTTTAAGGTATATTCCTTAATTCAGTGATATTGGGGTCTCAAGGAAGCTCTACAAACTAAACCCTAAATCCCGCTAACAGTAAAGTCCACTGATCAGGAAACAGTCTCGGTCATACTGCATCAGTCCATTGCAGCAGCGGGGTCTAAAGCACCTAATAACTTGGTCTTCTTTCGAGGCCAACAAGTAGTAGGTAAGTACTTGGGGAACCGTGTGACTACGATGTCTTTGGAACCGCAGGTTTACAACGAACGCCACGCGCCTCAGCCTTGTTCGCAGCCCGCTGCTTCTCGACACGGCTCTCCTTCCGGTTCGTTGGGGGCTTCTGTAACCCTAAGGGCTCATGTACCCAAATATTATATACTTTGGCCCCAAAGTACCTGAACAGAGTCTACTTTAAGGCCAGAATATTTGCTATTTAGGCACATGGACTCTTAGAGTAAGGGCTCAGGGAAAAGTGGCTGAAGAGTAGGAATTAGTTTATGCACACCGAAACAGCTTAGGGTCTTCCTGGTCTTCACATGCATCTACCGCTGAATATTTGGGTTTAGGCTTTAGGCTCTAGGGAGTCTAGAGTTTAGGATTTCGGGTGTAAAACGCCGTTGGAAACCACAATCAACTTACAATGTCAGCGCCCGATAAAGTCGCACGTCGCACCCTGTGCCACTCCGCTGTCAAACCTTTCCTCGAATCTCCATGGCAATTCCTTTTTGGGGGGCTACCTTTTAGGATCCTACATACTTAGGAGCTGAGTACCCTACCCCCAAGCAGTTAACCTTTTCAATGATGGTAGAGTTAGATAAATCCCAAAAGGGCAAAGGCTACCTACTCAGCTGCTAAGAATACAAACGGGGTAAACTACTAAAGTGAACCCTAAACCCTAAACCCCTAAACGGGGTAACTTTCTAAAAGGAAGCCTAAACCCTAAGCCCCTAAACCCTAAACCTTCGCCGGTTAAACTAGAGCAAAAGCCCAAAAGTTGGAAACCCAATAGCCTCAATCCTTAACAGTAATGTATAGGGAATCCCAGCACTATTTGGCCTTAACAAGGTTTCCAACTTTCTGGGATTCCCTATATGTAAGTTTCCGAAAATTAGGGGTACCTTATTTTGGGGGGCCTTATAATCAGGAAGGATCCTACTACTTAAGGTACTATACTAGGGTCCCCTATTTTCGGAAACTCCCATATAACAAAAGGAACTACAATGGGGCTGGACTGCGTCCTTCTCGAGGCGGGCGAGCTCGATCTCCTCTTGGATAGGCTTCTTGTAGGGCTTAGCTTAGGGTTTAGGGTTCAGGGTTTAGGGTTTAGGGGTTAGTTTAGGGTAAAGGGCTGAGGGTGCTTTAGGGATTGTTGGGGTGCTTCCTTGGTTGAGGTTAAGGCTTAGAGTTTAGGATTTATCGGGGTGCTTCCGTGGTACTTCCGCACGAGCACGTCTGGAATGCACTCATCACGGTTCTCATGACGGACCTCGAGAAGAAGAAAGAAGACCCAGCAGTCAAGGAGAAGATCGTATGCATCCAGGAGTACTGCGCCAAAATGAGTCAAGCCGGGCATCGCGCTCTCCTCAAAGAGGTGGCTTATGCTCGCGTCCAGAAGTGCTACGAGAGAGAGTTCAGGAAGCTGGAGCTCAACGTGGCCGAAGGCACACCGTCGCATCAAGTCTTCCTGTACCTGGTGGATTATCTCGAGCACACACCCAACGTCGTGGAGAAGCCAGGGCAAGCTCCACCCGGTGACTTGGAGCGTCGCCTCCAGCAATGGCTGGATGGCATGCAGGATAGTCGCTGATAGTAGTTTCGGTAGTTGCTGCGTACTGCTGTTGCGAGCTGTATGCAGTGAGTTGCCATAGGCGTTTGTGCGCCGGTGTGGTCAACTTGTTGCTGCCAGTGGGCGTTCTTTCGCTCCAGCTGCCATGTAGAAGTGCATGGCGTTCTCTGGGTCAGTACAGTTTTGTGGACACAAGTCCTGAGTAGTGCGCCTTCAGACGTGCCGTCGTTACGACCCTGCAGAGTCCGAGAGAGAGAGAGAGTGGAATTTGATGTTACGGGGAGAAGACTATTGTGCCAAGGTCGGGATTGTGGCAACGGCGTGGGGCGATTTCGTTTCGGATTCCGAGCTGCTTCGTCTACAGAGGCTTTGGGAATTAGGTTTGGCATGCCAAAGTAACCCTGAACCTGAACCAGAAGGCCTTAATCCGTAAAGTGGCCCTAGGCCTCAAAGCCCTCAAAGTAGAGTACATATGGTTTAGGAGTTTAAGGGTGTGGGGCTGTATACAGGCTCATAAGTGTTTCTACAGCCAACAGCGTCTGTTGCTGTTTGGGATTCTGGGTCTGGTAGAAAGGGAGGTCCAGTGTTGATTGGGTCTTCTTCTTTGTTTGTTTCTGCTAGTGTTTCGATTGGGTCTTCAGCGTTTAAGGTTTAGGGCTGTTTTACGTGTTTAGGTTTCAGGCTTTAGGGTTTAACGGTTCCCTCAAAAAGGAGCCCGTAGAGTACCCTGCAAAAGGAACCCTTAGAGTTTAGCTTCTGACCTACCTAGAGACTCCAATATCCCTTCATTAAGGAATAGACCTCAAGTCATATTAGGGGTCCTACTAGAATTCGAGGTATATATTCCTGAATTAAGGGATATATATCGGCGTGTCTGATTTACGAAGGCACGGAATCTGGCCTCCTCCATGCGCAATCGGGCCTTGGCAGCCTGTTGACAGAAGAAAACCACCAGAATCGGTATCGAGATCTGAGAGTCCGTAAGGGTTAGGGTTTTAGGGTGTCAGGTTTGGGTGCAGGCTGAAAGAAAGGTCCAGGGAATGCTGCTCACTGAGGATAATGCTAGATGAAGGTTTTAGGGTGTCGGGTTTGGGTGTAGGGTCTAAGGTCTAGGGATTACTGCTTATTGATGATGGTGCTAGATGAAGGTCGTAAGAATAAGGGTCGGCAACGATAGTTCCCATGTGGCAGGAGTCGTGGTTCCAGCCATCCTACAACAGAGAGTGCTCGTGCTCAGGGCATGGCAGCAACTCAAGTGTGTGTGTGTGTGCGTGTGTGCGTGTGCGTGCGTGTGTGCGTGTGTGCGCGTGTGCGCGTGTGCGCGTGTGCGTGTGTGGGCGTGTGTGCGGGGTTGCGTGTGTGCGTGTGTGGGCGTGTGTGGGCGTGTGTGGGCGTGTGTGGGCGTGTGTGGGCGTGTGTGGGCGTGTGTGGGCGTGTGTGGGCGTGTGTGGGTGTGTGTGGGTGTGTGTGGGTGTGTGGGCGTGTGTGTGTGTGTGTGTGTGTGTGGGTGTGTGTGGGTGTGTGTGGGTGTGTGTGTGTGTGTGTGTGTGTGTGTGTGTGTGTGTGTGTGTGTGTGTGTGTGTGTGTGTGTGTGTGTGTGTGTGTGTGTGTGTGTGTGTGTGTGTGTGTGTGTGTGTGTGTGTGTGTGTGTGTGTGTGGGGTGTGTGTGTGTGTGTGTGTGTGTGTGTGTGTGTGTGTGTGTGTGTGTGTGTGTGTGTGTGTGTGTGTGTGTGTGTGTGTGTGTGTGTGTGTGTGTGTGTGTGTGTGTGTGTGTGTGTGTGTCTGTGTGTGTGTGTGTGTCTGTGTGTTTGTGTGTGTCTGTGTGTCTGTGCATGCATTTGTATAGATGTACATATGAAACGATGTTGATTGGGCTACCTTACAGGCGGCTAAAGCATCAAAACTGACTGTGCGCGGCTCGAGAATTACGACGAGGTTGCAGGCTTACAGCTGAGGTTTCAATGATTCGGGTTCAGGGTTCAGCTCAGGCATACAGCTCCAGGTTCAGAGTTTATAGCTTGGGCCTGGGGCCTGGGGTTGTGAATGGCCAGGCTTCACGGTCGAGACGTCGAGATTTGTGGGCCTTGGGTTTAGGTTTAAGACCGGAAGGCACATAGCTCAAGCACCCTGCATTACACCATCTGCTGCCTCTGCCTGCACTGCGAAGAGCTGTGCTTCTTCCTCGCCACAAGGCTGAGTGATCCACACTATACTACACTGTACTATACTACACTAGACAAAGCTATATTGTACTATACTGCACCGTACTATACTATACTATACTTCTAGGGCTCGGCTGGGCTTTGACAAGGGTTTAAGGTTTTCTGTCTTGGGTTCATGGCTCACGTAGCCTTGCAATGTACATAGGGCTCCTCCAGGAACAGGCATGATTCTTTGCCCGCTTGAAGCTCGGATTTTACCAGTCTGAGACACAGAGACACATAAAGAAGGCACAGCAGCAAGGCCCTCCTTCGAACAACGAAAACCGACTCCGGGTCTATGATAGAGCTGAGGGCTTGGCAGTTTTATCCCAAAGGCTCCATGTGCCCATCTAGTAGGTACTTCGGCCTTAAAGTAGCCATAGAGGGACCCCTTTAAGGCTTAAGTACCTACAATAGGGGTACATGGAGCCTTTGGGTATGTGACACATTCCGGCTCGGAGCGAGACCCTCAGACTTAAACCGTTCTGGGTTCAAGGGGAGGCCGCGAGTCCCCCTATAGTATACCTTTAAGGGATCTCTAGGGGTGCTAGAATAGAAGGGTTTAGGGTTTAGGGTCTACTTGGAGGATCATGGGACTTAGTAAGATTAGAGGTACTTTAATTGGGGTTTATACTTACCTTATTTATAACCCGAGTTACTAAGTCACATGATCCTCCAAGTAGAGGACTGAAGAAAAGCCATAGCACTAGTACTACTCTTTAGGGTTCCTTATAGTGCTGATACTGTAGTATGTCCCCAAGACCCTATTCGCCCTATCCCAACTGTTCAAGCCCTCGGAGAGTGATGTATTTAGGGCTTAGGGTTTAGGGTTTGGGGGTTTAGGGTTTAGGGGTTTAGGGGTTTAGGGGTTTAGGGTTTAGGGGTTTAGGGTTTAGGGTTTGGGGGTTTAGGGTTTAGGGGTTTAGGGTCCGGGGGTTTAGGGCTCAGGGGTTTAGGGCTTAGGGTTCAAGGCTTTAGGGTGATGGATTTAGAAGAAGGCAAGCATTGGACTGAAGCCAGGATACGACGGTGTCGAAATCCTATAAAACCCTTTTTGCTGGAAACCTGTCGCAAATATGGTAAGAAAACCCAAAAATTAACAAGAAAACGGTACTGCAGTTTAGCGTTTAGGCAATACTCACAAGCAAACCCCGAGAAACCCTAAACCTTAAACCCTACAAACCCTGTGAGCCCTGTAAGCCCTGTAAACCCTAAACCCTAAAACTTATAAACCCTAAGCCCTAAAAATTACGGTTGATGATATAAATCCTGCATTACCCACAATAAGGAGTATACCAGAATTCCCATAGTCTAGGGTCCTTAAGGTACTGCAGGATTTATATCAACAACCTAAACCCTAAACCCTAAAAACCCTATAGATCCCTTAAAGGAGCCCCTTAAAGGTACCTCTTATGGATCCCTTTTGATCATCCACCGTTTCCTATCATCAACCGTATAAACCTTAAATCTCCAAGCCCCCGCTGGGCTCCTGCTCCGCCTTCAGCCGCTGTCTTGCTGCCGCAAGACGCTGCTCAGCCTCTGCCTGTGAGTCAGATAGGGCTGAGGGTTTCGAGTTTAGGGCTTATAGGGTTTAAAGGGTTTTTTTTCAGCACCTTTTTCCGCACCTTTTTCTGCCTGCCCCTGTCTAGGTTTAAAGGGTTTAGGGTTTAGGGCTTAGAAAGGAGAAGAAACGGAGAAAAGCGAGGTTCAGTTGGGGCTCAGGATTCAGGTATCCGACATGTTTGGACGCAGGGACCGAAACGGTTTCGAAGTGGCTTGCGGCCTCTGCCTGCCGTGTCAATGCGGTGTTTTTGCTGGTAAGGATTTAGGGCTTACTTGGAGGTTCATGGGTAATTATAAGTAGGGATATAAGTAGGGTAACTATAATAGCCCATATTAGGGGACTTGTAACCCTGCTTACAACTATCCATGAACCTCCAAGTAGGCTTTAAGGTGGTCGTAGGTACGTGCGAATGCATGTACATACATGCACACCTGGAAGCACTCATGGATGCATACACACATGTTCACATACAGACGTGAAAGCGTTTTGTGTGCATGCAATGAAGTCTGCATGTATCTATGTATGTATGTATGCATGTTCGTCTGTAGGTACAGTATGTATGTATGTATGTATGTAGGTACGCATGTAAGTATGTATTCTTGCATGTCGTTGAGATAAGCACGGATGTGTGGATGTATGGATGTAGGGATGGATAGGTGGATGGATGAATGGATGGATGGGTGTACATACAAATCAAAATACATGAATGCATGCATGCGCAAATTCCGGCACTGGATCGTGGCTGCCACACTATTTAGGGCTTCGAGGCGCTAAACAAAAGACATGACCGGATGAACAGCCGAAGAGGAAACAACAAAACCAGTCCCGAAGGTGCTAGTTTTGACATCCAAACCCAAAGACAGTACATCACGACCACCACCGCCACCACAACCACAGCCGCCACCACCACCACCACCCCCACCACCGCCACCACCGCCACCACAACCAGCACACCACCGCCAAAAACAACAACAGCAACAGCAACTGTCCAGCCCCCGACTTGGAAGTTCATGGTTAGTTAGAAGTAGGGTTATAAGTAGGGTAAGTATACTTATGTCCCATATTCGGGGACGTATAACCCTACTTATAACTACCCCTGAACCCGAAGTAAGTCTAAACTCCTGAACTTTAAACACCACGACCCTCGGAAGCCCAGCAGGCCCTGGGCATTTTGTATAGGTTGAGAATACATAGTAAAGTTGCGTTATGGTCCTGTCTGAGACACTTAATTCCACCTTTAGATCCTGCTAGTTCTATTGGTTAAGGCCCGCCATGTAACCGGATACAACCCGGAAAGCCCTACAAGACCCTATAAAACCGCGACAACTTGGTAAAACCGCTATGAAACTACGAACCCACAAAGACCCCCCCAAACCCGCTAGAACCCAGAAAGCCGGGCTGCCTCTGCCCGAGCCTTTGACAGCTTCACCTCGTCCTGGGGTTTCTCCGGGCTTGGGCTTTCGTGTTAGGACCTGCCGTTTACCTGTTCACGGAATGCTTTGGAGTTGAAGGGCAGGGGTTTAGGTTCACGCTGTCATAATGCACGCGACCTTGTCATCACGATTATGTCAAGCATCGTTCTTACTGTTGAAGCTCACGAGTTTGTGACGTTGATTCGGGTGTCCAGAGCTTAAGGTCTAGGAAGTTGCTCGGTTGTTTGAGACGGGGGAGGCCGTTGCGGTTGCCCCAAGAAACCCAAGCCGCCCAGCCCACTAATCAAACCTTAAACTGATCTTCCCCTGAGTTTGGGGGTTCTGGGGTCCCGGTTTTCCTGCAAGAACCTTGCAACGAACCCTTACAAACTCGCCTGCAGCCGTCGCTCTTGTAGCAGCCTGTCGGTGTCCAGGCGAGCCTGTGGCAGAGGAATTTCGAGTTTAGGGGTGCGGACGTCAACGCTAAGCCTTTTTCTTTGGTTGAAGGGTTTGCTTCTACATCTTGAGGCTCCTTTTGGAGTCTCAGGGCTCAAAGTTTGGGGCGCTCGGATCTTTATGTCTTACGTGGGCGTACGGCCTTGCTCGTAGCCGTGCTACAGAATCCGCCGATCCTCGGGACGAGGCTGTAGGGCTCAATGGCAGCTTTAAGGTATTTCGTTGTGGATGAAAGGATGGGTTTCGGAGCTCGGCTCGCTAGAAAATGAGACTTGCATCCGTTCCATTACATGAAAGTCGAACAAGTTTTTTGGTGCGCTATTGTTCTGAAACTCCACTTAAGGTTGAGGGATAGGGATTCAAACAAATCAAAACTTGGAGCGCAGAAGCGCTCAGAGTTCAACTGCATTCAAGCTCCAAGATCGTCATTCTGATGTTCTGCATATGACATACGCAAAGTTGCAATCGACGTACAGGGCTCAAAGGGCGCAGTTGTTTCAAGACAAAAGCGAGAGTTCCCACGAAATCCTGTGGCAAAAGCTGGAGTTCCGAGTTCAAGGAGTCGAAGATGTCAAAAGGGTGTCGGCAGGGGGTTTTGGATGGTTCACAGCTTGAGAACTTCAGGTTAGGAAAGCACGCATTCTGGGATGTCATACAAAACCTGCATAGTAACACGAGGTGCAGGGAGTACTCCGACACCAAGTTTGACGGGTGCATGAGCTTCTGCCCAGACTCCATGACAGAAGCCCTACCGCCGTAGTGCTACCACCGAACATAAACCTTGACCCAGACCGTGCACGTGGTGCATTTGCTCGGGCATGGGATAAAAACATTTATGCCCAACAGTAACAATGAAGCCGGAATTGCATGAGATAAAACTGTCCCTGAAGCAACACGTATGTATGTATCTGCCTACACATAAATAAAATATGTATATGTATATGTATATATATATACACACACACGCTCATGCCGTACAAGATGCCCATGTGCACGCATATGCGTAGTAGCGTTACATAACGACGCGCACGGAAATGTGTATACACGGACCCGCCAATATCCATGTCGTAGCTTGAGCACAGGGGTGGGAAGCGCGACGCGAGCTGAACACTTTGAACTTGATGAAACCACATGGGTGCTTTCGGGATCTGGCGTCTCTGTCAACTTCGCTCGACGGCACAGCGCCCCGGAACCACCAGGACTTACAGATTTGGCATATCACACATAGAAGCCGAAATCGCAAAATTGTAAGCTTCAAAAATATAATGGCATGACACTGGCTTCGTTTGTATGCACATTCTTTGCTACTGAGAATATCTTCTTGTTTTGGAATGCTGCAACATGCACACGAATCGAGGTCACTTGAAAATCATTTGGGCACACGCAGCTCTGTGGCACTGCCACCGAAACGGACGATCCTCCTACCCTGCCTCGCACCTTCCCTACCTCGGCGCTGGATCGGCCGATCCTACCTCCGCTTGCTCATCCTACCTGCCTGCCTACCAGGCCGCCTTCCTGCCCTGCGTCCTTGCTTCATGCTTGGACATGCTCCTTGCATAATGACTTACTTACCGTCATTCCGCTGAGTGGATCCTACATACCTACCTGCCCTACCTCCTGCCTACTTCTGCCAGTATACAGTGACTCTATGGTTTCTCAGGTAGGGTGCATGGTGCGTAAACCCTACACCCAGTAGGATGGACCTTCATCCTGACACGAAACAACCGCGCATGTCCAAACCAGAACGAACTGTGAGATCTCTCCAAAGCCTATTCTTTGGTCTTTGGTCCCACCAGACCACTCTGGCATATATGAACCGGAGACGCTATCTTTGCAATCCTAATGCCAGGCTCTGGCATCGGGTAACAGGCTTGATGCTGAATGCAATGCAGAATCTGAGGACCCGAAACCCTAAGCACAAAGCCTCAAACCCAAATCTCGACCTTAAAAGCTGAGCCCTGCAAATCTACCGACTTGAACCTTATTTGAAGCCTTTCGTATCTCGCTACGACACTTCAAACGAACTGTTTAGGCTGTCTCTGATTATCGTCTATGGCTTCGGGTGCAGAGTGCGGGGACTGCTCTGGAGTCGTTCCCTGTTTGAGGTTTGCAATTGGTGGGGTAGGTTTCTTCCGTTAAACGAGTGGCTTCAGTGCACAATGTTTAAGCAAATTCCAATACAATCATACACAGCTGGCTCCCCATTGTCAGACTCCTAAACCCTAAACCCTGGCCCCAAACCCTGCATAGTACGATCCTCATGACCAGGACCGACACCGACTACATCTTGCGGTTTCAGGTGTGTAACGCCCTAATCATACCCCGAAAGCCCTGGGCCAAAAGTGCACGATCCAAAACTTAAGCACATAGGGATCATTGGGATCTGAATAGTCAGCCAGTACTATTCCTTAAAATGATTAGTTAATTAGTAATACTACTCCTTGGACTAGGTGACTAAGATTTCCTCCATACTGCGCCGGTCCGAAAGTTCGTCGCACTCTGTGTTGTCGACTTAGAACATGCCTGTTCAAGACCCCTTTTCCCCGTAGACTCCTCCAGAAGTCCTCCGCCGGGAACAATTATAGTACTATAATTTCATTCCCGGATGATAATTCCTCCGCTAGCCATGCTGGGTATTCCTCGCAGCCCGGACTCCACATACTCCGTGCAGTGGATCAGTGTTGCTAACGGATGCGACGACACTTTAGTACCGGGCATGTATAGCTGTAGTAGGATCAATGTTAACGCCCTGTTCTAATTAAGACCCTCGCACGAAGACACAAGATCCATCGGGCTCCGTGCGGGCTTAGGGATTAGGTTTTAGGGTTTATTGCAAAGGGTTGTTTATCTCCAAAACCAGGCTTCTGCGTAAGGTTCATGAATAATAGCTTCGGAATTTTGGGGATGCCGGATTTACCCCAAGCCTCTAAAGCCCTATAAGCCTTAACATATAAAAGCCTTGAAGCGCTAAACTCTGACATTCAAAACCCCAAGCCCCTTAATAGAGCCCTGCGAAACTCTTTATAAGAACCCTTACCATTGTTCGAACCCGCTAAAAACGAACCCTTAAACCCCACCAAAAGAAAGCACTAAAACCGAAGCCCTAAACAATCCGCATCATCCCGAGATCCCTAACCATTAACATCCTTAACCCCGAAACCCTAAACCTCAAACATTGAACCCTAAACCAAGATCTGGGACCCTGAACCCTACAACCTCATCGCAGAACCTCAAAACTTGAACCCTAATCCCGAAACCATAACCCTAAGGGTCCAAGTACCTGATTATCATATACTCTCCCAAATAGTAACCTACATAACTACTATCCTAAAGCCAAGTACCTGATTATTGGGTCCTGTGGACCCTTGGGGTAAACGAAACCCTAAACCCCTAAACCTTAAACCCCCAAACCCTAAACCCTAAACCCCCTAAACCCTAAACCCCCTAAACCCTAAACCCTAAACCCTAATCCCGAAACCATAAACCAAGAAGCAGTGCGCCTCCTCGGCCTTTAACCTCACCTCATGCCGGTGGGCTGCCTTCCCGATTCAGGAGTTCGGACTTTGGGGGCTCATATGTAGAATCCTATGGGGTAATCCCAAAAAGGAACTACTATGGGGCATATGGGTAGTGCTTTAAGTGTCTAGAGTCGTTCGGACTTTGGGGGTTTCAGGGGTTTAGGGTCTAGGCTTTGGGGTTTAGGGGCTCTTTAAATGGTTCCTTTAAAGGAATCTATAGGGTTTAGGGTTTAGGGCTTATAGGGATTCAGGAGTTCGGACTTTGGGGGTATGGGGTTTCGGGTTCCCAGGCACTCCAATATCCCTTAATTAAGGAATATTCCTTAAATCTTATTAGGGATCCTACCATAATTTAAGGCATATTCCTTAATTAAGGGATATTGGAGCCTCTGGGTTTCAGGGGTTATAGGGTGTGTTTACGGTCTAGGGTTTCAGGGTTTAGGGTTTGTTTGGGGTTTCGGTGTGTAGGGTTTAGAGTCTGTTCAAGGTTTCAGGGGTCAGGGCACTATGTAGCCCTAAGGGTCCAGGCACATGTTAATACTGGGTTGTGCTTTAAACCCTTGAAAATTATTTATGAATAGGTTCCCTTTAAAAGAAATAAAGGAAATTAAAAGTTATCCCAACGCACAACCCAAAATATTCATATACTCGCTTAAACTCTCACCACCTATGTTACTCAACCCTTAAAATTCGTGGGTCCAAGGAACATGTAGGCTGGCACATTGCAAAAGGTTTTGGGGTGTCAGCATCTTGGCTTTGCGCTTTGGCAACTTAAACTTTAGTTTAGGGTTCCGAGTTTAGGGTTCAAGGCTTTGGGAGGAAGGCTTTGGGAGGAGCTCCAAAGTGGGTGGTTGTCAAAATTAGGGTCCCTTTTGGGTACCCTGAATCTTTAGGTGCCGTAGTATAATACGGACCCAAAAAGGGACCCTAATTTTGACAACCGCCCAAGTGGAAGCCAGAATGTTGGAGTTTGCGGCTGAAGATCTGGGGTTTAAAACTGAGTGTGGCTTCAGGTGTCTTGTTGCTGTACGGGTTGCGGGTTTCGGGCGCTTGTCTCTTTCGGGTATACCGGCCGGTTCAGTGGTGACCCGTGGGGGGCCGAAAGCAATTTCTTCACTCTCAAACTCAACGAACGACGAACAGTTCGTTCCATGAAAAGCCTGGACCTAAACCCTTCAAAACAGCCATTTACCAACATGAACCTGCGAGTAGAGTAGAGCTTGGCAGGTTATGAGCTGAATAGAAGCGCAAACTTCGCACTCTGAACCTTATATATTCACAATGTACGGTCGTACAGCAAGGTACAACGGTTCTGAGCCAGATCTCATCGCAGAGACCAGGATAAGCTGATGAATCCTTCAACCCTTTGTTGCCTGAAGGTCCTCGAAGAGCTTGCCGGAGCAAATGCGAACATCTGCGATCTCCTAGGTTGTGGGCCCAAAGCTATCATGCCATAGGGTCTCGGTCAGGATCCAGGCCGCAGGGTTTCCATTTCGGCTTGTGGGCTCGGGGTTTTGGTGATTCGGATCTGGAAGGAGAGGCCTGGAAGTTTGAGTCAAAGGGGAAAAGGAGGGACCCTTAATAAGGACCCCTAGGTATATACCCTTAATATAGCCATTATATACCCATTATATAGCCCCATTAAGGGTCCCTCCTTTTCCCCTTTGCTTGAGACCTTCGGGCATCTTTGGGCTGAGAGTTGAGACCCAGGGCTTGAATCGGGGGGATGGGCACGCTCAAGGAGCACGGGAAAAATCGCTCTGGTGGTCTGCGAATCTGTGGTTCACACGAGGTGGGGCTTAGGGCTTAGGGTTTACGCAGTAGGGTTAGAACCCTAAGCCCTAAACCCTAAACCTAACAGCTGAGAACACGTAAGCTGGACACGGAGACCTTGTCCCGGTACTCATCCCAAAAGATCCCGAGGCAAGAAGAAGGACTTTTATCTCCAAACAATACCTAGAGGCTCATACCCCACACCTTTTTTAGGATAGCTAGCTTTATGGTTAGGATCTGTTATCTTGAAAAGTAGGCGCCCTAAAAAAGGGGCAGGGTATGAGCCTCTAGGTAACCCATAAGGTCGGAAATCTCGATTTCTGAATGCAAGTTCATACTGACCTGCCAAGATTGGGTGGATTGTCAGCTCAGAGACTAGACCCAAGAGTAGCCTAGGAATATAAAGGGTGCCCTTTTTGGTTTAAAGGGGCTTATAAGGGAACCTGAACCCCAAAAAAGGGAATAAGGGCCTACTCTAGGTCCTAGGAGAAAAGCCTGCATAGGCACACCGTACATCAAGGACTGGAGATACGTGAGTTTCCGCAAACAGTGGACCCTAACATAGTACCCTAAATATCCTTATCAGCCTTCTCATAAGGACCCCAAAATCAGATACCCGAATTTTCGGAAACTCCCATATATGGACGCAGATGAGCGTACTGATGAGCCGGTGCCCACCAGTGCTCAAACCATGGGTCTGGTCAGATACGAATGCAGAACAACTCCTTGAGTTTAGGGTTTAGGGTCTAGGGTTTAGGTGACCCAAGCCCAAAGCCAAAGACCTTAGGTGGCAAATTGACTACTCCTACGCCCTTCCTGAACCCACGCAAACCCTGAAAACCCCAGTTTCCGCCAGCTAGAATCTAAACTGAAAGTCCGCTCGCCGACACTATGCCACAATGAAAGATTCTAAAATGAGGTTCTATATGGTTTAAACCTGGAAGCCCTCAGCAAGCCCCAACTAAACTCTGACCATGACCCCCTGAACCAGAAGCCCCAAAGCCCTTAACAACGCAACTAGACTACCCAGAGGCCCCATTGTAGTTCTTCTTGGGATTACCTTGTGGGATTCTATATATGAACCCCCAAAAAGAACTACTTTGAGGCCTTTGGGTACGTAGACAACCTCAACCCCTCAACTTCAAACACTAAATCCTTGAAACTGCCAAAAACTGACCCTCGGGTTTGGGAATTGGAGTTCTAGGGGTTGTATGATCCCAATCGAACCCTTCTAGAACCCTGTTGCGGGCTCTTATGGACCTTTAACACTGAGCCCTAAAGCCTAAACCCTATGCCCGAAACGCTATGCGTTGAACTCTTTTTTGTAACCTACTAAAATCACGCCTCAGGCCACCTAGGTGAGCAGACCACCGGACGAGCCGAGACTCGATAGCTTCCACCCAGACGCCCCAACCTTGCACCTTCGGAGGGTTTAAGCACTTGGATACGGTTTCTTTAAGGGCTCCTTTTATAGGATTGCTACAAGGGTGACTATAAAGCTTTAATATATGGACCTGAACAAATGGAGAAGGTTTTCCAAGCTATAGGGCTATATAGAATGAGGCAATGCATCACGTAGTCAGTTAAACATTAAAACCCCCATATTTGTTTCTCTCTGTCTGCATTAAGTCAACTTTAGGGTTGAGGTTTTGCTTTGCTTGTTGTACAGGCTTCGGCTTCTCTTCGGTTGGATTTAGGCGGATCCGCTAGCTCTGGAAGTGCCCCATGCACATTAGTCTCGAGCTGCGCTACAGAAGGGGGCTGCTTCTTAAACCATGAACTTGTTTTGTTGCTTCCTGGTACCGTAAGGTAAGCCAACAGGAAGATGGGTTTGCAAGGTGGGAGGCTTGATAATGTAAGCCGGGATGCTTCGCGATGCAGGCCAGAGGGCTCGCGAGACCGGAGGGCAGAGGAGGGCAAAACAGGTACTTGGAGGATCATGGGACTTAGTATGTAAGGTTATAAGTACCGTGATTGGGGTTATAAGTATAGTTCCCCCAATAACAACCTTAGTTACTAAGTCCCATGATCCTGTAAGCAGAACAGCAGGGACCCTTACCATAATACCCTAAATATTATAAGGGCCCCCCAAAAAGGCACCCCTAATTCTAGAAGGGAAGGACACAAAGCAGCACAGGGCAAAGGACAGAAGGGAAGGGCGGCCTTCCAGATGTTTGATGTTTGCCCCAGCGCAGCCCAGCCCAGAACGCTAAACCCTGAACCCTGAACCCTGAACCCTAAACCCTAAACCCTAAACCCTAAACCCAACCAATTATTAAGATTTGAATGAGAAAAGAGCTCAGAACTTTCCGTCAAAACGTCCGATCAACACCTATTGGCCCACAAAGGCTTAGCACTTCCTATAACCCCTATGCCCATATACCTGTAGTCTCGAATGTAATGCCTCCTTGGGGAGTTTAACCAAACCTATTAGATCCCAAAAAAGGCACCAGAATGCAGCTATAGGTAAACCCTAGCGGAGCCCTTAAAGGAGCCCGTAGAGGAGCCCTAAATGGAACCACGAAGGGAACCCTTAAAGGAATCCCTACGGAGGGCAAACCCGTGGTTCTGGGTTTCAAAAGATCCGCCTGCTCCATGACTTTCGACTTGACCTGGCCGGTATTATCCCTTAGGGTTTAAGGTTCAGGGTTATTCCTTGGGGTTCTTTTCTTATCTTGAGAGCCCTGTCATATAGGGGCTTTAATAGTTACCTATCCTACTTTGGGGGTTCCTCACTAGAGTTATTATTCTACTATAACAACCCAAACCCTAGACCCTAAGCCCTAAGCCCGTAAACCTTGTTCTACTCATGACAGCCCCTACTGCTTCAGGGCGTGGACTTCGGTTTCTGGTGCTTTGTGTCTTCAAGGATTTAGGATTTACGGGGTTTAAAGGTTGCTTAAAGGTTCAGGGGGTTGAAAGCTTTAGGGATTAATGGTTTGGGTTTTAGGGTGTTTCGATGTCCTCTTTGGCCTAAGATGGAGATCTGCTCAGGCATAACGGCATAACGGTGACTCTTTGCTGTGTGGGAGCTTGCGGGATGTTGGCTGTGAAGGACTTGTAAACCGTTTTGTTTAGGGCTTAGGGTTTAGGGTGTATGTGGCTTTACCGGACATTTTAACGCTGCGTTGGGCAGCTTCCTGCTGCTAGCGCATGATTATTGGCAGGATGTCTACAAAGAAATTAGGGGTACCAAGTAAACACGCGCTGTACATCCACACCTGCGGGTTCTTGGCATTAACATGATCAACATGAAACAGGTTGAGACGCTGCTGTCTTGTTTTCTGTGCAAACGACAAACCTACCTTGCAACAACAAGCAACCAGTTTGGAAGAATTGCTTCCGGGCTGGTCGTGCCAACACACCTGTTCCTGTTTCGACAAGTCCATTTCAGCATTGCTGAAACTCAAGCTCGCCTGATATCTTCGATCCCTAAACCCTACACATTCAGACCCTGAACCCTGCACCGTTGTCCTTTGCCATCGACAGAGATCTCGCGATCGCCCAGAGGAGTTGCTCTGGCTCCAAGTCTTCCATGGACGGGTCGCGGAAGTCGATCCGCACGCAGCGCGCGCACAGCCACAACTGCAGCTGCCAAAAGGCACCACCAAGAATGCCGCTTCGCTGTTATGTAAGGACCACGTGACGCACAGCGGACTGAAAGTTGTCCGTTCAGCCGTTCCACTGCTCGTTCTGCGATGAATTCAAAGATGCCAACTCGAGCTGCACGGCCATGAGGATCACTAGACCCAAGAGTAACCTAGGAGAAAAAAGCGTGCCCTTTTTGGGTTAAAGGGGGTTATAAGAGAACCTAAACCCTAACAAAAAGGGAATAAGGGCCTACCCTGGGTCCTAGATCAAGAAATCGAACATGTTGAGTCTGGGCTGTCAGGGCTCGGGATGTAAGGCTTAGGATTTAGGCTATAGGGTACAACTTTCGACTATGTTTCAAGCAGATTCTACCACTGTACAAGAGCGCGCATTTAAGGGTTCTGAGACCAAGCCTGACCCTTGATCCTAAGAGCCACTCCAGTTCTGCATTCTACAGTGATGTTTTGTGTCGGAGCCTATATGTGTCCTTGACCCGATCGTTATCATTGGAGGCTATACGCTCGATCATACTATTCCTCCCTAATCCCTAAAGTCCACGCTCATGCAACGAACACCCAGAACCCGAATAACATAAGCTGATATTTAGTGGTTTGACAGAACAGGGCTTGATAGGCATGGTACGATTGTGGCAGTAGCAGTAGCAGTAGCAGTAGCAGCAGCAGCAGCAGCAGCAGGAGCAGGAGTATTAGTAGCAGTATTAGTGGCAGCGGTAGTTAGTAATAGTGGTTGTGTCAGCGGCGGCAGCAGCAGCAGCAGCAGCGGTAGATGTAGCGGTCGTGGCAGTGGCAGTGGTGCTGGAAGTATTAATTGTCGTAGTAGTAGTAGTAGCAGCAGTAGTAGTAGTAGTAGTAGTAGTAGCAGCAGCAGTAGTAGTAGCAGCAGTAGTAGTAGCAGTAGAAGCAGCAGGAGTGGTAGTAGCCGCAGCAGGCAGGTGGTGGAGGTCGTAGTCGTGGTTCTGATCCTGGTACTGGTAGTGGTTGTCGGATTAGCAGTGGCAGCAGCAGTAGCAGGAGCAGGAGCAGGCTCCTAGCTTTTTGTAATACTTCTGCAAGTTAGGGTCCATGTTACGATCCTGGGGGTCCCTTCATTTGCGATTCTCGTATGCTGCGGGGGGCTCGAAAAGGGGACCTCAATATCATGGATGTACAGCTCCCGCAAGGCCTGCGAACGGAACGTCTCCCGCTGCGTCAAGACCTCTTTGAAGGTGAGGAGGGTAGGACACATCAGGGTTTACGCTATGCGGGCTTCGGCTCTTCGGGTTTTGGGTACCAGGATTTTGGGTAATGGGCTTTATGAAATTGGTCTTGTAGTGCAGGTTCAAGAAGCTGGGAATAGGCTCTCCCAAACCGCAACCACTACTACCAGGCAACTACTCTGTGCCACAACTAAACACTGAACCTTTGAACAGTCAATTCTGACCCTTGGCCCCAAGCTTTCCCATGACATCCCGGAGTACCAAGCCTTCAACCAAAAGAATCTCGCGACGAGAACCCATGGCAGAACACTTGCGGAACCCCACTGTCCCATGTAAACCCTAAGACCTAACTAAACCCTAAACCCTAAATTCCTTGCCTTAACCCCACACCGCTCTAAACCCGACGGCCGAGACCCTGAACCCTAAACCCTAAACTCTACCGCTTACAGCCTACAACCTGAGCCCCCCCCTAAACTCAAAGGGCCGGAGAACCAGCATTCCCTGATCTTCCCTACATAGCTGTGATTCTCTAGACTCTAGGCCTCATGACCTAATGATGAAGGCTCACCAAAAACCCCTAAACCCTAAACCCTAAACCCTAAAACCCTAAACCCTAAACCCTACACCCTAAACCCCAAAACCTCAACCTTGGCCCGAAACCTGTAACCCTACATCCTAAGCCGCAAATCTACGAACCTACTAATATACGGGAACCTGATGAACAAAAAACGCTGGGTCTTTCTTAGGGCTCTTTTTCTTACTCCTAAGACTGTTGATGATAAAAGTCCTGCGTTACCCAGGTAATAATTCCCATAGTCTAGGGTCACCAGGAACTGCAAGATTTAGAGCATCAGCCGTACTCCCGTGTTGTAGGGCCGCGTCTCTGAATCACGTTCCTACATCAATGTAGGGCCTTAATAACTCACTGGCTCAAAACCCAGGGAATTAAAAGTTGAAACTATCAGAATCGACTACCGTATAAGAACCCCAAAAGTTGAAAAGTTGAGTTTACAGCCAATACGATAATAACCTATGCTATGCTGGGGGTTTCTTTATTGCAGTATAGTCTACCCCAAACCCTATTTTAAACATTAAGGATCCTATTCTATAGTACCGTAGTACCCTTACAGATCCATTTTAGACCCCTTGAAGGCCCTTTAAAGGAACCCTATTCTATTGATTGAGGTCCCTGTATTCTACGGAAAAGGACTGCGAGAGCCTCCTGCAGCGAACTGTTTGCAACCTGGCTCCGCACGACGGCCTGCGAAGGGGGACGCTTCGGAAAGCCTAAACCCTACACCCTAAACCCTGAAGAACCGACCTTTTAGGGTTCCCTCTTATGATGACTTCTTTATTTAAGTCCTTGAAAAGGTAGGTTCTTTGGGGTCTAGGTAAACCCTGAGGTTTGGGTTCAGGGTTGCAGGGATGAGAGCTTATGTTGGAGTGCGCAGGGTTTTGAACCGTAAGCCTTAAACCCTAAACGCCCTAAACCCCGAAACCCTAAACCCTACCAGCCCTACCCTAAAACCTATACTGCCGAATCACACCTAGCTATAACCTGTGACGCTGTAAACCCTAAACCTTACACCCTAAGCCCCTTTATACCCTTATAGGAAGCCTTATAGATCCCTAAAAAAGGAACCTGAGCTCGTGTACATCCTTAACCCTAAACCCTAGACCCTAAACCCTATACCCTGAACCCTAAACCCTAAACCCTATACCCTAAACCCTAAACCCTAAACCCTAAACCCTAAACCCTGAACCTTAAACCCTGAACCCTAAACCCTGAACGGCTTTGGGATTCGGGGAGCTGAGGGCCGAAGTCGAGGGAGCCTTCGCCATCTCGGCGATGTGCAAGGAGCCCGCGTCTGAATCCACGGTTCCTCGGATTAGGGTTGAGGGTTTAGGGTTTAGGGTTTTTTTTTTTTTACACGTGCTAGACCTAGCCCTCCCACCAAGTCTCCCCACGCAGAGGCACGCGGTGAAACCATCGCCACGTATGGGCAATGTTATTAAGACCATGTGTACAGGTCTTTACAGCTCTCTCCACGAACTATAGTAACGCCCCTCACGGTCCAGAAAGTTTTGAAGCACTTCATCAACACTGAGGGAGTCTGGAACTGTCAATCCCTGATGAGACGACTGTGCAGTTGTCTCTTCCTCATGTGCCAAAGCAGGACCCTCAAGAGACACCTCATGGGTTTAGGGTTTAGGGTTTAGGGTTTAGGGTTTAGGGTTCAGGGTTCAGGGTTCAGGGTTTAGGGTTTAGGGTTTAGGGTTTATGGTTTAGGGTATAGGGTATAGGGTTTAGGGTGCCCCAAACCAGGGTTTAGGGGTTTCTTCTGTTAGCTTTTTAAGTTTGGGGCTAACTCGGGTCTATGTTGGGGTCGAGAAGCGAGCCTGCCGAAATGTTTCGTGGCATTATTAGTACGGTAGGATTGCAACGGAGATGCTGTAGTCGTCTATTATCGCCAATATGGGTCCTTCAGGCTCTTCTAGCATCATTATCTCCACTGTGCAGCCTCAATTCCGCACCCAGTTTCCACTGAACACTTGAAAACTTCATACCACGAGCTGCCGTTGAAGTCCCCGGTCCGTGAAATAAGTTCAAAGACCTCAAAACCCTGTCGTGCAAAGCAGCCATCGCCATCCAGATCGCGCATGGCCATGTACTTGTAGGCGTTCCAGGGGCCCTGACCGCTTCTCAGAGACTGCAATGTCCTGAAGATTAAGGACTATTCTTAAATCATAAGGGATCCTACTACAATTTAAGGTATGCTCTTTTATTCAGGGATGTTGGAGTCTCTGGGTTTGGAGGTGAGTCAACACCCAGTATGGAACCCCCCGTCCCCATTCCCTGGAAGAAGGCCTCGCCATCGCAAATGCCCTGACCCGAAACCTATAGAGCCGCTGTCGATCCCTCATACAGTAGTGCGTAAACATACCAACCCTTACAGATCCCGTATAGACCCCTCACAAGCCCTGAATAAAACACAGCAAACCCCCTTTAACAAAAAAACATACCTCGTAGAAACCAGGATGACTTCGATCCTGCTTTTTAACTTTCGCCAGAAACCCTCAGCCCTCATAGAAACCCTCATACCCCTCACAATAACCCTTATAGTTTCAACCCGAAAGCCTAAACCCTAAATCCCATTAAAACCAAAACCCGAAAGCCTAAACCCTAAATCCCATTAAAACCGAGGCCTCGCCATCCCGGTTCACGGACCAGCTAAGATAGCCAGAGACTTCTAGTCCTGGCAGCCGGCCACTGGGTTCAAGGGGAGGCCACCAGTCCCCCTATAGTATACCTTTAAGGGATCTCTATAGGGGTACTAGAATAGAAGGGTTTAGGGTTTAGGGTCTATTTGGAGGATCATGGGACTTAGTAAGTTTCAGTTTATGAGTACCAGAATTGGGGTTATACGTAGTTATAAGTATAGTTACCCTAATAATAACCTTAGTTACTAAGTCCCACGATCCTTCAAGTAGGACGTTGGCATGAGGGTTCTGCTAAGGGTACTGTGAAGTGTTGTATAAGGATTCCTTTCAGGGGCTGTACTTGGAGGTTCAGGGGTAGTTGTAAGTAGGGTTATAAGACCCCTAATATAGGTTATAAGTATAGTTACCATGCTTATAACACTACTGATAACTACCCATGAATCTCCAAGTAGGGTATTTTGGACTAGTAGTTTCAGAGCCCGGTGTTTACGACTTCAGCGTTTGTGCAGAATGGCCCCAAAACCCTAAACCCCTGAACTCCAAAACCCTAAACTCCTAAACCCTAAACCCGCAAACCCCTAAACCCCTAAACACTGAATGCCGTTGGCTCAGGGTTTCTTCTCTCGAGGTTCGGCTTCGATCTTTGGAGGAGCACCGGGGCACCTGAATCGCAGCCCTAGCTGCTGCAAGCACTCCAGAGTCTGCAATATGGGTGCCTGAAAATATCGAAGCAACTTCGGTATATTGTTTGCAGTAACGACGGTATGGATATTCAGACCCTAAACCCTAAACCCTTAACCCCCAACCCTAAACCCCAAACCCCAAACCCTGAACCCAAGCATGGCACCGTGGGATGACGAAGATGCAGGCTGGGGGCCCACATCCAATGGGCATCAGCGGGTATTACGGTTGACGATATAAATCCTGCACCCATAATAAGGAATCTACCATAATTAACATACTTTAGGGTCCTTAAGGTAATGCAGGATTTATATCATCAACCGTATGTGTGAAGAAAAGTACCAGGACCCCCCAAGGGGGGCCCTTTAATAGAGTCCTTATGGCCGTTAATAGTTTGTATTTGAGGTATAGGGGGGAGTTGGGGGCTGTAGGTAGAGAGAATTTTGTCGAAGGGGAATGACATTTTATATGCCCCAGCCATCTCCATCCAGTCACGAATGCGTTTGCTCCGAGTCCTGACGAGCCCCAACCCTTTAACGCCGTTTCAACGACCCCGTCCTTTCATGATGTTGGGAGCTTTGGATCATTTGCAGAAAACTGGGTAGAGTTGATAAGTGACGGAATACATGAACATGTAGGCGCTTCATGACGGGGTGTGTACTTTTCGCCATGCCGGGATGAATGATGCCGCAATGCAACCCCATCCTGCCAAAAAACGATGCCAACATCCTTAGGCCTTGGGCGTTCTGTCTCTCCATCGCTCCATATGTGCATATATATATATATATATATATGTAGGTATGTGTATGTACGTTTTAGTTAGCGCAAGTAAAAAGCACTTCTCAATCTCGTTCAATCCCGTCCTCCCTCCCTGTTTTGGCGGCTTCGGGTGCAGACTGAACTTAGCAAATCGGCTGTCAGTGAATGGTCCCGGCCCCGGCATGTGTAGGGTTTTCCAACTTCTACCCGTCTAAGTCCTACGCCCAGAAACCGGAATGGGTTCATCGCAGGTCGAGGCTTAAGCTCGAACCAAAAGCCGAACCCCGTAGTAGCTGGCTTGGCGCTGAGGGTTCCCGTCTCCCCTCCCTCTGCCCCCCACGCCTTGCATCTTGCAGTCCACTTGCTGCGCGGTGAAGCGGATCTTTTGGATCGTGGCCGGGAAGGTGGCGATGGAGTCCCGCCACCTCAGTGGTTGCTGACTGGTCAGTAAGGTAGGGGCTTTAATAATTAGAATAGGGTTTGGGGCTCCTTAATACCATAAGGACTACTATTGGTATTTTTTTGTAATTTTAAGCTTCTACATTACTTGAGAATGAACTGATCTGTATCTACCTGCCCGTCAACCTACTTTCTGCCTGTCTGCCTAGCTAGCCAGCTACCGACCGAACAAACGGACATGTTTGCCTACATACGGTAGGTAAATGAACCTGTGCCTACAACACGCATAGAGACACGTCCGACCATTTCTTTGGCCACTTGGGCCGCAGGCCGACAACAGACTGGAACGGAACCCCTGAGCCAGATGCTCTGCACCATACATCCTAACAACCTATGCCCCTAAAAGCCGCTTCCTGATGCCATGAATGGCGAGCAAGATGAACTCCGACGATGCCTTGAACCGAAAATGCCCAAACAAAAATCAAATCTCTAAGCCCTCTACGCCCTCCACGCCCGAAAACCCAAACTCTAACGACCCCAAACTCCACGAGCAACATGAGCCCTAAAGCGAAAACGCCTGCACCTTAGAGCCCTAAACCCAAATAGCTGGCTGCACCAAGCGGCCCACGAAAGGCACGAAGACCAATACCCTGGCATTGCGGCCGTTGGGCTCAGGGTGTTCGTAGCTGCAGGAGGCTGGTTGAGGCTAGGGTTCCAGATGTAAAGAATTGCAAAGGTAATCCCAAAATAAGAGTCCTTCCACAGGGGATCATTCATCCTTCCTACCTTCATCCCACCTTTTGAGGCCTCCGAGAAGTTAATAGAAGGGCCGTAAAGATTGGAATAGGGGTTGGGGGTAGATTATACTATAATCACAACAAGGGGCCACCAAACCCTGTTCGAACTAATATGGCCCCTACATCATAGCTATCAGAAGTTAGGGAAGAAAGCAGCCTAGTAGACCCTTTGAGGAACCCTTTGGTTGGGGAAGAAAGCAGCTGGCTTCTAACTTCTCATCATGCGACTGGGCCTGGCCGATGAGCTGCCCGTCCCGCAAGACGAGAAGCCACTCATCTGGCTTGACCACGCGCCACCTGCAATAGTATGACATGCTATATTATACTATAGTACATATTATCTCGTTTTTGTTATATATCTCATTATAGTAGATGATAATAAATAAATAAATAAATAAATAAATAAATAAACATATATATATATATACATAGATAAATGTATTGTCATATATACATGGTTTCTACAATGCTTTGTAGTTTAATTCTACTAGGGCCTGTAGGCCTTTACCACCAAACTCTGAAACCTGAGTGGAGAGGCCCGGAGCCCCAAGCCCTAAACCCTAGACCACATGCTCTCGACCATGAAACCGAAACCTGAAACCCTATACCCTAAACCCTAAACCCTAAACCCCGAAACCCTGAATTCCAAGCGGGTGGTTTATCTGTGTCACGGTCACTGTCTCGCTCTTCAATTAAGCAGCGACTCTAATTGCTGTCATTGCCGCTCTCTGCCCAGAACCCCTTGAACCCTCCTTAGCCCTAAACCGCAAACCCATCTCCCAAACTACGAAATCCAGTCTTCCTCTGGTCTGCACATATCTTTTGCTCTGAACATATTATAACCACCTTGCCTCGGGGCCTCGGGTTTATAGGGTTTGGGAGTCATGGCTTAGAGGCCTGGGAGTAAATGGGAGCCCACTTTATGGCGCGGTCTCCATACAAGCACTACAGTCTAAAGGGGAAAGCTCCAGGAAGAACAGCTTACCAAAGCACTCCGTGGTGAGATCTCGTTCTTGTTTAGACAAGTTTACTGATAAAACAATGAGACAAAAACAATGTAGGAGCCTTAATAGCTAGAAAGGAGTTTTGGGGGATAGTAGACTATAATTATAATAAGGAGAACTCAAAACCCTATTCCCAATTAAGGCCCGTACAATACAACCGGCCAGGATATGGATGGTGCGGATTCGGCTCTTTTCTTACTAAACTCTGAAACCCCGAACCCTGAACCCCAAACTTTCGGGTTCAGGAAATGCCTTGACCACCAGATCATGGCGGCAACAGCAGCAGGAATCCTCAGACGGAGTCTTTCGAAGGCTAGGAAACCAACATCCTAAAAACTGAAAAGACTACTATCTAATCCCGAGGTTTGGGGCTTATGGGGTTGCAGGGTCCTGGGTTAAGGGTGGGTTTAGGGTTCAGGATTGACCCAAACTCTCTCCACCACCGAGACCCTCAACATCCCATCCCGCCCTGCACCTTGAAGCCTCACCCCACGGGTCCAAAGGACCCAATAAGTGGGAATTCGGCTTTAGGATAGTAGTTATGTAGGTTAGGATTTTGGAGAGTGTATGATTATTGGGTATTTGGACCCTTGGGGTCAAACTTGAACCTACCTATTTAAGGACTTAAAGAAATCATATTAGGGAACCCTAAAAAAGTAGGTTCCTTAGGGTCCAGGTCAAACTTGAACCCAAAATGTAAACCCTGACGGAAACTTCTTGGAGACCCTGATGGCTCTGAACCGTAACACCCTTAACCCTACCGATATAGTAGAATGTAGGGATTCCATATTAAGAGTTACTATTATGACTTAGGGAAGTATCCCCCATAACAGTACATACTGTTGATGGACAAAATCCTGCAATACCCATAGACTAGGGAATATACCGTAGTTCCCATACTTTATAGTCCTTAGGGTCATGCAGGATTTCGTCCATCAACAGTATTGCGAGAAGTTGCTGCATTGTTGCTTCCGATTTCCTCTGGCCCGGGGACCTTACCTACACCTCTGGTGTGGAACAGTCTACCTTACCAGATGGGAGTTTCCAAAAGTAGGGGACCCTAATATAGTACCGTGAATAGTAGGATCCTTATTATAAGGACCCCAAGATGAGGTACCCCTAATTTTCGGAAACTCCCAGATAGGGTCTTACCTTTAAGGGTTCCTTTAGGGGCTCCTTTACGAGTTTCTTTCAGGGTTCCTTTAGGGTTTACCGAGAGTCTCCATTGAAGTTCCTACTTTTGGGTTACCTTTTTGGATCCTAAAACAGAGTTTAGTTCAACCAAGATAAGGAGCTGCAATGGAGATTGTCAGCAACAAGTAGACGACTAGGTCTGGGGGTAATTTTCCTTCCACAATAAGGAACTCTGAGCGAATAGTATCACTAATTATCGGTATATGCTGAGAGGCTTCTTTACTAGTCGGACGCTAATACAAGACTGCCGCCCAGGCTTCGCGATGACAGCTCGCAACCGCACGGGAACCACCGCGGCAAGAAATGCCGTAATCTGCCAGGGTTTCGCTTTGGAGATCGAAGGTGGGCTCAAATGGGAATTACTGGAACATACTTTATGGAGGGCCTTGATAATCCCAAAAGAACCACAAGGCTGAGCAAACTCATGTCAAATTCACATAGAAAGCCAGAATAAGTACCAATGCTACAGGGTTCCTAATTCTATCTACAGTATAATGCGCCACAAAACCCTGTCTTACGGTTGATGATATATATCCTGCATTACCCACAATAGGGAATATACCATAATTCCCATAGTGTAGGGTGGTTGAGGTATTGCAGACCGAAGTGGCGACCCAATTCTCTCGATTTCGAGTCCGCCACACCGGAGACCCTGTAGCCTGACCCTACAAAGGGCTCCTTTTGGGGTCTAGGGGTTTAGGGTTTAGGGGTTTAGGGTTGCTTTCAAGTTTCGGTCCTTGTAGGGGTGACTTTGAGGATTATTTGAAGGGGTGCTTTCAGGGTTCCTTCACGGCTTCCTTCAAAGGAGCCCCCAAAAGGAGGCCTTTCAAGGAAACCCTTACGGCAACCGCTCAAGGAACCCCTACAAAGAGCCCTTTAAGGGAATGTCTAAGGACCGCTTTACGGGAATCTCTAACGGCTCCTGCAAGGGATCTAGAAGAAGGGTTCCTGCAAGGGGTCTATAAGGGTTCCCTTTGCAGGATCTATAAGGGTTTCATTATAGGGTTGAAAGTATCGCGTTGGGGCAGCTCCCGAAACCCCAACACACCCTTTACTGTAAGCCCTGCGAGCCCTAGACCCTAAAATCCTTTCTTTCGTGTCTGCGCTAAAGCCATTTCCAAGGTTTGCCCAAAGCTCCTCACAGTGTTCAAAACCCCTAAACCCCAAAAGCTTCGCCGAAGCGGCATCGCTGTATTTCGGCCGGGATTTTGGGGCTTTAAGAGTCTAGGGTGCCTTTAGAAGCTCGATCTGTGAGGGATCTATAAGGGTTCCTTCAAGGGGTCTATGAGGGTGAATAAGTAGGGTATCGGGTCTCGGTCTCTCGGGATTGGGTGAGGGATTCCCCAGAGACTCCAACACCCCTTAATTAAGGAGTCTTCCTTAAATTATAGTAGGATCCCTGATATAATTTAAGGTAGATTCCTTAATTAAGGGGTTTTGGAGTCTCTTTATAGTAGGATCCCTGATATAATTTAAGGTAGATTCCTTAATTAAGGGGTTTTGGAGTCTCTTTATAGTAGGATCCCTGATATAATTTAAGGTAGATTCCTTAATTAAGGGGTTTTGGAGTCTCTGGGCCCTAAACCCTAAACCCTAACCCCTAAACCCCTAAACCTCTAAACCCTAAACCCTAACCGCTAAGCCCTAAACCCTAAACCCTAAACCGTTCGGATTTAGCCGGCAAGCCCCAAACCTGAGAGCGACCTGATCTGGAATTGTCAGCTGCCTGGGGTAAATTCTCGTATCACTGTCATTATAAGATAACCCAGAGGGTCCATATACACTACCATTATGGAATTAAGTCCCAAAAGACCATCCCTATTATGGTTTTGGGGACCAAATTCCATAATGGTAATATATATGGACCCTCTGGGTAAGGAGCCCAAAGGAATGATGTAAGTTAGTATTCAAGCTTCTCGTGCAGGGTGAATCAGGTCTAGGGCCTAGGGGATGCCCCGGCAGCAGCTCTTAAACCCCAAAACGTAACAGCAAACACACCCTCACTGTTGAGCCCATGGCCCGTGCCCATCCACAATTCTCAAGTCCGGTTTACCCTTAAAACCTAAAACCTGGACGTCCCCTGGCTGATTAAAGCAGGGCTCAACTTACATGGCACCGCATGCAAACACTTCTTTAAATTCATCGGCAATTCGAAATACTGTTGCGAGTTAAGGGCAGCCTAAACCCCAAATCCCTGTTTACGGGTTTACCGCAAACCGTGAATCCCTGTTTACGGGTTTACCCTGGCCCGAAACCCTGAAATCCTACGCCCCAACCCCAAAACTAAAACCTAAGACCCAAAACCGCTGCTTGGTGGTTGAGGAAAACCCGTAAGCGCTCAATGCATGTTCATAAGTTTATGACCGTGTACCCTCAACCCCTGCTTAAGGTTGAGGGCCTACCGCACCGCAAGCGTGAATAATTGAATAACAGATGTCCATGCTTCCCGACAGCTTTCCAGATTGCTCCGCTGTGCGCCTAAAGCCTTAACTTAAACCCGCACTCTGAAGCCCTAAAGCCTAAAGCCTACAGCCCTAAAATCCCCTAGAAAAAGGTTCAGGGTCTAAAGCGCCAAGCAGCCACGGTGGCGACTAGCGATAGGATCCAGGCCCAATCCTTGGCCGTGTCCCAACCTCGGCTTGCCAGGGCTTTGAGGCTTGAAAGTGCGACGGCTGATGGTATCAATCCTGCATTACCCATACTAGGGAATATACCATAATTCCCATAGTTTAGGGTCCATAAGGTACTGCAGGATTTACATCATCAACCGTAGGTTTAGGGTTAGGTTTAGGGCGTCAGGCATTAGGCTTGAAAGGTGCTGGGCTTAGGGTTTACAGGGGTCAGAGTTTACTATTCTTTCCCTGGCTAGGTACTATCTTAGGGTCCCCTATTTTCGGAAACTCCCATATCTTTGTGTCCGTGCGCGCAGTGGAATGGGATTTCCGCCAGCATAAACTGAGCCTACTTGGAGGTTCAAGGGTAGTTATAAGTAGGGCTATACGTCCCCTAATATGGGTTATAAGTTATAAGTATAGTTACCCTACTTATAACCCTACTTATAACTCTACTTATAACTGCCCCTGAACCTCCAAGTAGACCTTGAAGGGTTGGGAACCGCGGCCTGGAGTGTCTCCAAGGGGAAAAGGAGGGACCCTTAATGGGGACCCCTACCCTATAATGGGCTGTATATAACGGGTATATAATAGCTATATTAAGGGTATATACCTGGGGGTCCTTATTAAGGGTCCCTCCTTTTACCCTTGGAGTGTCGTAAACCCAACACCCTGACGCCTAAATTTTTTCGGTTTAGGATGAGTCTTTTTGCCTTGGGGGGGAACGGGGGGAGTAGGTCAGGACAAGAACTGTTTCAGGGCTATGGTTTCTGGGGTTTAAGGATGTTAGGCATCATCTTCTAAAAAGTGACTTCCCATCTGCCCAAAAAACTAAACCTTGAATCCTAAGCCTGCAATCTCGGTACACACGAATACCTTAGGAAGGGAGAGCGTCGACCCTAAACCCTCAACGCTAAACTTCCCTAAGCCCCCCAAAACCCAAAACTAGACTCTAAACCCCAAACCCTAAACTAAACTCTAAACCCCAAACCCTAAACTAAACCCTAAGCCCCAAACCCTAAACCCTAAACCTTAAACCCAAAAACCCTACTAGGCACGGAGTCGAGCAAAGTGGCACACTTCCAAGCCCGCCTCGCCTTTTGAGCCCAACCCCCCAAATCTCATAAAACCACAAACGAAAAAACCTCACCCAAAGCCGGAAAGCCATGATCCCGAAGGGTCCAAAGTACCTTTATAGTAGAATGTAGGGTTTCTATATTAGCAGTTACTATTTTGCTTTGGGGAAGTATCCCCCGTAACAGTACCTAGGACCCTGTTTGGATGCAAACCCTATAGAGCCTATACTATAGAAAGCATCCTAAACGTGGCGTTGCTTCCTTCAGTAGAAAATTATGCTGCAACTACCTCAAAGACCAATTCTAAGAATGTGGTCTTTAGCTGTAGTAGACACTACTTGGAGGATCATGGGACTTACTAGGTAAGGTTAGACGTACCTGACATGGTGTTATAAGTACTAAGTACATCTACCCCATTTGAGGTCCTACTTACTGAATCTCATGATCCACTGAGCAAGTAAGCTTACGGCCCTAAACCCTGAATCCTGAACCCTAAACCCGGAATCCCGAACCCTAAATCCTGAACCCGACACCCGAAAGTCTGAACCCAGTCAATCCAATGGTAAAAGAAGGGACCCTTAATAAGGACCCCCAGGTATATACCCTTAACATAGCTATTACATACCCGTTACATAGCCCATTATAGGGTAGGGGTCCCCATTAAGGGTCCCTCCTTTCCCCTTTGAGTCAAGCAGCCGACAGGGTCAGCAGCTTTTGCCATGGCTTTCGGGCTCTACACAAGGCACTTGAAGGAAGCTTGAAACTGAGGGGCTGCGGATGGCTGCGGAGGTTTAGGGCCTCAGGGTTTGGGGTTTGCGGCTTTTCGGCGTTTTAGGGTTTTCCGGTTTTGACGGAGCACTGTTTCAGTTGCGGAGATTGCCCTAAACCCCAAACCGATTGGGTCTTACAGGGTACCGATTCGTCCAATCCTTGGAGTCTGTGACCGTCTGTGGCACAAGGGCCTCCGGATCTCTAATAACAAAGTGTGCTTACCCTAAGGCCCCAAAGTAGTTCCTTTTGGGGGGTTCATATATAGAATCCTATAAGGTATTCCACTAAAGGAACTACTTTGGGGCTTCTGGGTAGGGTTTAGGACTTCTGGTTCTCTAGGGGCAACAATCGAAACAATGAACAACATGTTCAGCCAGGTTCAACAGAAGGGGTCCACGCTGTGATACGGGGTTTCTTTCCCAAGACAGGCCTATTGGGAAGGCCCTTTTGAGACTGAGCAGTTGAAACCTTGCAGATTCCTCGCGGGATTCTGTCATGGGGGCGAGGTTTAGTTGATCTGAGAAACTCCTTCAGTGAAACCCTTTGTAGACCCAAACCCTTAGCCTGGCGACTTCAGGATACGAAGAAGATGTAGACATATATATATATATATATATATATATAGACATATACTCTGAGGCCCTGAAAGAGCGGCCGGAATGACAATCTATCAGGCCTACTCTAAGGTTTCAATATAAGGGGCTTTCATGGTTAGACAGGGTTTCAGGTTATGCCGTCGGTCTAGAATAACAAAGAGCCGTCTGAAAAATAGATCCTTTAGTCGTCTACAGTTTAGGCCGTAAGACTCACGGTTTAAACAGAAAAATCTGACAGTGACGCAAAATGAATCCCAAGCCTTCTACGCGGCATCCAAAATCACCCCCTGAATCTACAAAAACCAAAGTTCAACATCCAAAACGATTGATTCCTTTGCTCGTCCTTGAGGACGTTTTCCGACTCCTTCTGTACACGTTCGAGTCGGTCCACGACCTAGCTGCAGTAAAATGGGGCTTGGGTTTAGGAATAGGGTTTACGTATTAGGATGCTGCTTTTTGGCGTTTAGGAATTAGGACAGCTGTCTTGCGACTACCCACTGGCTTCTTGGGGCTGTTAGGGCCTAATATAGAGGTCGGAATAAATTCTTAATGACCTTCCCTTACAATCCCTGCGCAAATGTACCATCGTTTACCCTAAACCCTAAACCCTAAACCCTAAGACCCTAAGACCCTATTCTAGTACTTGAGCTCCGGAGCTCCTCCATAAAACTCCATGCGACCATACAACCCCCTTCCCAAAGTTCTTAAGGGCGCTTTATGGATCGGGGTCTCGGGCTTGAGTTGAGCTTCTAACCCTTTCATTCTATGTTAGAGAAGGCTCACAGACAGCTTCCGGGGGGTTTTGGGCCCTAAACCTCAAACCCCTAAACCCCTAAACCCTAAACCCCTAAACCCGAAACCCTACACCCTCAGCCGCCTTGGGTTTGGGCGATTCTACACTAGGTGGGGCTTTTAAAGCCTTTGAAAAATGTTAGTAAAAAAGATCCTCTTAACCCCAATAAGGGAAAATATAAAATGTCCCAAAGCCCTACCTAGTACAGCTCCTCTTGAGACGCCGGCTTTCGATCACTTCGTGTTGCTTGAGGGCTCAGAGACTGCGGGGTCCTACCCTACTTGGAGGTTCATGGTTAGTTCGAAGTAGGGTTCCTTTAAAGGGATCTATAGGGTTTAGGGTTTAGGGTATAGGATGATAGGGTTTAGGGTTTAGGGTAGGGTTATAAGTAGGGTAACTGTACTAATAACCCATATTAGGGGACTTATAACCCTACGTATAACTACCCCTGAACCTCCAAGTAAGCCCTACATCTTAGGGCTGAGTACCCTGGCCCCAATAATGTTAAGGGTTTAGGGTTTAGGGTATAGGAATTAGGGCTTAGGGGCTTAGTATCCTAGCCCCAAAAGGTTAACCTTTCATTTCAATGAATTATGGTAGGTATATAAACCCAAAAGGTTACAGGTTACCTACTCAGCTACTAAGACATTTCGAAAGCTCTTGCCGTCGTTAGCACAGCAGTATAGGGGCCTTCATAATCAAAATAAGGATTTGAGTGTACGTTTTAGCACATCTGTGTAGGGACTTTTCGGGAACATTCATACGGCTCACTAGTTGTTCCCAGCCCTGTCGTACAGTGTTAGGATATGGAGGTGGCGCGGAGCTAACGTCCACCTCGTACACAATACCCTGCCATTTAAGGAATGCATGCCACATGTTAGAGGGTCACCAGAGTCTTAGAGTATTGAAACTATTATGGAGCACCTACAGCCCCGGTCCAAGAAAAGGGGAGTGGTACCTGGCAAGATTCGACCCTTCGCTTACTGGAAATCCTAAACCCTAAACCGAATCTACTGTTTTGCAATGTCTTACTGCAAATATTTCAGAGTATCAGTTTCAACCTACATACCCGTCCTCAAGAAGGTTGCATAACTTACAACATGATTATAACAACGAGCCGTGAGGATTGATATCGTTGATAAGCTGGGGCCCCTGTAATTATGATAGGATTTGCGGCTTGCAGGCTAGGCAGCTGGATGGAAAATTGTAATGAAGGTTCGTGAGGCTTGCAGGTTTGCACGTAGGAATATTTTCCTAAACCCTAAACCCTAAACCCTGGTTCGGAATTCTGAGTGGCAGAGTGTGGTGCGGTGTTGACGGTTCGAGGCCGGCAGGCGCTTTGTTTACGGTTGACAGGCGATCACTTAATGCTGTGGGAAGGATCGCTGCCCTCAACTTGCCCTTGCGGCTGAAATGCACCCTTCAAGCTCAGTCTTATTAAGCCATAAACCGCAAAAAAACTACACCCCTCAACCCCATAACCCTAACCCCTAAACCCCAAACCCTGAACTCTGACCCCTAAATCCTAAACCCTGGCCCTAAACCCTCTGAAGCCTAATCCTGCACCCGATGTGGACAATGAGCCTTCCTCCGCTCCACCAGCCTCTCCTCAAAAAACCGGTAGGGCAAAGGTTTGGGGTTTAAAGCGCTAGATTCCCCATTCTACCTTGAGACTTCATAATGCGACATATCCTGAATTCAAGGATTTCGCATGAAGTCCCTGGATCCAGGGCTTCCTGCTTACACCCTTACCCTAGACCCTGGACCCTAGCCCCGTATTGAAATAAAAACCACACTACCTTCAATTGCTCGATGGAAGCGTTAGACGGCTTGGTAACGACAGAGAGAGAGAGAGAGAGAGAGAGAGAGAGAGGAGAGAGCGAGGGAGAGAGAGAGAGAGAGAGAGAAAAAAGAGAGAGAGAGAGAGAGAGAGAGAGAGAGCGAGAGAGAGAGCGAGAGCGAGAGCGAGAGCGATTCTGCCAAACCATCAAATCAAAACACCGAAATTCCATGAAGTGCCTGTGAACCCTCGATGTTTGCGGGCATAGGCTTGACAATCGGATGAATACAGGAATTCATGTGTTGGCTCTCGAATTTGGGGCTTAGGGTGGCGAGGACCTCCGGCTTTCAAGACCGTGGTTGGCGGTAAGGGCTAGTGTGTGGAACATCGCCGTACCTCTTACCTCAAATCCGAAACCTTGTTCATCGTATCAGCCGTGCAACGGATTTCCCGCGTGCAATCGCCACCGGCATCAATGAAGTGAAGTCTACACTCAGCCCTCAACCCGTGATTTGCGCAGACCCTGGTGACCCCGTCGTCCTCATGATCTGCAGGGACGTCACGTCGAAGTTCGCCCTTCGCTATGTTCTGTAAGGTGTGTAATTAAGGTTGGGTACTGCTCCCATACAGTAACAGCCTATAGTAAGGCTACTATTAAGGACCTAATATATCTATATTTTGAATATTATCCAACTGTTACTGAGTGGGGGCAGTACCCAAAATTGAGGTGTGGTGTAGGGTTTAGAGGTTTGGGGTGTAAGGTGTGGGGCCTTGGAAGGGTTGCACATAGAAGCTGTAGGCAAAAGGCTTTCGGTCCTTTCGGTTTGAATATACCCGAAACCCCAACCCCCACAAAGCATACCATCCTGGTGGCATGTTTGCTGGAGCCACCGGCGAGAAACTGAAGTCGGCGATATAATCCATTACGTATTACATACTGTCTATTATACAGTATATGCTATGTCTGTATACAGATTAATATCTCACATATCATATGTCATATATCATACATTCTCTACCGTCGAAACCCTTGGTAGCTCATGTCATGTCTGCCCCGAAGTCTTAAATGTAAATTGGACTCCGAAGACCGCTGCTACGAGGTGAGAGGGTTTGGGTCGGGGGTTTCGGGCCTGGGGGGTTCCTCAGCCTTGGGCTTGCAAGAAGCTTCGCAACCGGATGCCTACTAGTTAAAGTCGCAACTCATCTACAACGACGATAGCAGCCTCGGAATAAAGTGCTATTGAGCCATGACTCCTAGGACACTTCAACGCCCTTCCGGAACCCTTATAAAACCGCAGAGCCACATAATTCCGCCAAACCCAGAATCCTTCTCTGAAGCCCCGGACCCTACAACCCGACCCTAGACCAAAAGCCCTCAACACCAAGACCAAATGCTGCCTGACACCCTGGCACCGATCTAAGCCCTAAACCCCCAAAAAAACCTAAATCCCAAATCCTAAAAACCTAAAAACCTAAATCCTAAATCCTAAAAACCTAAAAACCTAAACCCTAAATCCTAAAAACCTAAACCCTAAACTCCTAAACCCTGCAGCGCAGGCCTCCACCTCGACCAAGCGCTTTCGCAGGAAGTCCTTCAAGTGAAGCTCCTTCCCTGATTGCCAACCGAGAAGGTGTCTGCGCTGTGGATTAGGACCTTTGGAGTAATCGAACAACAAGAACGATGATGATGATGATGATGGTACTCAGAATACTATATACTGATACTTGCAAGCAGCAGAATAGTACTGGTAGTAAATGATCAGCAACAACAACTATAGCAATAATAGCACCAAATTAATAATATACTCAAAAATGACGACAACCACAAAAATTGTAGGAATGACCATATATAGTTTTGGTCACTAATTCTAATACGAATACAAGTACTAATGCAAACACAAATACCAATACTGGTACTAATACTAATACTAATGCTAGTACAACGTTTCATAATGATGATGCTCCTAACTGCACAAAATAATACGAGTACCAATACCAATGCTGCTACTAAAACTAAAGCTAATACCAATATGAATACGAATACTAAAACAAAAACTTCTAAATAGTAAGACCACTACCAATACCAATAACGATACGACTAGGAAGACTACGACGAGCAACTAGCCACATCAACAATCACAACTACGGAACCAAAGAAACGATAACAACATCAATAGTAAGAACAACAATCTCTAAGTGAGGGTCCCTCTTAGGGTTTTTAGGGTCCTGTTGATAATAAGGGTGCCGTACTATACTGGGGACCTAGACAGGGACCCTAATTCAGAGAACTACCCAGATGTACTTCTGGGCCCGTAGAAAATGCGGCTTGGGGGTGGGGGTGGGGGTTTAAAAAAGTTCAGCAGTCCCAGCACCTTAGCATGATATAGGGGCCTTGACCATTGTATACGGTAGCCAGAAGGAACAATGCTGGTAGCTACCCCTAACATCCTAAACCCCAAAACCAGAAACCCTAAACCCCTTGAACGTAAAACGGGGAAACCCAGTCTCGGATTTTAAAGCCTAACCCCTGTAGAAAATCCTTACAGTAGAAGCCAGAAAGTTGGAATATCATTATCGTAACCCCTTTAAGGTAAATTATAGGGGATCCTACCATTAATCCATATTCCAACTTTCTGGAGTTCCCTTTACATTTACAGAACCTGGATGCAGGGTCTGCTATAGAACCCTTCGATCCCGTTTGAACCATAACTCTAAACCCTGGGCCGCCTGCCTAAGCCCCAAACCCTGAACTTAACCCTTGAACCCTAAACCATGAACCCTACACCCTGAACCCTAAATGAACCCTGAAGCCTAAACCCCCGGAATTTAAACCATCAGCAACCAAGGCCTTTAATCTCCCGGTCGATCTGGTGGCACTTCTCATCGCTCTCTTGCAGCCTCGGAAGCAATGCACTCACTGGAGATCTTCGTGGCATATCCCTCGCATTGTGGTTAGGGCCCCTTTAGATTACCCGCTGCGTGACATGCTTTCGGTTTAGGGGTGTACCTACGGTCTTCATTGGAATCCCTGTTGGGTTGCCTTATAGGAACAACATAAAACTATTTAAGCCACAAAAAGGAACGACAGTGGAGACTATAGGTAGAAACCCTAAACCCCAAAGCCCTAAACCCCTAAACCCGAAACCCCTAAACCTTTAAACCCCAAACCTTAGGGGTTTCAATTCGCTCGGAAAGCTGTCGTAGGGTGGATGATATTAATCCTGCATTACCTTACGGACCCTAAACTACGGGAACTATGGTATATTCCTTATTATGGGTAATGCAGGATTTATTATATCCAACGGTACCATCACCGGGTTTAGGGTTTAGTGTTTAGGGTGATGGGGTTTAGGGTTCAGGGCTTACCTGAACCTACCATGACCTTATTTTTTACAGGTATAGGGTTAAGGCTTTAGGGATCGTAAGCCCGCCACTTCTGAAAAACGGCCAAGGTCAAGATCATCCTCTGCAGCCTGAAAGGGACCCTGCAGACCTTGGCAGCTGCGCTCCACCTGCTGCTTCCGTTTTGGCCCGCCACGCTTGTGAAACGGTCCAGCCCAGTCGCTACACACCACAGCCGCATAGTCTTGCCACCAGATAGTCGCGGCGGGGCCCAGGGAGGTTTGTAGAACGAACCCTTGACGAGGACCTGCTCCGTCATAGCACGAGACACTTCGAGGTCGACCTTTGCACCCAGCTGCAATACTTCTGGTGTCAGCACCGTGCCCGAGCCAATCAGTGTGGCATGACTGAAAGCCTCCGTATCAATCGCGTTGCAAAACATATAATCCGGCAAGAAACAGCCGCAGTAGCCTGCGCTGGTTCGACGCCAGGGTTTAGGATTTAGGGTTAGTGTGTACCTAAACCGAACATGACCTCATTGTTATAAGTATAGGGTTTTGCGTGTATTTTACTAAACCATAACCTCGTTCATCACAGGTATAGGGTGTGGGGTTTAAAGTTGAAGATTTGCACTAACCAGTCATAACCCAATCAAAATTGAGGTTTAGGGTTCAGGGTTTCGCGTTTCGGAGTTTAGGTTCTTGCTATTATGAGCCTTGATATAGAAGCTATAGGGGCCCTACAAAACAAAACAGGTTCTGGCAAGTTAAGGCAGGGACTAAGCAACCATCAAGGCTTGGCTCTCAACCTCGAACTCTGCAGGTTCACTGACAACCCGAAACCAAATCACTCCAGAACCGGCCAAAGCAACGAAACCCTGAACCCCAAACCGAAACCCCAAACCCAAAATCCCAGACCGAAACCCCAAACCCAACAACCAAAAGCTTCACCGAACAACATCAGACCCAAATCCTATACCCGAAGCCTCACGTCCTACCAGGATTAACCGCCAATCCCCGCATGCTCAAGCCTTAATACTCCGAAACCCTGAACACTACATTCCCTACATCCTTCAAAGACCGAGCCCGAAATCCAACTCCACGTCCCAAACTCTACGCCCGACACGCCGAAAGCTTGAGAAGGGAAAGGCCAGAACAAGGAACAAATGTAGAAATAGTCCAATCCCGGCTGCGTGAAAACAGGCATTGACCCCACGTAATCCACGACGTAAATGCAGACGCTTCTATAAGCCACATCTTGTTGAAACTAAACCTGGTAAATCCACTCAAAGAAGGAAGTGACGTCTAGGGTTGAAGGCTTGAAAAATTTGGGAATTCAAAAAGTCGGAGCTTTACGCTATCCACATGCTAAATGCTTCAGAAAGATTTGGCCGCAGGATTTGGGAACTAGGGCTTTGGACCTAGCATGTAAGGCATCTTGCAAACACATGAAGCCCTTCACACCAAAACCTCCAAAGACCCTAAACCTACACCCTAACGCCGACAACCTAACAGCCCATGTTCAGCGCAGAATGAGCACTGGACGACTTTTCTGCGTCCTGCAGCTCCTGCGCAAGCTACGGTTTGGGCAAAAGCTTGGAGGTTCTGTCCATGTCGAGCTTTACATAGGCTTAGACGCTTTTAAGTTGTGAAACTTGGAGAAATCTTGTGTCTGGGGTAGAGGTTGTAAAGTGCGTAGAGATTTGCCCCAAATGCTACCTATCGCCTCCATTTTAGTTCCTTTTCACGAGCTCGAGGGCACTGGCTATTAGGAGATTGAGGGTATGCGTCTATGATGCTTGGCGTTCTGATCGCGGTCCGAAGTAAAGTGGTTTGGGTCGGGGGTCTATCGCAATCCTCGCTCTCTAAGCAAGGAGTCGAAGAGGTCAGCAAGGTTGAGGGTACAAGCATCTATGCATGCATGTAAGTACGCATGTGTCTGGATGGATGCATGTAGCTATATGTATATGTATATGTAAGTGTATATGTATGTGCAAAGGAATACGTACAGGTATACATATTTGTATGCACCTGTGCATACATGTATATACACACAACCATTGCCGTCCTAGACTTACACCAGGTTTTGGCTGTTAATTGCCGGGGCGCGCCAATTCCCCACAGCACCCCTGACAGTCCAAGCATCTCCAGATCCGCCTAAACTCTCCAGAGACTCCAATATCCCTTAATCAGGGAATATTCCTTAAATCACATTAGGGATCCTACTATAATTTAAGGTACATTCCTTAATTAAGGGATATTGGAGTCTCTGGGGGAAAAGACCTCAAAATGTAGCAGGATCCCTTCTATGATTTATGGAATATTTCGGGATATTGGAGTCGCTGGGTCAAAACTCTACTTCACCAAACCCCAAGTCCGAATGCACAGGCCGCAATAACCAGCAATCATATCCCCCTTCCCCCTATCTGATTGTGATACAATAGAAGCTGTCCCCACCCTGTAAATTATATTCCTATTATACCACTATTACAGGGTGGTGGCATCCTATTATACCACTATTACAGGGTGGTGGCAGCTTCTAAGTGATACACGGTACCCTACAACACGGGCCTCAATGCTTCGAATAGGGCGGGTGCACTTTTGTATGAAAGAACCCTGAGAAATGATAGCTGCTAGTCCTTCGGGCTTCGATAGTACTCTACTTACTAAGGCCCCTATCTTTATCAGCCCCAAAGACCCGCGAGCCCGCACCATTGAATCGCCTCGCCAAGCTGCTGCAGCTGGGCTTCCTCTTCTTTGGTGAGGCCCTTTGCGCGATGCTTTGATTTATTTAGGGCTGGCCTAGGCTTAGGATTGCAGGTTTAGGCTGCGGGGTTAGGCTTCGGGGGAGTGGGGTTTGGATTTCGCAGTTTAGGATTTAGAGTTTAGGATTTGGGTCGTAGGCTGTTATGGGCTTGAAGTCGCATCCCTGCAGGTACAGCATAAACCGCACACAGAACCGTGCCATTAGCAAAGTAACTCCCGAACGATCTCAGAAGTTTAGCTGTGTAAGTATTGTAACGGGTTTTCTGAAGGTAGACTTTTATGGGTTCCTTATGACAGCCTGATGGGTTTAGGGTTTAGGGTTAAGGTAGGGGTTCTAGAAGGGTTTATTTATATCGTCAACCGTAGTATATGCTTCGGTCTTAAAGCGGGCCCTGGGTACTTTACGGCCGGAGTTTCTTTTCGATATGGGTACACGGAGCCTTAGGGCAAGCAAAGAGAGCCCTCAGTCACGTTGACCTGGGCTGCCTTCCAAAGCAAAGCCATCAGGTCAAGGTGTGGGAAGGTGATGTAACATGGATGTCGACACAGATAGACTTGGACTGCAGGGCATACTATACAATGTTAAACTGTTAGTACATTGATTGCGAAAAGGAAGTACAGCAATGGCCATCGTAGGATGTTCGTGTCGAGTCTGATCACTGCGGGCCAGAATGAGGATGTAGACTTTGCGCCGTAGGGTTCAGGGCTTGGCTTCGTGGTGGCGGAAACTCTTAGGGTGTGGGATTTGAAGTTGGCCAATAGAGCTTGGGGCTGGGAGTTGAACCTCGGTGTGGCAGAATAGAACTGACTCTCGAAAGACTGAATCAAGAGTATGCCGGGTGCTTGCATTAGGGACCCATTATTGGGATCAGGGTGCAGCCAAACCCTGCACTCTGAACCCTAGTCTTAGCGGTGTAGGTAGGGGCTTGAGGGGGTTATGGATGTAGAGGTTTTGAACCCTAAATCGCAACCATCCCTCATTTCGTGGCTTAGATTGAAGGGGTTAAAACCTCTGAAGCCCTCAACCCTAGACCCAAACCCCCCCTGACCCCAAAAACTTAAACCCTAAAGCCCCAAAACCCTTCACCGTACCCTCAAACCATGAACCCCTAAACCGTTATCCCTAACCTACCTGTTCAAGGGAAACCGTGGGACCATGATAAGGAACCCAAAGAAGCCAGGCATGCTGCTAGGCTTATATATAGTAAGTCATGACAAGAATAATCCTCAGCCGCGTAGCCCCGAGAGTTTTGCTCTGCATCTCCATTTCCATGGCCTCGATCGCTGCCTGTTCAGGGTTTAGCGTTTGCTGCTTCTGGGCTATTTAATGAGGGTTCGTAATGGTCGCTATAAGGGTTCCGGGTTCCTATGTGGTTCCTTCTGAGTGTCCTTGCTCGTGATTTCAAGCGCTTTCATAGGCTTGCACGAGGAAGGCACTGAACGAGGCTGTCACAAGGGATCTTTCGGCTTAGGGTTTAGGGGCTTTGGATTGATTTCGGTGCTTAGCCACGTACGGCTTCGGGGCTTGGCTTGAACCTTTTGCGGCTTCAGGATAAGCTCTGAACACCAAACGCAAAACACCATAAGCACTAGATTCCTACGGTTGATGATATAAATCCTGCGTTACCCATAATAGGGAATATACCATAAGTTCCCATAGTTTAGGGTCCTTAAGGTAAAATGCAGGATTTATATCATCAACCGTAGATCCTAAACCCTTGCACCCGAACCTTGCTCCCCTGTGCGCAGGTCCTCACTCAGACAATTTCAGCTCACGACACCTATAGTCATCGTTGTAACTAATTTTTGGGGTTTAACCACTTCTACGTTCAGGTTCCTAAAGGGTAGCTCAAAGAAGGAACTGGGCTTGGAAGGTGGAACCCCAAGCCTGAGCCTAAGCACTGGTGTTTTGCGGGCGCCCTAATGATCTTCAACTCGGGTTTGGGGTATGTTGTTGGACAGCCATGAAAGCACTGTAATGGGATAACGCTACCAACTGTTCAGTTGAGGTTTACGGTCTAGGGCGGGCTTTATGCACGGCAGCCGAGGCAAAGCCGACGTGTCCCCTGAGCCCTAAACCCCTTGAAACCCTGTAGCAACAACGCCATTGCCGTAGAGGTCTCGATCCGAAAAGCCTCAACCGACAAGCCTGCAAAGAAACACCAAAAAATCCTTCACCCTGCAACACCAGCCCGAAACCCTAAACAAATAAACCCTAACACCCAACCCTCTAAGCCCAGTGACATGCGGCAGACACCGAAATCCTGAGCCCTTTCAAGAAGCAAGCCTTGGAACCCAAGCGGCTCAAGCCTAAAACCCCCAAAGCAGTAAGAGGGATTAGGGATTAGGGTTTTGGGGTTTAGGGTTTAGGGTTTGTAGGGTATAAGGTTTAGGGTTTAGGGTTTAGGGGTTTACGGGTTTGGGAAATAGGCTCAGGATTTGGGGTATAGGGGTTTAGGGTTTAGGGTGAACACTACCTGCACGCCTCAACACCCAACCGCTTGAGGACTTACATCTAAAGAAATCATGATGAGGAACCCTGAAATAAGGGCAAGTTACTTGGGGCTATGCTGAACCCTGCAAACCCGAGAATCCTGCTAGAACCCTGGCATAGAAACTCCTCTGGAACCGGTGTAGATAGAACCACAAAGTATAATAATACACTATAAGAACACTGCCAATATTATAATATCTACAAATGTGTGTATATATATATATATATATATATGTAAAGCATATATATATATATATAGATATAGATATAGACATATATATATATATATATATATATACATACATATATATATATATATATATACATATATAAACACATATATAAGCAAATATATACATACACATGTGTGTGCATATATATATATATATACGCTAGATTGCATAATATCTGACCCTTTCTCTGCTACCTCGTACTGGGCGATGTAACTCTGGAGATCTGCACACCGCTCTTGGTTCTGGCCTTGCCGCTTCGGTGATTTTTTTCTAAAGTGCAACGGTTTAGGGTTTAGGGTTTAGGGTTTAGGGTTTAGAGTTTAGGGTTTCTGCGAAATGATCCAGCCAAAGTCGGCCTACACTACAAAGACAGCCACACTCAGAAGAGGAACTCAACAGTGAACATTAGCTTCGGGGTTTTTTTGGTGTTTAGGGTTTGGGGTTTATGGGCTTAGGGGGGTTTAGGGGTTTAGGGATTTATGGGCTTAGGGGTTTGGGGGTTTAGGGCTCAGGTCTAGGGTTTCGGGCTTCGGGGTTTAAGGGTTTGGGCTTGGGGTTTAGAGGTTCCAAGGCTTGGGAGCGGTACTTCGGGCTTAAAGTAGACTCCAACATGCGTGGTTCTCTACATGATGATTGCCTTCAGGGTGCTCTTACAAGCGTGCCGTACCAGTTTGGGGAGCCTAAACAGTGGCCGTATAATTTAGAGAACTACCCACGTGTCGTATCGGGTTTCATCGGGTTCTTTCAGACGTGCTTGTCGGGTTTTTGTGTGGTTGTTAATGTAGACCCTGATCAACAAACTGGCGACTTTTTGGTTGGTACCAAGACTGGCATGAGTTTCCTCTGTGCTTAGAGATAGTGAAGCTGACCCTACCCTGACAACCTGGAAAAAAGACGCAACGGCTCCTTGAATCCATCGGCCCTAATCCTTATAAACCCCAGAAGACAAATAGCTCGGAAGTCAGCGATTGGCCGAAACTGGAAAGTAAGCTGGGAGGGTGTCGGTCATGTGCAAGTAGTACGAGCTGTTGAACTGCAAGAATCTACATAAATATCGGTTGCACCAGGCAGCTATGGTCTTAAAATGTTCGTTTGCGAAAAATCAGGTCGACCGGTACCATGCCTGCCATGACAATGTTGGTCTTTTTGTTCCAGACGTTTTTCTGGCCTCAATATTATTCACCTTCGAAGTCGAAGTTGCTCCATTTGAGAGTCTCGCTACTTAGCCTCTTGATTTGTAACTGCTTCTCCCCACTTACCTATCAAACGTCTCCTTGTGGAGCCTCTGTGTGTGTGTGTGTGTAATTCTGTTTCACACGGCTTGCCGCTAATCCATACAAGTTCGACTTGAATAGCTGCGATATCTTCTTCAGCTGTGGTCTAGTCACTGCGAGGAGCAACGTGTTTTCATCTTTAGCCGTACCGGATGAACCAGGGCCCCTGCGCAGAGCGTCTTCTTGCCGGGAGATTCGACCTTCACTCATGGGTTTAGGTTCAGTGTTGGGGCTAGGGTTTGTGATTTTGGGTCTGGGGTTTACCCTTTCACATTTTAGGTTGTACCTGCAGCCAAAATCCCTACAAAGCAGTAGGTTATGACACCCTGATTATAGGGTCTAACCCTTACAAACAATACTAGGCGGATCGCAGGTGGGGTTTGCTATTGGTCGAGTTTTGCTTTAAAGGGCGTGTTTCCGGCTGCAGGAACTTCGCTCTCCCGACGGCTCCATGTTCCTACATAGCACCTACTTGGGCCTTACAGGGATTCTTACTTTGGTATGTTACGGCCTAAGTCTAAGTACATACGGTTGATGATATAGATCCTGCATTACCCATAATAAGGAATATACCACAATTCCCATAGTCTTAGAGTCCTTAAGGTACTGCAGGATTTATATCAACAACCTAAACCCTAAACCCTAAAACCCTATAGACCCCTTAAAGGAACCCTTAAAGGAACCCTTTATAGATCCCTTTAAGGGAACCCTAGGGATTTATATCATCCACCGTAGTCTATAGGTACATGGAGCCCTAGGGTCTTATGCCCCAGCGTTTAGCGCTCGCAGAGGGTTTAGAGCTCAGGCTCGGGCCTCGTACTTGGGGCTTAACTTCAGCCCGAAAACCCTCAGGTTTAGGGTTTCGGGTTTAGGGTTTCGGGTTTAGGGTTTAGGGTTTCGGGTTTCGGGTTTTGGGTTTTGGGTTTAGGGTTTAGGGTTTAGGGTTTAGGGTGTGCGCTGTGTCCGCTCGCGCATCCTTGACGGGCCGGCTCCCGATACTGCTTTCACGCCGGCCCTCACCATTTGCGCTCGCTATGCGTAGCTTGTATTCCCACCCCAGCCGCCCTAACCTCGACCTTTCAGGGTTTAGGGTTCCCTTCTAGGAGGAACCCTCGTGTTCATTCTTATCTACCTCCTGTTGGTTCTCACCATATTGGGTGCATCAGTGCCGATGGGTTGCCATGAGTAACGTAGTTCACATGCATAGAATGTATATACACAAGTATTCAAATGCGTGCATGTCTGTATACATATGTGTGCGTATTCCGTTTATACATGTATACATGAATGTGTGTATGTACAGGCTGTGTATGTAGTTATGCGGGGTGAGAGGAGGCAGAGGTTCGTTGGGGCGTGAAGGGCGTAGACCGGCACGGGCCAACGAATCGATGGGTTGGTAGAGGTTCCCTCCCAACCTCGATCATGAGGTAGAGTATGTGCCGGTTGTGCAATTTCTGAAGAACGAGAAAGAACCTGGCCGCTTTCGATGACCGGACAAGGTAGAGCGAGAGGCATCGACTTTGGGACATGGCTCGGCGGCATGCCCACAACTCGTCACCATTCGCGCTCTCCTTTTCCATCGAAAACCTTCCGGCAACTAGAAATCCCAACGAACCGATGGGTTAGTAGAGGTCCCCTGCCAACTTCGAGCAAGAGATAGAGTATGACGATCGGTTGCGTAATTTCTGTTCCTCTGTGCATCGAAAGACGTCTCTCGCTCCAGCTTGTCCACTCTAACGAAAGGCGCTCGATCGCTTTCAGCACAAAAGAACGAGAGAGAACTAGACCGAGACATCGAGTTTGGGACAGGGCTAGGCGCAGCCGTTTTGCTGCAGAGTGTTGCCAAGCAGAGAGGAACCGCAGATGGCTTAAAGCGGTCACACGCAAAAAAAAGCCTGGTTTTGCTGAACGTGGCCCCGACCACCTTGGGCACCCACGAGCACTCAAGGGTCCTTTTCTTGATCCGGGCTCCAAGGGACAGAGTGTGGAGTTTCGGACCGGTTTAGAGCTGCCGATCTTAAGCCTGGCAACCCAGTTTAGAGCAGGCACACGAAAAGAACGGCCCTGTTTTGCTGCAGAATCTGGCTTTCGCCGCTTTGGGCACCCAGAGGCACCATATGGTTTAGAGCAGGCAGACGAAAAGAACGGCCCTGTTTTGCTGCAGAATGTGGCCCCGACCTGCTTGGGCACACACGAGCACTCGAGGGTCCATTTTCCGATCCTAAGGCTGGGACCCCAGTTTAGAGCAGGCACACGAAAAGAACGGCCGTGTTTTGCTGCAGAGTCCGGCTTTGGCCGCTTTGGGCACCCAGAAGCACCATATGGTTTAGAGCAGGCACACGAAAAGAACGGCCCTGTTTTGCTGCAGAATGCGGCCTGGACCGCTTTAGGCACACACGAGCACTCGAGGGTGCATTTTTTCATCCGGGCTCCCAGGGACGAGCACGCCAGGGTCCCTTGCTTAATCTGGGCTCCGAGAGACAGCTGCTGGAGTTTGGGACCGCTTTACTTTAGAGCTGCCACACGAAAAGAAAGGAGCAGGGAACTCCGCCTTGGCGAGGGCCGTTGCAGGGGAACTCCGTCTTGATGGGGGGGTTTAGGGTAATCTTTCTATGGCGCACATCGCATACGGGCTCGTGCGCAGCTCCCTATGGCCGGTCGCGTGGGCTGGGTTTCGCCCAAGGCCCTGCGCGCTTGCGCTCGTTGCTCCGGGCCCGCTGCGCACCGGGTGTGCTTCGCTGCGGCTCGGCGACTGTATCACTCGAAGCGCCTCGCCTCAGTTTAGGGTTTAGGGTTTAGGGTTTCGGGTTTAGGGTTTTGGGTTTAGGGTTTAGGGTTTAGGGTCAGCCCAAAAGCCCTCAACCCCAATTCAAGCGCCTAGGGATTACGAGGAAGAAGTGCGCAGCCCATAGAGGTTTGGTCGAGGGCAAGAAATATCCCAAGCGGCTGCGTCGCGTGCTGTGATGTACGGAAGTGTAATGAGACCAAGATCTTAATCTCTATTCTTCAATCTGCAGAACCGGGCCCAAACAAGTTCAAACTTTCTCAGATAGGCCCTAAACCCGGGTTTAGGGACGTTGGGACCCTGAAGCCCGAAACCCTGAGTGACAACACAAGAAGAAAAAGACCCCGGATAGACCCATAAATAATATCAGCCCTGATCCCTAAACCCGAACACCCCAAACCCCCAAACCCCTAAACCCTAAACTGCTAAACCCTAGGCCCTAAACCCTAAACCCGAAGCTTCCAAAAGCGGAGTTAGAGCCTTCTGCTTCGTCGACAGACTCCGCTGCGGTAGCCAGGGCGGCACGCCTCGGAGAGAGGGGGAGCCACTGATTTCGGGTTTAGGGTTTTGGGGGGGTTAGGGTTTAAGGGTTTAGGGTTTAGGGGGAGCCACTGATGTGTCTCTCAGGTGTCTTGTCTTCGGGTCTTGGGGATGTGTTCCACGAGGTCGTGAAGGTCAAGGGTTGCTTAGGCCTTTACTTGAAGGATCATGGGACATAGTAACTAAGGTTATTATTAGGGCAGCTGTATGTATAACTACTTATAACCCCAATTAAGGTACTTATAACCATACTTACTAAGTCCCATGATCCTCCAAGTAGGGTTTAGGGATTGATGGCTTAAAACCATTTCGTGAGGGATGTAGGTCTTCGGGGTTCACCATAAACTGCCACAGCCCACTTTTTTTAGTATTATGAACCCTCGGATTTCACGGGACCCTACAGAAAAGTAGGTTCTGGTAGTTTAAGGCAGGAATTCAAGGTGCCTTTTTGTCCAGGGCTGCTGGGGTTTCCGGTTTGGCTTCGGGTCTTTAGGGCCTAGGGCTTGCAGGTCCTGAGGGGGCGTATCGTTAGGGTTTAGGGTTTAGGGTTTTGGGTTTAGGGTTGAGGGTTTTGGGGTTTAGGGTTTAGGGTTTAGGGTTTAGGGTATCGCTTGCAGGGTTAAGGGCTGTAGGCCTTGCAGAGTGGAGGATCTAGGGTTTACTTTGGGATTTTGTATTCGGGTGGCTGTCAAAATTAGGGTCCCTTGTTGTTGGGTCCTTATTATAAGACGGCACCTGATATTTAGGGTGCCCAAAAAGGACCATACCTTTGACGACCACCCATTCGTGCCTTCGAAAGTTGTTGCGCAATCTTTGTGGATTCGTGGCGGTTTATGGTAGGCAATAGAGCAAACTCAGTTGGGGCCTGATGCCTAAGGGGCCCGCTAAGGGTTTAGGGTTTTTTAGAACTGAGATCCAAGATGTGTGTAATCATGTGCCGTCCCATCTGGATGGGGCATTGCCGTGCGAGGTTTCGATAATGTCTTGCCTTGTTTGACCAGAAACTCCAACGCTCTAAAAGCTCTGCTTCACACTGCAACCGAACAGACCGTGTCTGAAGAAGTGCCATGAAGATCAGCAAAAAGCAGGATCGGCCATAAAGGAGATAAAGAGAGGGAACCCATGCTTTGTTTTTGTTGTGGGCTTTTTTGCAGTTGGTGCCCCGAGCGGCGGGCAGCGAGTGAGTGAGTGAGTGAGCGCACCCACAGCAAAAAGAAAAAAATCGCCCAGGACACTGGATGTCTTTCTGCAGTGGATGCTCAGAGCCGGGCAGCAAGTCAGTGAGTGAACTTGCCGCGTACACGCAGCAAAACTATAAACGCGCTCCCCGGCTGGCCGGGGTCCGGGGCGCGTTTTTGTCTTTGCTGCGGGCCTGCGGGTGCGCGAGATCACTCATTCACTCGCTGCCTGCAGCCCGGAGCACCCACAGCAAAAAAGCACCCACAGAAAAACAAAACAAAAAAAACACAGGGCACCCGCAGCAAAAACAAAAACGCGCCGCGCACCCGCTGCAAAAAAACAAAACGCGCCGCGCGCACCCGCTGCAAAAAAGCACACACGGCAAAAATGAATAAACACTCTTACCGGCACAGAAAAAAACAGAGAGAGAGAGAGAGAATAGGGAGAGAGAGAGAGAGAGAGAGAGAGAGAGAAAGAGGGAGAGAGAAAGAGGGAGAGAGAGCAGAAGGACAGGCCACAGAGCGACAGAGAGAGAGAGAGAGAGACAACAGCAGCAACAACGACAGAGAACGATGATAATCACACAGACAAAGTCGATGCGTTTCGGGCTTGGGCTTCATGAGAAGCATCATGGATTCTCTTCTCTTTCTGACCACCCAGAGGTTTTTGGGGCTAGAAGTTCCAAGCTCGGGGTGTAGAGTCTAGGAGTTCAGGGTTTCCCTGCAGTCTCCATTGTAGTTCCTTTTTTTGGTGAACCAAAATCTCGATTATAGGATCCTAACCATAAAACTGGTTAACCAAAAAAAAGGAACTACAATGGAGACTGTAGGTCGGGCTCATGTTGCGCAGTTAGGGCCTGAGGTTGACTGTCTCAAGATTAAGGTAAAGGTTATAGAAGCTGCCCCCACCCTGTAATAGTGACTATAAGGAGCTTAAATCATAATATGAAGCCCTAATTATATAATTTAAGCCATATTCCTTAACTATTAACTTGAGCCCTCTGGGTACATTCCCTGGGCGCCCGCACTTTACGCTCCTTTGTTGCAGGAGATCGCGCTTCCTTCCTGCGCGTGTTGAGCGCCGCAGGCTTCGGATTTGGGTCTTCAGGGTTCAAGGTTAAGGGGGACGGTTTAGGGTTCAACGTTAAGGGGGAAGGTCTAGGGTTTAGGGTTCAAGGTTTAGGGTTCAACGTTAAGGGGGAAGGTCTAGGGTTTAGGGTTCAAGGTTAAGGGGGACGGTTTAGGGTTCAACGTTAAGGGGGAAGGTCTAGGGTTTAGGGTTCAAGGTTAAGGGGGACGGTTTAGGGTTCAACGTTAAGGGGAAGGTCTAGGGTTTAGGGTTCAAGGTTAAGGGAGACGGTTTAGGGTTATAGGGTTCAAGGTTGAGGTGGAGGGTTTAGGGTTCAAGGTTAAGGGGGACGGTTTAGGGTTTAGGGTTCAAGGTTAAGGTGGAGGGTTTAGGGTTTAGGGTTCAGGGTGAAGTGGGACGGTGTAGGGTTACGGGTTTGGGGTTTAGGGTTCAAGGTTAAGTGGGACGGTGTAGGGTTTAGGGTTTCTGGTTTAGGGTTCAAGGTTAAGGGGGACGGTTTAGAATGTAGGGTGTTTAGGGTTTAGGCTTCAAGGTTAAGGAGGCGATACCTTCAACAGAATAGGGTTCTTCGTTGAAGGGCTCTACCATAAGGATTATTATGCTTCTATAAGGGTTGCTATAAGGTCCCATGATAATAAGATAGGGCCTAAACAAGTAGAATAGGGTGTTGGGGTATGTTATAGCATAACTTCACGGGGAACCATGGGGAATACTATTGGTAATTCTGCGCGGGCTTTTTTGGGGATACCTTCGAGGTTGAAGGGCCTTGACACGTAGAATTGGGGGTTCCCGGTCTGGTATTTCCAGGACACAGGGAATACTTGTCAGAAAGGCTTTTCTGGATCCTGTTGACCGTCGTTCGATTCGGCTTCCAATTTGTGAAGGAGCGTGGCAAGGCTTACCTTTGGTTAGTAGGGAATGAAAGAATGGTAGTAATACGGTTGATGATATAAATCCGGCATTACCCATAATAAGGAATACACTGTAATTCTCATAGTTTAGGGCCCTTAAGGTAATGCAGGATTTATATCATCCATCGTAGCAATTGTAATTGTACCCCCTTCCTCCATTCCCTACTAACCAAAAGGTAAGAAGGGCGCCACGGCTCGCTTCGACTCCTGACCGACCGGAAACTAGTTCATGGTTGGGATAGGATTCAAAATTTTGATTGTAATTCCTGTTTAGGGTTTAGGGTTTAGGTTTAAGTACCCATAACTGTAAAATGTTACCCAACTATGACAAAGGCAAAGTTTCCGGGCATTGGAGCCATGGTTGTTTGGCATCCGCCCAGAAGTTTGCCCGACCTCCGTTGAATGCTTTGACCTTGCCGGTCTGCACTTCACTAAACCCTAAACGCCACACCCTAAACACTAAACCCTAAACCATCATACTGAGCCGTGGCTTTGACCAGTGTTCGTTTCATCCGTGGCACGGTCTGAGAGGCATCTGCCCGCTTGATCGCATCCGTTATGAAAGCACATGGAAGGTTCACCTGGGCTTGGTCCACGAAGGGTGCCACCTCCGTATCACTGCCACAGTCCAAGGCCCTAAACCCTAAACCCCTAAACCCTAAACCCTAAACCAGACAATGACAAGCTCTTGCAGGGGCAAGAGGGAGACGAAGACGCGCCTGGGCACGGCTGGCATCATGGAAACAACGATGAGTAACGTCAGGTATCAGGCTGACGATGATGCCCAAGGTGATGATGTTGGCATCGATGCTATTGTACATGACGAAGTAGATGCTGGGAAAAATGGAGGAGGAGGAGGAGGAGGAGGAGGAGTGGAAACTGGATGACTATGCCGAAAAGGAGCATCCTCTCAATGGCTCTAACGATGCTGAGGAAAGATGCAGACAGTGGTGCTGATGACGAAGAAGATTGAAATGTTTATGCTGCTTGAGGGCTTGCAACCCGTGTTCCAGCGCATACCACTCGAGAACGACCGTCCACTTCCTTGCCAGCTCATCGGGAGTCTTATAGACTTACAGAGCTGTTGGTTGTGGTATCGAAACATCCACTTCGACAGACTGTCGGACTTCAGAATTTCCGGGAACTCTGCCCTGAGATCTTCTGCTTACTTAAAGGATCATGGGACTTAGTAACTAAGGTTATTATTACGGTAACTATACTTATAACTGCTTATAACCCCAATTAGGGTACTTGTAGCCATACTTACTAAGTCCCATGATCCTCCAAGGAGGTGGAGGCAGATCAAAGGCCCTCTTGACAATGCAACAAATGCCATAACGGTCGTACGATCTCCATCTTCGTATAGATTGGGCTGCCGGACTGTGTCATGTTTTATGGGGATCACGTAGAGAGTTACGGACAGCAGACCTCAAAAAACTCTGGTAGTCTTATCACGCAGCATGCTTTGTGATAACGGAACCGTAGAACAATGAAACTACGCATTGCGCAACACCTCCCAGTCCCTATCTCCGCTAAAAACTCTTCTAGAACCCATCAAGAACCCTCATTTTAAAATCACAAACTTCTAGAACTGATATGGAACCCTAAAAAACCATATTATGGAACCAACCCTCACAGAACACTTATCGAACCCCTGAAGATCCTGAAAGACCCTAAGCTCTAAACCCTAAACCCTAAAGCTTTGAACGCCTTGAAAGAAGCCTGTTAAGGATCCGTGTGGATCCCTTCTACACTAGAGCCCCGTAAGAAGCCCTTTGAGGGTACTACTCAGGAACCTAGACCTGCAAAGAAACACATAGACTGAACCCCTAAGGATCCCTCAACAGACCTCTTTAGGCACATCGGAGTCTCTGGGCATCTCAGGGAGCCTTGGATCTCCTCGATCTGGTTGTTCGCCGCCTGCACCTGCGAAAAGTACACGGGTAGGGCTTATAGGGTTTAGGGTTTGGGGTTTAGGGTTAGTGGATTTCGAGTTCAGGGTTTAGGGTTTAGGGTTTAGTCTTTATAGGGTTTAAATAGGGTTTAGGCTTTGGTTTTCGGAAAGCGGGGTCTCAAAACGGGTTGCATAGGGTCTATATAAGGTTTCCTTAAGGGTCCTATAAGGAAACGGTAATGGCATAGGTTTAAGACCGTAGGGCTTTCAGATGCGTCTTGTCTACTTTCAAGCTTGGGGCCGAGGGCTCAAGACTACTTGGAGGATCACGGGACTTAGTAAGCCAGAATATAAGTACCTTGGTTGGGGTATAAGTAAACAGAAGTAGAGTTACCCTAATAATAACCTTAGTTACTAAGTCCCATGATCCTTTAAGTATGGTTTTGGTGTGTCTTAGCTCCAGGTCTGGGCTTGAAGTTTCCCGGTTTGGGGTGCAGGGTTTCTGGTGCGGGGTTTAGGGTCTAGGGTGGTGCGTTAAGGTTCTCTGGTGAATGGTTCATGACGATACAGGATGCAGGTTTTAGAGGGTTTCTGTACTGTGCCATACGACTGTTGGTGCTGATGCTATGATGACGATGATGACCATCATGCTCACTTTCATGTTCAATAGTCTCATGATTTGTTGAGCATGCTCTTGCTCAAAGCGCAGCAAGAGGAACACGAAGCAGCAAGACTCAGCTGGCAGCATGCCAAGCTGGGCGACTGACGTTGGCCTAAGTCCTGCTGTAGCAAATCGAAACAGAATCGAACCGTAAACAACCCTCGTCTCAACCGCCGAATTCCAGACATAGTCCATGAGCTGTTAGGTTCGAAATACCATCCCCTGAACCCAAAACCCTAGTCATCAGTGGCGGTGAGTAAGCATGGTGAGGTGACAAGATGCCGGCACCACTGCTCACCAGTAAACACACCACCCGTGATAGACACAACAGCAAGGATAGCAGTCCTTGACTTGACAAACACCGCAACAGATGACCAGGACAGTAAAGGCCGCAAGAAGAAAAAGCGCAACAAGCAAGACCCCACCAACAACCCGAAACCCAATAAGCACCGACACTCCACTAACTCCTAAACCCAACGGCTTCTGAAACACAAGCTTCCCTGAACCCTAATCCCTAAACTCCAAACCCTAAGGCCTAAACGCGAAACTGCAAACCCTGAGCCCTTGATCCGAAATCCTAGAAGACCTGGGTTCTAAACCCTGCACCAAAAGCCCTAAACCCTAAATCCTAAACCCTAAACCCTGAATTCGAAACCCTAAACTTGGGGCCCTACCTCAACCTACCAAAACCTACTTTTTTGTAGGATTTATAACCAGAACCTACAAAAAGGTAAGGCTTGGTACGTCATTTCAGGTAAACCCTACCCTAAACCCTAAACCCTAAACCCTAAACCCTAAACCCCTAAACCCTAAACCCTAGGCTTGCCCGGAACCGTACCAATAAGGGGGCCTCCTGCTCGAGGCCGACGAGGCGCGGACGAATTGCATCGACTTTTCCCTGGCGCTGGGGCCGCGAGGATTCCCGGGGCTACTTGGAGGATCATGGGTTATAAGCAGTTATAAGTAGAGTTGCCCTTATACTAACCTTAGTTGCTAAGTTCCATGAACCTGTACGTACGGTTTTGAGGGCTTTGGGTTTAGGGTTTAGGGTTTTGGGGTTTAAAGGTTCAGGGTTTAGGGGTTTAAAGGTTTAGGGTTTAGGGGGTTTAGGGTCTTAGCCTACTTGTCAGGTATCATGGGGAACTAGAGGTTAACCTTTTTGGTTGTATAAGGATTATATAGGGACTATACTACCCAAAAAAGGTTCAAGGTTGCCTGCTCTATTACTAGGTTGGGATTTAGGTCTTAGGGATGTAGGAGTTTCCGAAAATAGGGGACCCTAATACAGTACCCTAAATAGTAGGATCCTTATTATAATGACCCTCAAATAAGGTACCCTAATTTTCGGAAACTCTCATGTAGGTTATTTTGGGCTTGGGGTTTGGAGTTTCAGGATGCTTCGGGCTCCAGGGTCTTAGGATTTGGGGTTCAGGCTGTTTCGAGCTTTGGGGGGTTTAGGGACTCGGGTTTACCAGTTCGGGCTTGTGGCTGCTGGTTTAGGGTTTCGGGTGGAGGGCTTCGCGTGGCTTGGGGTTTCGGGTTCCGGCTTTAAAACTTCAGGATTTCAGGTTTCAAGAACACTTCGCTCGGGTCTCCAGGGTGTTGTGAGGGTTCCGTATGGGCTTTATGGCGCCCGGTTCTGTATAGAGTTTAGAGTCCAGCATGAAGTCTGCAAATTGAAGCCGAAACCCTGAACCCCCAAATCCCAAGCCCTAAAGTAAGGTCTGGGCTCAAGTACCCTTGGGCACCTCCAATCCCTCGACGCCCCGATGGAAAGTCCAGATTCCCCCATAACCCACAGCCCGAAACTGCAGAAGAGCGATCTGACACATTTCAAATATGGGGTCTAAGACGCTGCTGCTCATTCCTCAAACCTCTCTACACAAACTCAAACTCGTGTAGAACCCTCATAGAACTATGGAACTCCGATACAAACCCTGCACTCTTAAACCCCAGTGCAGAACTCGAAACCCCCAACCGTCAAACCCGCATGGAAGCCTCATAGAACTCCTATCCAAACCCTCCATCCACGGGTAAAAGGAGGGACCCTTAATAAGGACCCCTAGGTATATACCCTATAGCCCGTTATAGGGTAATTAGGGGTCCCCCTTAAGGGTCCCTCCTTTTCCCCTTTGACTCCACTCTTCAATCTCTGAGCCCTTATGAGGCCGAGCCCTTTTGTGCAAGCAGAAGGTTATACTGTTAAGCGAATGGGGCTCCTTAAAGGGATATATAAGGATTCTATAAAGGGTTCCTTAAAGGGATCTATAAGGGCTCTATAAAGCGTTTAGGGTTTAGGGTTTGGGAGTTTCCGAAAGTTAGGGATACCTTAGTTTGGGGACCTAGAATGAGGATCCTACTATTTAGGGTCCTATATCAGGGTCCCCTGTTTTCGGAAACTCCCATACAGTGCCCGTGGTGCGCCTTTGCTTGGATCATCTTCTGGTTCAAACTCAAACGGATGAAGCGAGATGGATCCTGGTAGCCCCCGGTCCTCGAATTCGGGGATAGCGGCTTAGGATTCAGGGTTTGGGGTTTAGGGTTTCAGGGTTTTGGGTTTTAGGAATTACGTTCAGGGTTTTAGGATTCGCGCCTGGGCATTCGAACTCACGGGATAGGACAATGTAGGATTTGTAGTATACCAGGAACTACCATCATGGCATTTGTATGTGCTTTCTGCACGTTGCTTAGGACCGCTGGGGTAAGGAAGGTTCGGTACATCTGTGAGGACGGGTTTCGAACTTCTTTAAGTTTGCAAGCTGAGTTTTCATAACCCCTAGACCCCAAACACTGAACTGCTACCATGCTTAATCTTTCCGATCTAAAAGCCTCGGCTGTACTGCGACCCTGGGACCGTCGGGACCGTGCCCACACTCTGAGCCCAGCGCAGCGTCCCCCGACTGCTGACCTGCGAACACTACTGGGTTGGCTCTTTAAAGCCTCTGAAAAATATTCGTAAGTAGGGTCCTATTAAGCCCAATAAGGGAAAATGCAAAATGTCCCAAAGGCCTACCTAGACTAATATAGGGACCAGAAAGCCCCCGCGAGCAGTCAGGCTGGAATAAGACGGCGCCCTTTCATGCAGGGGGCTGAATAGTTAGCATAGGGTTTTGGGCTCCTTTATAGTCGAGATATAAAAAGGAACCCCAAGGAACAGTATTGCTAATATCTTAGGAGGCTTCTATATTATGATTCGGAAAGGTTTTGTTGATTGTAGTATAGCTAGAGTCAGGAACCAAGGAAACTTACCGACCCCTCTAGTATATCTGGAGTTCCACATGGGTCTCACTGTGGGAGATCTTCCATCCTTCGCAGCGGACTGTTCCGTTTTGGAATGGAATCAGGAGAGGAACTGACGGAGCGTTGTTTTCAAGTTTTGGAAACACCTGTTCAGAATTGAAGCACGTCACATCAGAGGTGTCGGTGAATCGAGGTGTCCGGCTTCGACAGCCTGATTTTCATGCCTGGCACCATTTTCCCCAGTGCCATGATGTCCGCAAGGCTTGCAGCTTGCGTCATGTCTGACCGGAGTAACATATACCCCCAGATCCTAAGCCCTAAACTCCTAAAACCTAGACCCTGAAACCCTAAACCCTAAGCCGTGGTTTGAAGCTTTGCAGGCCATCCAGTGCGAGACCATCGATGCTTTGCAAGACGAACAGCGCTTGAGAGCTGATGGCATCATTCGTTTATGACCTGTAGTATCCCAAAATACACTATTATACGATGATACTACACCATACTGTACTATACTATACTGGTCTGTTCTGTAATATACTATACTATACTAGACTGTGCTCTACTATACTTTGTTAGACTAGAGAAGACTATACTAGACTATACTAGACTATACTAGCCTGTACTATACTATACTACACCGTGCTAGAGGATGCTATACTGTACTATACTATGCAGTACTAATACTGTACTATCATATGATATACTACAGGTAGAGGTATTTCAAGTCCTACGAAAGTGTTGCAAGTCGGGCTCGGACTGGCAAAAGGCATCAACAGCTGCGAGAGCCACATTTCCTGGATTTGTAAGGGGTTTGAGCTGCCGTTGGGCGTTCCGGGCCTTGGAAGAACACGCAAAAACACAGACATAAGCAAACAAATCCTGGATTAATACACCCAGTCTGTCCTGGGGTCATGATTTCAGGATCCCTACCACATGCAAGTCGAGGGAACTGAATCGTGAAATCAACACTCCCAGAAACTCCAGATCTTTGAACGAAACGCAAAACCACTTAGGATCACCCAGAAAGCCTTAAGCAAAGAGGGCTTCTTGGCTCTTCTTGCTTGCTTACATTTTTCGAAACCCTAAACCAAGGAGGGAAACAGCACCTGCAAAACGGTACAAAACCCTGAGCCTAACGCAGAACCTACTAGACCTTGAGCCCTGAACCTGAACCTTAAACGCTCAACCTTATTAAACCTAAACCCTGAACCATAAACCCTAAACGCTCAAGCTCAAACTTTCAACCTTAGCCTCTCTTCCAGGACCCGAGGGCCCTTCAATAGCGTTCTGATGGCCCTTATATAGAACCCGGCATTGACCGAGCCCCGCGGTGGGGAGGCCTTGTCCCCATCCATGGTAATGGCGTCCAGGCCATACTTTGTGCTCACCTCTGCAGGGTTCGGGGTTTTGGATTTAGGGTTTCAGGGTTTTGATTTAGGGTTTGGGATTGAATGTCTCGGGTGGAGGGTGATAGGATTTTCGCGGTTTGCAGGGTTTAAACGCTTTTAGGGTCTGGGGTTTAGGGATTGTCTGTCGGTTCATTTTTGGGCAAGCAAACCCTGAACCTTTTAAGTCCTAAACCCTTACAGAACCCTTACAGCAATCCTTGAAGAACGTCTTTGGAAAGATGTACGAAACCTTCGTGGATGACCCCCAATCCAAACTGATTGAAAAGTGGCTTTCTATAGGGTCGTGATAAGGTGGTTATATAAGTTGTATAATTAGGGGGTCGTTTAGGCTTTGGGATCGGGGCCATAACAGTTGGAACAGAGTTTTCGGGCGTATTGCAGTAGGGTTGCATCGGGCCTAACTGTACGGGGATGCTGTACCCCCGCAAGCTCCGCACTCTGAACCTCAGACACTTGAAAGCCTGCATCCCAAAGAAATGCTTCTCGGGGGCTTCTTATTCTGATTGTTGGAATTAGCAATATGTTCCTTCCCGTCGTTCCTGTATAGTTGTAGTATAATATTCCTACACCCACTACTTTATACCACTTTAACAAGGCCCCCTACGTTCTTCCTTGATGGAGGAGCATTGGGCTCCCTGGCTGAGGACTTTGGAGTTTGCAGTTCTCCCAGACTTAGTTGCTGAGTTCATAAGCCCCAGGCAGTGTATACTTTAAGTTTTATAGTGGGTAATATTATCCCCAAAAGTGTAAAGTGTATCCACTCACTTACTAAGCAGAAACCTAAACCCTAAAACAAGGGTTTTCGGGGCCTCGGGTTCAGGACTTCAGGGTTTGCAACTCTTGCGTTGCGGCCCAGAAACAGACTTGAACCCTAGATTTATGGTTTAGGGCTTCGGCTGCGGAGGTTGTGGCTCAGGTGGAACACTGCTTCGAAGAAAAAACACCGAATCGCACAATGCAGCAAAACACAGCCTCTATCCTTCCTTACTTTGTCGGAATATTCTCAGACCGTCTATATTAAACCGCTAAACCCAAAATTTAAACTAAACCCTAAACCCAAACCCCTAAACCTACCAAAACCCTAAACCTACGAAATCCCTTAACCCTAAATCCCTAAACCTTCTAAAACCCTCATCCTACTAAACTTTAAAAAGCCCACACGAAATGTACTTAACCCCGAAACTCCTAAACCCCTGAATCCCGAAACGAAAGCCTCCACCAAAATTCCCAGACGATGCCAGAGACGGCCTTTAAGGAATATAACTGAAGTTATAGCAGGATCCCTAACATGATTTAAGGTACATTCCCTCATAGAACCCTTCTAGATCCCTTTAAGGATCCCTTTAAGGATCCCCTTAAGGATCACTTTTAAGGAACCCTAAGGTATATTCCTTAATTTAGGATAAAGGAGTCTCCGGGATGCCTCGTCACAAAGCTCAAGGGTGGAGCAGACCATCGTCCTCCGGACGGTCAGGGCTTTGGACTTAGGCTTTAGGGTTTAGGGTTCGGCGGTTTAGAGTTTTGGGAGTTAGGGTTCGGCGGTTTAGAGTTTTGGGAGTTAGGGTTCGGCGGTTTAGAGTTTTGGGAGTTAGGGTTAGGGTTTACTTGGAGGATCATGAGGCTTAGTAAGTATGGTTATAAGTACCTTAATGGGTTATAAGTACTTATTAGTATAGACACCCTCATACTAACCTTAGTTACTAAGTCCCATGATCCTTTAAGTACTGCCCATTGGGTTTGGGGGTTAATGTAGGAACCTGATTAAGAAACCCCGGGCCTATAACCCCAAAATAGTAGGAGGAACCCTAATAAAGGCCCAAGGGTTTCTTAATCAGGTTCCTACATTAGGGTTTACGTGGAGGATCATCGGACTTAGTAAGTATGGTTATAAGTACCTTAATGGGTTATAAGTACTTGTTAGTATAGATACCCCAATACTAACCTTCGTTACTAAGTCCCATGATCCTTTAACTAAACCCTCTAACCCTAAACCCTAAACCCCTAAACCCTTAAACCCTAAACGTTTAGGGAGGCTGAGGGCTTCTGTTAGGTTTTCAGGATGCTGCGGTTTGCAGATTCAAGCCGTCGACAAAAATTTAGGTCTCTGCATAAGAGACCCAACGCCGAATCCGCACAAACCCAGGCCACCAAGACACCAATTCTTGGGCGCTCGGAGTTTACCATGAATCATGTTCTCAGGGATGAAGAGCCTCTTCTAGTACACATCGGATACCTGCCACCTGCATGGCCTCTTCCATGGGATTCCAAAATTTGGTCCATCTCAGCCAGGATCAAGCATAAAACACGCAGAGACTCACAAGACGCATCAATGTCTTGCGAAATAAGGGCTGGGTCATGTCAGACATCATCAAGTCTCGATTTTCTGACCCACTGCGCCTGCCTGCTGTGACATGCATCGCTGCACTGCCTTTCCTCATAATTAAGCGGCCAATCGATTGTCCTTCGGATGTGAATGTAAGCCGAAATTGGCTTGTCAACGCGGATAAGCCACTCGGAGGAACTACGGTTGATGATATAAATCCTGCACTACCTTAAGGACCCTAAACTATGGGAATTATGGTATATTCCTTACTATGGGTAATGCAGGTTTTACATCATCAACCGTATCTGCCCTCCCTGGAGCACCTTGCTCACGTAAGATCAACCATCGGTCTGCAGACCGGATCACGCTCTTGATATCCGCTACCTCAACTGGGTTCGTGACATGTTCCCCTGACCCTTGGGCCCTTTACCCCTCCCTGGCTTTCCGCCAGTGGAATCTTGCGTCTTGCTTGCCCTTCCTTCTTGGGCCTGGTCCACGCATGATGGCGGCAGGACCGCCCGAAGACGGCCGGGGGCGGCCGAATCAGGCTTCAATCGCATACTCGGGTGATGAAGCAAGGTCAGCCTGCTCTCTGTCGTAGGCTCACAGAATGGCAGCGGTTGAGGCTTTGAGGTTTAGGGCTTCGGCTGCTGGAATAAGTGCAGCATTTAGAGTGGTCGGAAGGAATTCGAAGAGGATTGTGGGTGTTTGAAATCATGTCTGTATGGGATTTAGAGGGCTTTAACAAGGGGTTCACCCTAAACCCTAAGTTCTATGGAGGCATCTATACTGAGGGTCCATGAACCCAAATAGTAGATACTTTGGCCTTAAAGTAGTCCCTATATAGGTACATTGGGGCCAAAGTATATAGTATTTGGGTACATGAACCCTTAGGGACAGGGTCTCAAGACGGGTGTTCAGACAGGCTTGAAGGGCTTGGTGGGTTCTGCAGCGTCTGTAAAGGTTTGAGGGATTAGAAACAGGATTTCTGCCCTTGGGCTTCAGGCGTGGGTTTCAGATTGTACGGTAATATAACGACCTTCATAATTGGAACAGGACGCTATACTAGTCTGGCATGCTCAGAGCTTCCCGGAGGACTGCAACATTCCAGTGAGTTGGCCTGTCGAAAAAAAGCTCGAAGGCTTACCCTTACTCTAGACCCTAAACCCTCACCCCATATAGCAGTAGCCAGAAAGTCGGAACATCATTATCCTCATGCCCTTAAGGCAAAGTATAAGGGATCCTAGCACTAATCCTCTTAAAGCCATGTTCCAACTTTCTGGCTTCTACTGTAACCACAAAGACGCCGTGTCCCAAGAAAACACTAGGACCGGTCGGAAGCCATGGGTCGTACGGCTGATGATATAAATCCTGCATTACCTTAAGGACCCTACACTATGGGAATTAGGGTCTATTCCTTATTATGGGTAAAATCCTGCATTACCCATAGTAAGGAATATACCATAATTCCCATAGTTTAGGGTCCTTAAGGTAATGCAGGATTTATATCATCAACCGTAGTGAAAGGGGCCTGGACACCTCAAAGAGGGGTTTAAGCTTCAGGGTGTAGGGCTTAGGGATTGAATATTTCGAATCGGGTTTACTGGCATGAAGGGACTATACGGGGATGCTGGGACTAACGGACCAACTAGTCAGACCTCTACCCTTTAAAGCAAACTGTAAAAACCTACACAAGCCCTGTAGTACCTCGACGTTAAATTAAAACTACTTAGGGTTTAGGGCTACACAGACAGACCACGTCAATGCAATTCTTCTCCTGCCAAAGACCTGCTGAACTGCGGGGTACATGCGCTCAGCGCATTGGATCACATCCTGCGACTCCGTGTTGAAGAAGCTTCGAGTTGCAAAACTTACAGAGTTACAGGGTTTCTAGAGTTTGTACCCTAAGGCCCCAAAGTAGTTGCTTTTTGGGGTTCATATTTAGAATTCTATAATTTAATCCCAAAAAAGAACTGCTTTGGGGCCTATGGGTAGACTGTCCAGAGCTCATATCGTTTATCCGGGTTTTGAGGTCTAGAGGGCTCAGGGTATAGGTTTTAGTGTTTAGGACTTACAGTCTACCTTAACCTACCAAACCCTACATTTTTGTAGGTTCTTATGATAAACCCTAATATGTAATTTTTCGGGACCCTACAAAAAAATCGGCTCTTTAAGGTAGGGTAGAGCCAGGTTCAGGCTTGCTGTCACGGCTGAAATATTGGTCGAGTCTACTTGTTACAGAGTCTTGCGTGCTTCATCTTGAAACAATACTCCGATGCTCGATGCAGTTACTTTGGTCAGATCCTGTTGGCAGTCGTAGAATCTCGTGGATAAAAGTAGAGCGCAATACACATCTCCGACCGGTTCTAGCGACCCAGGCTCGCGCATGGACGTCGAAATCCAACGGAATGATCTTCTTCGATGTCATCAACCCGTGGTTAGTGAGCGAAAGGTCTTGATTTATGAGCCATAACACTATAAGAATATTCATTTAATGTAATCCTGATTGTGGACAGGAGGTCTGTGCGTCCGGCGTCTACATTAAAGCCTCGACGCTAAAGCCCGAAACCATGTAAAACCCTGCTTTAACCCGACACCCTCAATCCCAAACCACACAAATTTGTACTAAACCCTAAATCCTGTCCTGAACCCTAAACCCTTTTTAATTCTAACCCCCACAAAATAACCCCTAAATCCTCAGCCCTAAACCCTTGTATTCACACTAAACCCAAGACCCGAATAGAATCAACCCCAAAGCCTTAAACCAGCAAACCCTAAACCCTAAACCCGAAAGCCTAAACCCTCATCCCTAAACCCTATAAACCCAAAACCCCTAAACCCTTATACACACACACACACACCCACCCCTAAACCCTAAACCCTAAACCCCCCAACCCTAAACCCTTACGCACACCCTTCGGGCTTCCCCAGACTCGGCAAAAGAGTCGGACTCGGGCCGTGGCTACGAGGGGCTTCGCTCCCTTGAGCTTGGGATACCTCAGCGCTTTTTGGGCTTCGGATAGGGTTTAGGGGTTTAGGGTTTAGGGTTTAGGGTTTAGGGTTCAGCAGCTCTGGTCGAGCAGTATCTGGTCAAGTTCGCTAGTAAGAACTTGGACCATTGGAAGAATACCCACCCACCCAAAGAATCCCAAAACATAAGAGTTAGAAAGTTTTTTTCGTTACCCTCAAACGACATCAAACCTCAAACCCTACGCCTCGATTTCTAGGCATACTTATGTTTCTATTGCTGCAGTACAGAAAGAAGCATGACACATTTCAGGCCGGAAATGTATCATCTTTTCCGCCTTACAGAAAGAAGCATGACACATTTCAGGTCGGAAATGTGTCATCTTTTCCGCCTTACAGAAAGAAGCATGACACACTAAAGCCCAAACCCTAGGCCCTAAACCCTAAAGCCCAAACCCTAGGCCCTAAACCCTAAAGCCCAAACCCTACGCCCTAAACCCTAAAGCCCAAACCCTAGGCCCTAAACCCTAAAGGCCAAACCCTAGGCCCTAAACCCTAAAGGCCAAAGCCTAGGCCCTAAACCCTAAAGCCCAAACCCTAAAGCCCAAACCCTAGGCCCTAAACCCTAAAGCCCAAACCCTAGGCCCTAAACCCGAAAGCCCAAACCCTAGGCCCTAAACCCTAAAGGCCAAACCCTAGGCCCTAAACCCGAAAGCCCAAACCCTAGGCCCTAAACCCTAAAGGCCAAACCCTAGACCCTAAACCCTAAAGGCCAAAGCCTAGACCCTAAACCCTAAAGCCCAAACCGTAGGCCCTGAACCCTAAAGCCCAAACCCTAAAGCCCAAACCCTAGGCCCTAAACCCTAAAGCCCAAACTCTAGGCCCTAAGCCCTAAAGCCCAAGCGCTAAACCCTAAACGAAACCTAGCTGAACAACGGTGGGTCCATACGGAAACCTAGCTGAACAACGGTGGGTCCATACGGAAACCTAGCTGAACAACGGTGGGTCCATACGGAAACCTAGCTGAACAACGGTGGGTCCATACGGAAACCTAGCTGAACAACGGTGGATCCATACGGAAACCTAGCTGAACAACGGGGGGTCCATACGGAAACCTAGCTGAACAACGGTGGGTCCATACGGAAACCTAGCTGAACAACGGTGGGTCCATACGGAAACCTAGCTGAACAACGGTGGGTCCATACGGAAACCTAGCTGAACAACGGTGGGTCCATACGGAAACCTAGCTGAACAACGGTGGGTCCATACGGAAACCTAGCTGAACAACGGGGGGTCCATACGGAAACCTAGCTGAACAACGGTGGGTCCATACGGAAACCTAGCTGAACAACGGGGGGTCCATACGGAAACCTAGCTGAACAACGGTGGTCCATACGGAAACCTAGCTGAACAACGGTGGATACGGAAACCTAGGAAACCTAGCAACGGTGGGTCCATACGGAAACCTAGCTGAACAACGGTGGGAACAACATACGGAAACCTGAGGTGGGTCCATACGGAAACCTAGCTGAACAACGGTGGGTCCATACGGAAACCTAGCTGAACAACGGTGGGTCCATACGGAAACCTAGCTGAACAACGGTGGGTCCATACGGAAACCTAGCTGAACAACGGTGGGTCCATACGGAAACCTAGCTGAACAACGGTGGGTCCATACGGAAACCTAGCTGAACAACGGTGGGTCCATACGGAAACCTAGCTGAACAACGGTGGGTCCATACGGAAACCTAGCTGAACAACGGTGGGTCCATACGGAAACCTAGCTGAACAACGGTGGGTCCATACGGAAACCTAGCTGAACAACGGTGGGTCCATACGGAAACCTAGCTGAACAACGGTGGGTCCATACGGAAACCTAGCTGAACAACGGTGGGTCCATACGGAAACCTAGCTGAACAACGGTGGGTCCATACGGAAACCTAGCTGAACAACGGTGGGTCCATACGGAAACCTAGCTGAACAACGGGGGGTCCATACGGAAACCTAGCTGAACAACGGTGGGTCCATACGGAAACCTAGCTGAACAACGGTGGGTCCATACGGAAACCTAGCTGAACAACGGTGGGTCCATACGGAAACCTAGCTGAACAACGGTGGGTCCATACGGAAACCTAGCTGAACAACGGTGGGTCCATACGGAAACCTAGCTGAACAACGGTGGGTCCATACGGAAACCTAGCTGAACAACGGTGGGTCCATACGGAAACCTAGCTGAACAACGGTGGGTCCATACGGAAACCTAGCTGAACAACGGTGGGTCCATACGGAAACCTAGCTGAACAACGGTGGGTCCATACGGAAACCTAGCTGAACAACGGTGGGTCCATACGGAAACCTAGCTGAACAACGGTGGGTCCATACGGAAACCTAGCTGAACAACGGGGGGTCCATACGGAAACCTAGCTGAACAACGGGGGGTCCATACGGAAACCTAGCTGAACAACGGTGGGTCCATACGGAAACCTAGCTGAACAACGGTGGGTCCATACGGAAACCTAGCTGAACAACGGTGGGTCCATACGGAAACCTAGCTGAACAACGGTGGGTCCATACGGAAACCTAGCTGAACAACGGGGGGTCCATACGGAAACCTAGCTGAACAACGGTGGGTCCATACGGAAACCTAGCTGAACAACGGGGGGTCCATACGGAAACCTAGCTGAACAACGGTGGGTCCATACGGAAACCTAGCTGAACAACGGGGGGTCCGTGACGAAAAAAGGCCATAGCATTTAAATACCCATTTGAGAGAGAGGGTTTAGAGGTTTAGGGGTTTAGGGTTTAGGGTTTAGGGAACTAGGAGTTCAGGGTTGAGGAAGCAGGAATATTATACGGCTTAGGAAGTCTAGGTGTGTAGGGTTTAGAAACTACGAATTACTTGGAGGCTCATGGGTAGTTATAAGTAGGGTTACAAGTAGGGGAACTATACTTATAACCCATAGTAGGGGCCTTATAACCCTACTTATAACTACCCCTGAACCTCCAAGTAAGCCCTAAACCCTGTACCCTTACAGAATCCCTATAGATCCCTTTAAAGGGATCCTTAAAGGAACCCTGCGATTAGGGCTTCAGATCCAAGGTTCAGGGTTTAGGTTTTAGGAGCCAGGGAACTGAGGCTTAGGGTTTAGGGTTTAGGGTTTTAGGTGTTTAGGGTTTAGGGTTTAGGGTTTAAGGTTTAGGGTTTTAGGGTTTAGGGTTTAGGGTTTAGGGGTTTAGGGTTTAGGGTTTAGGGTTTAGGGTTTAGGGTTTAGGGGTTTAGGGTTTAGGGCTTAGGGTTTAGGGCTTAGGGTTGATACTTGGAGGGTCTTGGGACTTAGCAAGTAAGGCCATAAGCACCTTTATTGGGTCTAGGTCGTTCTTGACAGGTGCTTGATCCTTTAAAGGACGTAGGTTTCGGAGACGTAAGCTCTAGAGCCATTCTATGACAATGGTCAGGTGCTTGTCAGACAAGAGCCAAACGTGCAAGCTGATGCAAGCATGGTTGCCCCCATGGCAACATTCATTCCGACAACCCAACAGGGTGCATGTAATTGTCGGTTTTGCCACATATTCTGACTAAAGCATTGTGCATAGCACCCCTTTGCCCTTGCAAGCAACATTTTGCTGACCTCTCAAACCAACAAACCAAGTGATTGGCGTGTTACCGTCTCGGATCCTACTAAGAATATCTTGAACAACACATATACCATACTGCTCGCTCACTATAACAGCGTTGCAAACCATCAGAGCCCTTCCTGTGGCCCGCACGTCCGCGACTTCACTTCCAGCTGGTTCAGCGGTGTGCAGACGATACCTTGCCGTCCCCACTCCGGCCAGGTAAGGGTTTGGGAGTTGAATGACGCGTACACCTCACTGAACCCTGACAATAAAATCTTTCGTGGTACTTCACAGTAAGAGTCTATAATAGAGCTACTATTAAGGTCCTAATATATCTGGCCGTACCCTAATAAGATCCCTGAAAAGGACTCGTAAGCCGTAAGCTACAGAACCCCCAAGCCTGAGCCCCAAAAAACTTCGCTCGCGCATCCGCACCCTCGGCCCCGAAATCCCGGAAAGGCTTAAACTTAAGCGATCGATTCCGGGTGCCTTGGGCGAAACCTGGACATCTCAACAACTCGCGTGTGGCTTAAGCCAAAAGCTTGGAGTTTTGGGTTTAGGTTCTACATTCCCCGAAAACCCGCCTTCATACTAGCAGTTTCTCATTCGGCATCTTGTTAAGCCCCAGACTCCACGTAACTCCCTAAACCCTTTTCAACCGGCAGACACCGAAAACCCCACAATCCTTACAATCCAGAGCCCAAAGGCTTGCGCTGCATGGAAGCCCTAAACCCCAAGCCTTACTTAGAGGATCATGGGACTTAGTCTCTATCGTTACTATTGGGGTAACTATACTTATAACTGCTTATAACCCCAATTAGGGTACTTATACCTTAACCCCACGTAACCTACCTTTTTAAGGACTTATATAAAGAAATCATATTAGGGAACCCTAAAAAGGTAGGTTCCTTAGGGTCCAGGTAACCATATTTACTAAGTCCCATGATCCTCCAAGTACACCCTGAAACCATCATCCTCAAGCCTGCGCCATCAACCTTTCAACCCTTAACACCCTCAACCGCTAATCCCTAAACCCTAAACCTTAAACCCTAAAGCACTAAACCCTAAACCCTCCCAAACCGCTTGAACTTAAACCCTAAACCCCAAACCTTAAACCCTAAAGCACTAACCCCTAAACCCTCCCAAACCGCTAAAAGTTAAACCCTAAACCCTAAACCTTGAAGCCTAAAGCACTAAACCCTAAACCCTCCCAAACGGCTTGAACTTAAACCCCAAACCCCAAACCTTAAACCCTAAAGCACTAAACCCTAAACCCTCCCAAACCCAAAAGCCCAAAGCCCTTTCGCTTTTGGAAAGACCCGGGCTTCCGAGGCTTCCTTTGCGAACCAGGGAAACCTGAGGCCGCGATGTAAGGGCTCCTTAAAGGGCACCTTTCGGGGTTTAGGGTTTTGGGGTTTAGGGTCTTGGAGTTTAGGGTTTTGGGGTTTAGGGTTTCGGGGTTTAGGGTTTCGGGGTTTTGGGGCTTAGGGTTTTGGGGTTTAGGTTTTTGGGGTTTTGGGGTTTTGGGGGATCTGTAAGGGTCCCTTTAATGATGTAAAGGCTCCTTTAGCCGGTAGTTTAAGGGCCCCTTTAGGGATCTATAGGGATCCTTTAAAGGGATCTATAAGCGCCCCTTGTAGGGATCCATAAGGGCTCCTTTGAGGGGACCTTTCAGGATATAGGGTTTGGGGATTAGTTTAGGGTTCAGGGTTGAGGGTTTAGGGTTTAGGGTGTAGGGTTTAGGGGTTTAGGTGGTTAGGGTTTAGGGTTCAGGGTTTAGGGTTGAGTGTTTAGGGTTTAGGGTGTAGGGTTCAGGGTTTAGGGTTCCTGGGAGGGCTCCGAAAAGGGCTCTACAGGGGTCCTTTCAGGGTACCTTTCTGGGTTTGGGGTTTAGCATTTAAGGCTTAAGGTTCGGGGTTTAGGTTTAGGGCTTAGGGATCTGTAAGGATTCCTTGAATGGCTCCTTGAAGGGATCTATAAGGGTTCCCTTCAGGGCTTCTTTCAAGGATCAACAAAGGGTTCTATAGGGCTTCACTTCAGGGGCTTGGGGCTCTCTACGGTGCAGGGCTTGGGGTTTAGGGCTTCGGGGTACTAACAACCAGGGGGCTTCGGGCTTCGTCTTAAGGACTTCCTTGCATGTTCTGGGCTCATAGCCGGGAGGTCTGCAACTGCAGCTGGCGCTACGATGTGATTCCGAAACCTCATGCAGTTCAGCGGCAATCTGCCCGGCAATGTTGTCATCCTTCACCTTAGCCGCCAGGTTTTGTTCGCTTCCGTACCCACACAAGGCTCCGCTGGATCAAACACGTAACCCCAATATCCCGAAAGCTCCACATGCGACGTTCTGGATGCAGCCTGCTACACCCCTGAGCTGCTGAGCTCATAAGCCCACAAAAAGTGTACACTTTCAGCTTTATAGTGAGTAGTATTATCCCAAAAAGTGTAAAGTGTATCCACTCAGCTACTAAGACCCGGAAGTACCTAAGCCCAAAAAACCCCCTAAGCTCATCGCCCAAACCTAGGCGCTGCCCTGCAAGCCGGAACCTTCCAAACCCCGGAAGGGTCCAAAAGCTAAATAAATCTAGACACTGGCCGCATGAACCTTCAAGCAGACCAAAAGTTGGAACAACTTTAAGGTTTAGGCTTCCACTTCTTCCTGCCCCATACTCCAGGTACCGTCGGTAGCATATACGGAGTTTCCGAAAATAGGGGACCCTAATATAGCACCGTAAATAGTATAGGATCCTTATTATAGGGACCCCAACATGAGGGACCCCTAACTTTCGGAAACTGCCACATACCCTAAACCCTAAACCCGTAAACCCTAAACCCTAAACGTCTTAAGGCCCCCAAGACCGCTGAAGATCCTGGAGATCGGGCAAGAGGACCCCACCTCGAGGGTTCCTTGAAGTGAGAAACTTTAAACCTCCAAGGCTAAAAGGAGGGACCCTTAATGGGGACCCCTACCCTATAATGGGCTATACAATGGGTATATAACAGCTATATTAAGGGTATATACCTAGGGGTCCTTATTAAGGCTCCCTCCTTGTACCTTTGGAGAACCCTCGACCGGTAGACCTTAAACTCTAAACCGATATCCGTGTTCTTGCCTGCTTAGAGGATCATGGGACATAGTATCCAAGGGTAAAAGGAGGGACCCTTAATAAGGACCCCTAGGTATATACCCTTAATACAGCTATCATCCATTCTAGGGTAGGGGTCCCCATTGAGGGTCCCCCCTGTTCCCCTTGGATAGTAAGTAGGTTATAAACCGGGCTAAGAAGTCCCCTAAATGGGGGTATCCTAACTACGGTTGATGATGCACATCCTGCATTACCCATAGTAAGGAATATACCAGAACTCCCATGGTTTAGGGCCCTTAAGGCAATGCAGGATTTATATCATCAACAGTATAACCTACGTATAACCTTACTTACTAAGTCCCATGAGCCTTTACGTGGTCTCTGGCACCGGGCTTCGGGCTAGAAGGTTGAAGAGGGCACTGCCAGCGGTGCTCTCGGCAGCGATGCAGTAATCCGGCGGGACATTGATGTTCTCCAACCTCGCTTGAGGCTCTAGGAACTCTAACGTTTAGGGTAACGGCAAAACATTCCCCTCATGATCTCTACACGCATACCGCACGCTACTTGCAGCATCCGTTTCGATAGAATGTAAAGGCATTCAGCGAAAACCGGGCGGTTGAAACCGTGACTTCATGCACAAACGCTACCATCCGCAGCTAGGACCGTCTGCAGTTGCAAAAGGTGCAACAGTAGAGGAAGCATGAACAGGAGTGGAATCGGAACAATGCAGGTGGGTCTATGTAGTATGCATGGCTTCTACGAAACACACTCCCTTCTTTGTTCTCGTGATTCGTATCATGCTGTGCAAAGCGTACATTATCAGCGAAATTACTCATATCAATCTGTCTACTCACCGATGTATTCAATTATCAGGCTGACTGTGTCAGAGACATAGACAAACAGATAGCAAGAAACTTGGGTAATGAGGAAACAGAAAAGTTAAATGTGTAGATACTGAACAGATAATGCATTGAACAGACGGATCGGAAAAAAAGAGATAATTACATGTCTGGATGGAATATAGAGGCCTTAATAATTGAAATAGGGTTTTGGGGCCCATTGTAGTACAATGATAATAGGGATCCCCAAAATACTATAAGTAAACCTGAGAACGCAGATAGATCAACGGTTAGGCCATGCTCGCCAGTCGCTTGTGATGCTTTAGCCTACCCTTGGCTAGTAGGGAATGGAAGAATGGCTATAATTGTACCCCATTCCTCCATTCCCTACTAACCAAAGGTAAGTTAGATAAGCTAGCTTTTGAGGAAATGCGGAATGGTGAACATGCAGTGTTTGCAGGATCGACACGGGTCCCATTCGCGGGTGTCTGTGTTTCGATACAGATCCCCGACTAGCCGGGACCCCCTAAAGTAGAAGCGCCTAGCGTTTTGAACAATTCACTACGGTTAGGTTTGCATTCCAAAGGTTGCACCGAGCATGTAATCACGACCTTTTCTGATATTGAAAATCCTACACTCAAGTTCGGGGCGCTGGGCTTAGGCTTCAGGGTCTGCAGCTAGCCCTCAAGATATGTCCCTCACCCTTAGTTCTACAGTCATCTTTTCATGGCGTAGAGCTTAGAGTTGCGGGTGGGAGGTTCACGAAGCAACAGACATGAGGTACTGGCAATGTTCCGTAGACGTCGCCCTCCAGGCCATGCTTCATCACCTTGTATGAGAGCTTTGCAGGGCTATTTTGAAGGGGCATTACCGATGTTTGGGGCATCTCGAAACCTACATCCTACATAAGCTGAACAGCGGCGAACTATGCTTTTTGCTGCTCCCACCATAGGTTCTTGAATCGCCATGAACATCCGGACATATCCGACCACCAAAACCACCTCCTCAATAGCCTACCTGCAATCGCGGCATAGTCCACCTCTCGAGTGTGAAGATAGGCTACGAAATCATGCACCCTGGGTCCTATCATGACACGAAGCAGCAGCACTGCGAGGTGACACGCAGCAAACCAGCGAGAGAAGCTCTCTGTGACTGTGTATTCTGAACACGATGCGAATGCCAAAATAGCTGAGCTTTTCCTGAATACATCTCCGGAGGTACACGAGTCTGGATTCGTCTGGTCGCCGCTCGTCCGGTTGCGGCGGGTTGGGATGGCGACCGGCTCCGATGCCACTCCCCTCCCTCCGGGAGCAACTGCTCTGATCCAGAGCCGATGCCCTGCGTGCGGCCATAGTTCTGCACTCCTTGTCCAGGCCCCTTTGCCGCTTTCTGGGCGTAGGCGCAATATGGTGCAATAAGCTCAGGAGAGGAACAGCTGCTCCGCACAACCATACGCGGGTCGAGTGGAGTTCGAATCACAATCCCTAAACCCCGAAATCCAGAGCAACACTTCAACCGTAAACCCTAAATCCTGAACTCTTGGCCCGCACTACAAAATAAGACTGTTCTGGATCGCTGAGGCCACCACCCAGTTTCGCACCTGCACAAAGGATGAGCTGCTCAGGGCGTAGGGCTGAGTATGACAAGTATTTCTAAGGTTGTTATGGTAACTACGGCATGCAGCGGCTGTTGATGCTGTAAGTGCTGTCGCGAGTGTTGCTGTTGTTGGTCATGATGGTGTTGGTCGTGATGATGATGATGATGATGACGAGTAGGAAGTCGTCGTCGTGGTCTTCGCAGGCGTCGTGGTCGCGGTTGCGGTAGTCGTGGTCGGTCGTGGTTGTCGTGGTCGTGCACATGGTCGCGGTCGAGGTCAAGGTCGCGATCGTCGCCGCCGTCGTCGTCGTCGCGGTCGTCGTCCTCGGTCGTGGTCCTCGGTCGTGGTCGTGGTCATTGTCTTGGTCGTGGAAGTGGTCGCGGTCGTTGTTGTCGTCACCCTCATGGTCGTCGTCGTCGTTGTTGTCGTGGTCGTGGTGGTCGTGGCAGTCCTAGTCGTCCTGCTAGTGGAGCTGTTGCTGGTGCTGCCAGTGCCTGCTAAACCCAAACCTGAACTCTCAAATCTAAAGCCACTACACCCTAAACCACTCAACCCCGAAGGATCACATGCCAGACCCGGCAGACACTATTCCACCAAACCAACACACCCCTGAACCCTAAACGCCTTACGACCCCGGAGCCACCAAACCTTGAACTTCCTGAACCCAAAGAACCATGACAACACCAAGAAGGAACGTCCTCTTAGACCTGGTAATTTTCACCTGCACCGCCTCAGGGGAACTAAACTCAACACCAACAGGGTCTACCTTGGGTTTAGGGTTTTAGGGTTTGGGGTTTACGGTTTACGGGGGGAGTTGGGTTCGGGATTAACTCTAAATCGGGGTCAGATCGTTAGAATATGCCCTGAACTCAGGATCTATCCTCTTCCCTGAAAAAGGGTTGAAGCCTTCAACCCAGGGCTCGCGACCGAAATCATCAGCCCCCAGGCCGCCTTAGCCTACAACCAATCTAGATGTCCGAGCCCTTTAGGGTTTAGGGTTAAGGGGTTTAGGAGTTTAGGGTTTAGGGTGAAGGGTTAAGGGTTTAGGGTTTAGGGTTTAGGGTTTAGGGCAATTCAGACGAGGGTTGTTGTTTGAGGACCTTTTTCCAGCTGCAGTACAGCTGGAGAGCTCCAATGGAGCAGGCAACTAAGCTTCAGACAAGGGTTTAGGATCTAGGGTTTGCAGTTGGCGAGTCCGTGAGCAAACCAGTAGGGTTTAGGGTTTAGAGTTTAGGGTTTAGGGTTTAGGATTTAGTAGTGGCTGGAGATGGCTTGAATTCAACGGTTCGGGGCTTGAGGCATAGCGGGCATTAGCGGTTTGAGGTTTGCATTCACACTGCAAGCGGTTTTGCGCCGTGCACTGATACCGAGCCGTGGCTTGAGACATGTGCGCCAGCATCCATGCCGAAGGATTGAAAACCGCTTTGACCGACGCAATCGAGCTGGTCGCCATCTTGAAATTGATGAGATCCTCTCTGCGACGGTTCCTTTTAATAACTAATAAGGGTACTGTAGGGTTCTATAATAGGGTTCCTTAAAGGGATCTATAGGGGTTCTATAATAATGGGGATCATGGGACTTAGTACGTATGGTTATAAGTACCTTAGTTGGGAATTATGCTATGCCCACAGAGCCGCTTATATAGCCTAAACTCTGAAGCCACACCCCAAACCGACCCCACAAAACCCTGTAGTCCAACCTCCTAAACCCTGTAACCTCATAGTCCTAATGAAACCCTCAAGCCACCACAACCCTAGATCTTAAAAACTTCACCCCCGAATCCTAAACCCAACACCCCCAAAACCCTATAGTGAACCCCAGAAAGTTGGAACATGGATTTAGGATGATTCATGCTGGGATTCCCTATACTTTGCTGTAAGGGCATGAGGCTACTGATGTTCCAACTTTCTGGCTTCTACTGTAAATCCTAGCAAACATGGTTTGGAGCGACCTCGCTCAAGGCGCTCCGCTGCGGTCGAGGCATGGTGTTCTCGATCTTACCAGTGAGCTGAGTCACCTGGTGGGTCAGTGGGCTTAGGGTTTAGGGTTCAGGGCTCCTTTTAAAGGGGTCTGAAAGTGTTAGTGTAGGGGCTCAGTATAGAATAGGATTTTGGTGTATATTATACGACAATTGTACTAAGGAATCCCCCAAAAATAGTATAGGAGCTTAAAGCCATACTAGTAGGGGTTTTGGGCTTTACTTTGAGGGTTTAGGGTGCTCGTGGGTTTGTCGGGTTTTTAGGGCTCAGGGTTTAAGATTCTGGCTTTCAGGCTTGGAGGTTCAGTGTCTAAGGGCTTAGCTATCGGGCAAAAAATTTAAGAGTCTGGGTCAACGGGCTATTGTGCTGAACCTGTTGACCCTCGGAACGTCACATTTTGGTAGATAGCGTCACATTGCAGAAATATGGAGTCCCAGTATGGGGTTTCGGATTGGTGCCGAATTTAGAACTGTACGGCTGGGATGACAGGCTGGTATGGCTAGGTGGTATCGATTGTGCAGCGAACTGCCTCCCTCGTGAGTTGTGCTGGTTCGTTCTTTTCGGTAGGGTTACCGAGTTGGTGGTGAGGGTGTAGGTTTGTTCAGTTCGGGTTTTAGGGTTTAGGGCTTTCGGTTGAGGGTTGATGTTCTTTGGTTTGGAGTTGCTCTTTGCCTCTTCGTTTAGAGATTCTGGTTCCAGGCAGTTCATTAGAGGCTTCGGCTCCGCTTGTTGGGATTTAGGGTTTAATCTTAGTTGCTGAATTCATAAGCCCCAAAATACACTTTCAGTTATATATTGAATAAGATTATGCCAAAAAGTGTCAAGTGTATCCACTCAGCTACTACGTAGTTAGGGGGTTGGTTTCGGGCGTCAGGGCCCTGAGAGGGATATCAGCAGCTACCCAGAGACTCCAATATCCCTTAACTAGGGAATATACCCTAAATCATATTAGGGATCCTACTATAATCAAAGGTATATTCCTTAATGCATGGATATTAGAACCTAAACCCTAAACCCTATAGATCCCTTAAGATCCCTTTAATTTCAGCAACCCTAGGTATTCCTTAATTAAGGGCTATTGGAGTCTCTGGGTAAGCTCGACACTCGAAACCCCTGGACTGACTCAAGCATCGGACCAAGCAAGCCTACCAGGGTTCCTTTAAGGGTCCCTTTAAAGGGATCTATAGGGATTCTATAAGGGTATAGGGTTTAGGGCTTACTTGGAGGTTCAGGGGTAGTTATAAGTAGGGTTATATAGGGTTACAAGCCCCCGAGTATGGGTTATAAGTATAGCTACCCTACTTATCACCCTACTTATAAATAGCCAGGCACCTCCAAGTAAACCCTAAACCACATGCTCCACCCCAAACTCGTTAGGGTTTAGGGTTTAGAGTTTAGCCCTACATGCCCGGTGCTCCGGCGCCTGGCGTTCTCCCTCTTCCTTCTCCTTTGTGCGCTTGTCGCGCTCCTGTGCCAAGCGGTGGCATCAGGCGATTTGGGGTTGGGGGTAGGGACTGTAAAGATGGTTTATTGTGTCTCAACCTCACCCGTGATGAGCCCTCACACTTATTCCGAGCACTAAGGTTCTAGGGCTTTGGCTTCGGAATTCGAAGGTTTTGGATGATCTTGAAGCCCCAAGTGTAGGTTCAACATCTGGCGTTGACGGGTTGAGGTTACATGTACTGTAGGCTTTGTTGCAGAGATTTGCTTGAACCACAGTTAGAAAAAATGGCCCGCTGGGCCATAGCTCCAGCTGCAGTTGTGGCAGCATGCTTATCTTTTTTCGAAGCCCCCCTGTTGCAGCAGATTGTTTAAGCTACCCGTACAATGATAAGCATGGATACACTAAACCCAAAACTTTAAACTTTAATTACTTGGCTCCTGGATCAGGGCCCTCCGCTTCTCAGCCCAGCCGTCCGCACGGTCCGAAACCTGGCGAAGCTCCTTAGCCAATGAACGGCTGCAAAGACTTCGCTGGGGTTCGGGGGCTCTACTCTATTGTTGAAGCCTTGAGGACTACAAAGACAGAAACGAAAGAACATAAGAGTCTTAATCCGTGGAAGGTGTCGTCGTGACTTCAACAGTTACAGCGACTTCCGTGCTTCTACGAAAGGGCCGCAGCCCTGAATCCCGAAGACTAAACCAACCCAGAACAACAGACCAACTGCTGGCACCACCGTCCGCATCAGTGGCAGCACAAGCCCTTCTACTGTGTTCTTGAAGTAGGGTTTAGGGCATAAGAGTTCTGCGTAGATCATCATGGCTATGGCTACTATGTGTCTAGTTGTAGACGCAGACGCAAGAACCATCACGGCATTCCGTACTTGTGCGCCCCTGCAGAAACAGACAGGGAGAGTCCCCAGAGACTCCAATATCCCTTAATTAAGGAATATACCTTAAATTATAGTAGGATCCCTCATATGATTTAAGGTATATTCCCTAATTAAGGGATATTGGAGTCTCTGGGTCCTCACCTGATAGCCCTCCGCGGCTTCTAAGGCGGAGAGGCTCGGCAGCCCCGCTTCCGGAAGCTGGAAGGAACCTGACCCCCCCAAACCAACCCTAAAGATCCTAAACCCTAAACCCTGAACCCTAAATCCTGAACCCTAAACCCTAAACCCTGAACCCTAAACCCTAAAGATCCTAAACCCTAAAGCCTGAACCCTAAATCCTGAACCCTAAACCCTAAACCCTGAACCCTAAACCCTAAAGATCCTAAACCCTGAACCCTAAACCCTAAACCCTAAACCCTAAACCCTGAACCCTAAACCCTAAACCCTAAAGATCAAACCCTAAACCCTAAACCAACCTGAAATCGTCCGCCCTCGACCCTTCGACATTCCACCCTCGAGCCTCGGACTCTGTGCCTTTCAAAGCCCCTGAGCGGCGGACTTGGGCGATCTTGTTGTTCAGATCCTGTGAACTTCTGCTGGGTGTCAAAGTTTGCCCAGCATCTACTGTAGCGGCCTTAACAGCTGGCATAGGGTTTTGGGGTATACTATACTTTCACGATAATGAGGAAGCCCCGAAATAGTATTCGTAGCTTTTGAGGCCGCCATATTACATGGATTGACTTCTGTTGTCGGCCCCACCGTGCTGCGGAGTAATCGTGGGTGTTCCCGAAACCCTATAATTGTTAAGGCCCCTATAGTATCTGTCGAACACAGAGCATCCCCACGCCGCATGGCCGTCAGCTGTGCTGCCAGATGTGCTTTTGTTAAATCCTCGCCTCATGTTCCAAGATCTTCAACCCCGAACCTAAACCTCCAACATGCTCAACACCACAAGATCTCTTCTGCTTGGATGTTCAGACGAGGTACAGACCCACTATGCTGAATTACTGCACGAAGATGCGTGCTGAGTGGATCGCTGACTGACTGGCCAGCTGGCTCACCGGTTGGTTGGTTGGTTGGCTGGCTGGCTCGGTGGGTGGATGGTGCGCGTGAGTGATTTTGACTTGTCTTTCTCCCTCTCACACACACACACACGCTCTCTCTCTCTCTCTCTCTCTCTCCGTCTCTCTCTGTGTTCGTCTCTCTGGCTCTATCATCTACCCATCTCTTTCTCCCTCTGTCTCGGTTGTTCGAGCTTCATCGCTCTCTCGGTCTGTCTCTCGCTCTCTCCATTCCTCCCTGCCTCTCGCTTTCAACTCTCTACCGCAAGTAAGTCTATGTTGTCGTGGAGCTCCGGTCCTGCTCGAGGCGGATGACTTCCCCGCGGCTGGTCATGGCCTCGGCCTGCGACTTCTCGATGGCGGTCTGCAATTCGGACACAGCTGCAGCGGGATTCGGGCTTCGGGCATTGAGCTTCAAAGTGGAGCTAGACAGAGCGAGGAGAAAGAATATTCAGAATAGGGTGTTGGGGCCCCATTTTACTATAGTTACAGCTACAATATAAGGAACCCCCACAATAGCATGGGTATTCAGGCCTCTAAAGTAGGTCTTACGGGTTTAGGGCTTGGGGGTTTGCAGCTTCGGGTCTGTGGCGGAGGGCTCCACCTGACAATCATCGGACCCCTCAGTCACAGGATTTCCAGTGCTGAGCTGGTGATCCCTACGTGACCCAATATCCCGGAGGGTCGATTTATACTACCATTATATATGATATCATTATGGAATTAGGTCCCCAAAACCACGAAAAACGGACGGTCTGTTGAGGCCTAATTCCATAAAAGCAGTGTATATCGTATATGGACCCTCTGGGTATTGGGTCAATGCATAATGATTAGTGACAGATGTCCGTGAATAACTACAGGCGCCTGATAATTAACAATACTCGCCCTTCGGGTGCCTTGGCATAGATTACTTGCATAACTATTACTGCCCCCATATTACTCTTGAAACGGAACCGGGTTTCAGACTCAACACCGAAACCGTGGGCAACTCCAAACCGGAAAGAAATCCTGTCAAAGTCCCGACGCAACAGGAACCCTCTCGGACCCGAGACATGATTGCCTGACAAGGGGTCTTTGCATGGCTTACATGACATGAACTCATCTCGACACGATGGTGTCGTCCTTGCCAATAGCCCAGAACTCCAATCCCTACATGGGAGTTTCCGTAAATAGGGGACCCTAATATAGTACCCTAAATAGTAGGATCCTTATTATAAGGACCCCCAAAATCAGGTACCCCTGTTTTCGGAAACCCCCACATGATGAACCCTGAACTGGACAAGTGACGGCTCTTGACCGCCGACCATCAACCCTTCAAAGGGGAAAAGGAGGGACCCTTCATGGGGACCCTTACCCTATAATGGGCTATATAATGGGTATATAATGGCTATATTATGGGTATATACCTAAGGGTCCTTATTAGGGGTCCCTCCTTTTACCCTTTGAACCCTCTGAACCCGAGAAGCTGAGCCCTAAACCCCCTGGACGCTAAGGTTGAAACGTGATCCCTAAACTTTCTGCCATCTCTACTTGGAGGGTCCTTATCATAAGGATCCTACTATTTAGGTTACTAGATTAGGGTCCCATATTTTCGTAAACTCCCATAAGGTTCATGGGTAGTTATACGTGGGGTTGTAGGTCCCTTGATAAGGGATATAACTACTCATATCCCCACTCATAACCAACCTAAACCCTAAACCCTAAACCTTAAACCCTGTTGAACCCTTAAAGGAAGCCTAAACCTTTTTATACTCCACTTGAAACAAACTATGAACCTCCAAGTAGAGCACGAAAACTGACCTGGCCTGGGCTTCGTAGGCTGCGTTCCGTGCTTCGTCGAGCTCCTTGACCTGAGCTATTGCTAGTGTTTGGGTTTAGGGTTTGGGGTTCAGGGTTTAGGGTTTAAGGCTTACCTGGGGATCCAAAACCTACTGCTTTAAGAGTGGTCATGGCCTACTACTTGGTAGGGTTTGGGGCGACAGATAAAAGGTGTTGGGGCTTTTGGCTTAGGAGTTGCTGTTTTCGAGTTTAACGCCAATTTAGGGTTTCAGGGTGTGCAGTTGACTGCAAGTTTACTAGGAGGGGCTTTTAAAGCCTTTGAAAAATATTAGTAGGTAAGACCCTCTTAAGCCCAATAAGAAAAAACATAAAATGTCCCGAAGCCCTACCAAGTGTAAAGGGATTTTGGGTTTGGTGGCAGGGAGCCCTCCACTCCGACTCTACTCCTTCTCATCCCCTTAACTCTACAACCTGAACCCCAAACACTGAACCCGATAACCCTACACCCCAAACCCTGAACCCCAAATCCTGCACCCTAAAACCCTAAACCCCAAACCCTGAACCCCTAAACTCCTAAAACCCTAAAACCTGAAACCCCAAACCCCGAACCCCAAACCCTAAAAACCTGAAACCCCAAACCCCGAACCTCAAACCCTATCTAAAAAAAAGCGAAGAGGAGGAGCCTCTAGGGCTGATGCGCAGATGAAAGCTTGCAACTACAGGATTTCAGCCCGGCTCGGCGAAGGGTAGCGATCTTCCCAGAGACTCCCCATATCCCATTTTCTTAAGGAGTATTCCGGAAAACACGTTAGGGAGCCTACTAGAGTTTAGTGAAAATTCCTTCATTAAGGGATGTAGGAGTCTTTGGGCTCAAGAACCCACAGCATCAACCCCGCCTTCCTATCCGCCCTGGCCCTAAAATCCCGAACCCCAAACCCCAACCACCAAAGAACAAAACATCCCTAAACGTAAGAGCCCAAAACCTCCCAAGCCCTGAGCCAAACCTCAGAGCCAACCAGAAACACCAAAGCCCAACCATTAGCCTTAAAACCCCTGAACCCTAAACCTCAAAACCCCAAACCTTAAAACCTAACCTAAACCCTAAACCCCTAATTAAACCCCTAAACCCCTTCTAAACCCCTAAAATCCTAAAACATTAAACCCTAAACCTTAAAACCTTGAGCCTCCGAGACTGCGGCTGCACGGTTACGCCGTGTGGTGCGGCTAGCGATCTCGTCGCGCAGAGCCTCTCCGAGGACCGGTGAAGAAGACCGAAACAGGGTCCAAGGGTTTTGAACGGTTTGAGGTTTAGGGTTTAGGAGTTAGTTGTTTAGGGTTTAGGGCTTTAGGGGTTTAAAGTTTTGGGGTTTAGGGGGTCTAGGGGTTTGGGAAGTTTAGGATATAATGCAGGTTTAGGGTTTTAGGGTTTAGGGTCAAGGGCAACATTTAGGACTTCAGGGCTGTTAGGCGTCAGGATGTCGCGCAAGCTTCACGTCCAAGGGGTTGAGTGTTATGGGAGTACCAATCTACTGTCTTTAGGGGATCCAGAGTTTAGGATTCAGTGCTAGTTCAGGGAATTGAGAGTTTATGATTTAGTGCAGGTTTAAGGCTTGTAGATGTTAATGCGAATTTAGCGGGTTGAGAGTTTCGAAGTCAGGGCAAGTTTAGGGTTTCAGGGTTCAAGCAAACCACGATCCGAAATCCTGTGCCCTGAACCCCTAAACCTCCGAAACGACACCGTAGGGGTGAATGGCGCCTTGTTGCGCTGAGTGACGGAGCTGTACTGAGCCCCGCGACCTGCTCCATTGCAAGGTACCACAAGGTGTCATTGCATTTTTTGCGAGGGCTTTGTAGAATTTCATGGTGTTTTGCAGGGATTCCACAAGGATTGTATGTAGGTTCTGTGAGGTTCACCAGGCTTTGAGGGTAAGGAGCCCAGGAAACAAGCCCGTGAAACATCCTGAACGACTATGATCTTGCGAATCTCCCAGACTACTTGGAGGATCATGGGACTTAGTAAAGGTTATATGTACCTTCATTGGTGTTATAAGCAGTTATAAGCATAGTCTAACCTTAGTTACTAAGTCCCATGATCCTTTAAGTGCTCCGGGTAAAGCTTTCGAGTTGAGCATGGCTCCAGGCTTATATGGGTAGCTGTCAACATTAGCGTCCCTTTTTGGGTACCCTGAATATTAGGTGCTGTATTATAGTAATGCGCCAAAAAAAGGACCTAATTTTGACAACCACCCATATAATATTTGAGGGCTTGGGGATTAGGGGGAGCCTTGCTTTGGGGAGTTGGGGGGGGGGGTCCTCAGCTCTTGTAGGTCTAAGTAGATCCCCCAAGCCCTGATGGAACGGCCTCTTCAAGGTTCCTTCCCACATGACCCTGGATAAAGCTTCCCCGGTGTTCCGGTAATTCCATGGGTAAACTGGAGGTTAGCCTTCGGGCCTTCGGGAGCTTGTAGGGGCAAAACAAAAAAAGCAAACAATGCTTACTTACTTATACCTACTTTACGACCAAGGGTTGTTGAACTGGACTCCTGTAGGCCTCGAATAATGTAGGAACCTGATTAAGAAACCTTGGGCCTTTATTAGGGTTCCTTTAGAGGGGTCTATAAGGGTTACTATAAGGGATCTATAAGGGTACTATAATAATGTAGGAACCTGATTAAGAAAACTTGGGCCTTTATTAGGGTTCCTCATATGGAACCTACTATTTTGAGGTTATAGGCTCAGGGTTTCTGAATCAGGTTCTGACATTATACACTCTATAGCTGCTTCGCTTTTTACATGAGCAGTAGCTTCTGACTCTGGCTGATCAACACATCCACACGGTCGCGGACTATCTGCGCCGCCTGGGCTTATGGGGTTACGAGCTTCGGAGGAGGGTCCGAGCACGTACTCGGCATACCAGCAGTGAGCATTTGGTACACAAGGTTCCGGGGTTACCCATACTGAATACGATGATAAGCGTCTCCAACCAAGTCAGCCTAGCTAGTTCGAATTCGCCAAACCCCGAAACCCTTACACCCGAAGCTGAAACCCTAAACCCTAAACCCTGAGCTGAAACGTAGTCCTCGAGGCTGCGGCGGCAAGCGGGCTTCATCATTAAGAAACTACTTGCGCGTGTGGGCACCGGCATCGACGATGACGAGTGTGGTTGAAAAACGTTCACAGTTCAACGCTTTTGGATCTAAGAGTTCTGGAGAAGGGTTGCAAGTTTAGGGATAAGCGTTTAGAGTGCAGGATCATGAACCCATCATCCATTTTTTGGGCTGAAGGTACTCATTTTGGGTGCTTTGGCTGCTGGTTTTTCAGGGCTTCTACGGCGTTAAAGCATGGATCGGGGTTGAGGGTTTGGGGGACGTGCAACGATGCTCCCGAGGCCTTGTTTCGCGAAGAGCTGGCCTCTCTGAGCCTCGGCGACATCGGAGGGTGAGTTGAAGCTGCCGGGTTTGAAGAATCTCTTTAACTAAGGAATATACCTCAACATATAGCAGGATCAGTCATCTGATTTGAGGGTATATTCCTTAGATAAGGGATGTTGGAGTCTGTGGCTTTGAAGACTCTCTTGCGCCACGGTTTAGGGTCAAAGGTTCGGGGTTTGCGGGTTTCGGGTTAAGGCTTCGGGGTTGGGGCTTGAGGCGTCCACGACGCCAACGGCGTTTTGGCTTCGTCCGATGATAAGCTGTGGGTAAGTAGTCTCGCCGACCAACAGCTAGGCTAGGCCCCTGAACCCTAAACCCTGAACCCGAAACCCTAAACCTCAAGTCTTGCGGCCTTCCACCCCAACACCGTGCACCTTGAAGCCTTTCAACACAGTGGGTCGAGGCCCTCCGCCCCATTATTATTGTTCCGCTCCAAACCCTCACAGGCGGTGCAGGAAACGTGCTATTCTCAACAAGCCGGGTTGAAGCTTCGAAGCATGTAATCTGGGAATCTAGGGGTATGAAGCATTCGTAATCATATATTCCATCCTAATTATGAAGGCTACTACATTAGCCCCCGACCTTGAAAAGAAAGTTGACCCTAAACCCTAAGCCCCTAAACCCTAAACCCCTAAACCCTAAAACCCTAAACCCTAAACCTTAAGTGACCGCGAAGCCCTTCTTTGTCAATCACTCAGCAGCCCCCGAGCCGATATCAACATCTTGCCCAGAGACGCCGATATCCCTTAACTAAGGAATACCTAGGCTTCCTGTAAGGGATCTACAATCTATAAGGGATCTATTGGGTTTAGGGTTCAGACTCCAATATCCCTTAACGAAGGAAGATACCTCAAAATATACCAGGATCAGTCATTTGATTTAAGGGTATACTCCTCAGTTAAGGGATGTTGGAGTCTCTGGGTGCCTGAAACTGAATCCGCACCGTAGCCGGCGTAGCCCGGAAAAGTTGCCTTTTTGCTTGGAGGATCATGAGACTTCGTAAGTATGGTTATAGGTACCTTAACTGGGATTATAAGTAGCAATAAGTATAGTTACCCTAACAAAAACCTTAGTTACTAAGTCCCATAATCCTTTTAAGTACGAAACCACAAGGAAGTCTTAATAAGGAGCAATGAATGTGCAGGCCTTTTAAGTGCCCAGGTCGGGTTGACAAATCCCAATCACAGCCTGACGGTTCTCCATGGTTCTCACACGAATGTAGGCACCTCCTGATTAAGAAAGCTTGGGCCTTCATTGGGTTTTTAATATGGTTCCTAATATATTGTGGTTATAGGGCCAGGGTTTGTTAATCAGGTTCCTACGTCAGCATCTCGCAAGGACTCATTCAAGTGGGCCATCTCAGTTGTGAGCCCGAAAGCTTGTAGGCTAGTTATAGGGTTTTAGGATGTATGCATAGGGCAATCCTCTTTCAAACGCCGTGGGCGCACCTCACAAACCTGCTTCTTCTGGAGGAAACCAGCACGCCTGCTCAGAAGACAACTGTCTGGTTCTTACTAGAAAAATGGGGGATGGATATTGGGGGGATATTATCGGGGCTACTATAGGGATCCATTCCGCCATTCCTTACTAAGTACCAGACAGACAATGGTTCTTGGGCCACTTCTTGGATTCCAACCTCTAGCCCCTGGTTTTGGCGGCCCGTTGTTGTAAGAAACAAGCATGGAGATAGGCACCGTACGGTTTAGAGTTTAAGGCTTAGGGTGTAGAGTTCAGGGTTTAGACCGCGACTTGTAAAAACTCCATGTGCGCTGCAGTCAAATACTACACAAGTCAGCATGTACCATACTCCTCTTTTCCCTTAGAAGGTTTCCAGTCGAAAACAATTACTTTCGGGGGGCGCGATCCAGATCCCTTCACAAAAGGGAAGAACCTTAAGAAAGCCGAAACACCCAACGGCTACCCCTACCAGAGTCGCGGAGATCACGGAGATCAAAGCTCAAGAGGAGGCTAACGGATTGCGTCCATCCCGTTTCCTAGACAGCTGAAGGTTGAAGGCTTGTAAATTACGAAACACGAGAAAAAAGTGTCGCACTCTAGCGGTCCCAAAATAAAGGCCGCATGCACACTCTAATTTGCACCTCGCCAAACCATCCATGTGAAGCCCTCGACTCTCTCCCGAACTGTTGAAAAAGCACCATGAGGCCCTAAACCCGTCAACCCTATGTGACCCACAGATCAACGTCTAGCAGACCTTGCCATCTACGCCCCAGGCAGGATTGCCAAATTATGCCTCTGGCCCCATAGCAGAACAAGTTGCAAGCTTCTGAACCTGACCTTGCCGTAAGCCCTGAATTCAACGCATGACAAGAATGACAAACAGTAATATCCTCATATCAATAGTCAGACTCATACTCATAACAACAAATACTTAACAAGCAAGGTTGACGACATGATAAGGGTGACCATCATCAACTTCATCAGCATCGCCACCATCGTCATGATAATGACAACCATCCCAATAAACATCGTAGTCCTTTCGTAGTCCGTTTCATGATAGCAACCGTAACCATACCCTTAAAAGCGATAACAATAACACGAGTAATAACACCTACTCATGCTGATAATAACAAGAATATGGGAGTTTCCGAAAATAGGGGACCCTATATAGTGCGCTAAATGGTAGGATCCTTATCATAAGGACCCCCAAAACAAGGTACCCCTAATTTTCGGAAACTCCCAAGCCCTAAACCCTAAACCCTATACCGAACCCTTATAGATCCCTTTAAGGAACCCTTAAAGGATCCCTTTATAAAAACCCTAAACCCTATATGGAACCCTTATAGATCCCTTTAAGGAACCCTTAAAGGATCCCTTCATAGACAAAATGCAACAACGATGAGGGCCTCTCGCTCTCCTGCTCAAGGGCCGGCCTGGGAGCGGAACGGTGAATGATATAAATCCTAGGGCTCCTTTAAAGGGATCTATAAGGGGTACCTTTAAGGGGTTCCTTTAAGGGATCTATAGGGCTTTTAGGGTTTAGGGTTTAGGGTCCAGGTTGATGGTACCTTAAGGACCCTAAACTATGAGAATTATAGTATAGTCCTTATTATGGGCAATGCAGGATTTATATCATCAACCGAAGCTATCGAGGCATCAGCGCCCGGGTTTCCCGAAGGATTTTGGGTCTACCCTAAGGCTCCAAAGTAGTTCCTTTTTGGGGCTCATATTTAGAATCCTATAAGGTAATCCCAAAAAGGAACTACTATAGAGCCTCTCTCGTCTTCCGAGGAGGAGCTGCTACTGGAGGGCTCACCAGCTGGACCTTGTGGGGCCGCTGCAGTCTGCCTTTTCTCCTGGCCTTTCCTCCTAGCTTCTGCTCCGGCACGGGCTGCTGCCAAGAACCCCGGAGTGGGTCCCGCCTTAGCTTTGGCCTTTGCCTGCGGTTCCTCTTCTTCCGTACTGTAGTACGAGTACTCCTGCTCCTCATCAGGAGCTTCAGCGTTAGCAGGAGCCGCCATGGCCGCAGCCGGCCTTTTGCGCCATTAAAACCGCTACTGCATGTGCTTGTCGTCTATGTGGGGGGTTTGGGGGGCTTCAGGTGGATGTAGGGTTTAGGGCTTGGGGCCTGGGGTTTAAGGTCTACATAGGGCTTCGGGTGCGTTTAGGGCTTCAAGGATGACAGGAGGGTTTAGGGCACAGAGCTCTGGGCCCTAGGGCCGAGGTTTCCAGGATTTTAGGGTTTTGGGGCTCTAGGGGTTTAGGGTTGAGGGTTTTAGGGTTTAGGGTTTAGGGTTTGGGGTTTAGGGTAGTTAGGGTTTAAGGGTTTAGGGTTCAGGGTTTACTATCCCCTGAATACGGAGGGTGCCCTGTTTCCGATTTTCGTCCGTTTTACGAGGGAACCACCCAGACATGAACAGAGTCAAAGGGCACTACTGGGGCACCTAATATAGATAATTAGCATAGGGTTTGGGGCTTGAAGCGGACATTCGTCTGAGGCCAACAAAGCTTCAGATAGGGTTTGCGGGTACATTGTACTATAATTCCAATATGGAAACCCCTAAACCGCTATTCCAATTGTTAAGGCCCCTACATTATAGTAGCCTTAGAGATCCCTTGTAGTAACCCCTATAGACCCCTTTAAGGGAACCCGAATCTAGCTATACTTATTAAGGCCCTAGATTAGCCTTGAAGAGTGCAGCTCCGGGCTCCGAGGGTGAATGGCTTCTAGGGTTTAGGGTTTAGGGTTTAGGGTTAAGGTTTAGGGTTTAGGGTTTAGGGTTTAGGGTTAAGGTTTAGGGTTTAGGGTTTAGGGTTTAGGGTTTAGGGTTTTAGGGCTTCGGTTGCAGCTTGCGGGTTGCCGGGTTTGGGATCCTAGGCTCTTGGTTGTTCTACGGGCGTCGGTGCTTAGATTTTCTTTGCTGTTAGGATCTGAGTTTTTTATGGCTTCGGGTTTTGGAGCTGGACCTTTGGGGCTTGGGGAGCTTAACCCTGCAGTTTCGACTTCCTTATAGTGACTCCCTCACACAGTTCCTTGAAGAGGTAGGTTTTTTGGCGGCTCAGGTTGCGTTAAATACGGTGGTCAGCAATTCGTCGCGAAGCGAAAGATGTGAATTTGTGTGTGTGTGTGTGTGTGTGTGATCTCGCTGGGCTGCTCGGATGTTGCGTATCTTAGTCGGCATTTTAAATCAAAGGTTTTGGGCTTTGTTAGGGGCTGTGAATCGGAGAGTCTAAGCCATGCACTTCTTGTTTGACAGCGTGTCGGTGATCTCCTTGCATTCCTTGTGAATGCGCTTCGCCTGCAGCAGCGTGGCAGTGTCTTGGGATCCGATCACAGCTAGACCCTAACCTCTAAATAGATCCCTTAAAGGGATCCCAAAGCCTTACTAAGTGCCATGTTCCTCCCGCGGAAGGAGAGCAGCCTCGCCATCGTTTTTGAGAAGCTTACGGATTAAGGGAGGTTTGGGATTTGGCGACCACCAAGCCTCAAGAGACAAGCCCCTGCTACTTGAGTCCGAAAGATCCCCAAACTCTGAACCCTGGAACCCGGCAAAACCCTCAACCCTAAATGCTGACCCTAAACCTCTTATAGAAATCTTTTAACGTTTAGGCTTAATATAACAGCTTTATTCGGGGCATGTTCTACTGAAGACATAATAGCGATCCCCTAAAAAAGTATAGCAAATTATTAAGGCCCCAGATTAACCCGAAATCCTGCCCTAAAGCTTTAAACCCGAAGCCCTAAACCCTAATCCCTAAACCCTAAGCCCTAATGCCTCGGCATCTAAATCCTTCCGCGACTTCGCGGCATCCCGCGCACGCTTCTCCTCGTCATCGAGGTCGAGCCTGGCAAACGAGCTCGTGTAGTGGAGGGGCCTTAATAGTTTGAACAGGGCTCCCTTTAAAGAGGTCCGTAGAGGGTTCCATAAGGGTTACCATACGGGTATAATATAGCGGCCTTAATAATTAAAATAGGGTTCCCTTTAAAGGGGTCCGTAGAGGGTTCCATAATGGTTACCATAAAAGTATAATAGAGGGGCGTTAACAATTAGAACAGGGCTCCCTTTGAAGGGGTCCGCAAAGGGTTCTGTAAGGGATCTATCAGGGTACTAGAATGTAGGGGCCTTAATTATTAGAAAAGGGCTCCCTTTAAAGGGGTCCGTAAAGGGTTCTACAAGGGATCTATCAGGATACTAGAATGTAGGGGCCTTAATAATTAGAACAGGGGTCCCTGTAAAGGGGCCTATAAGGGTTACCATAAGAGATCTACAAGGGTGCATGTAGGGGCCTTGATAATTAGAATAGGGTTGTGGGGCCCAGTATACTTTAGCTATGATAAGGAACCCCCTAGATAGTCTAGGTAAAAAAAATAGGCCCCTATAGTAGAATAGTCAGGTTCAGGGTTTACTGGCTTGCTAATAAAGATCCTTCGGGTGTTACAAGGTGCGATCCCGATAAACTCCGTGTCTCAGGATACACAAGCCCCCGTTATCTTTGATACAGGCTGTAGCACATACCAGGCTATTCCAAAGGTCGATGCTGAGCCCTTGCAAGCTCGGTCCACTTCTAAACATGTGACAGTTTTGGGGATTTTGGTGAAGGGCTCAGGGTTTCCCCAGAGACATTGGACCCGAACCCTAATCCCAGCCCTGAACCTTCGTCTCTAAGCCCGAGACGCGCAACCCTACATCCGCAAACCTAACCTTGTGATTGCTGCGCTGGAAGTGCATGTCGCGTACAGATTTAGTCGGTAGAGTTATGGCTTCCAGAGCTAGGGTTTAATGTTGATGGTCTGCGGTTTAAGGCTTAATTTCATCATTATATAAACATGCGAAACAAAGAGAGACAGAGAGAGACAGAGAGAGAGAGAGAGAGAGAGAATGAGAGAGTGAGAGAGTGAGAGAGAGAGGGAGAGAAGAGAGAGAGAGTGAGTGAGTGAGTGAGTGAGTGAGTGAGTGAGTGAGTGACTGAGTGACTGAGTGAGTGAGTGAGTGAGTGAGTGAGAGAGAGGGAGAGAAGAGAGAGACAGAAAGCAAGAACGAACGAAAGAAGGAAAGAAAGAGAGACAGAGAGAGAGAAATAGAGAGAGAGAGCGAGAGAGAGGGAGAGTGAGAGAGAGACAGAGAGACACAGCGAGACACAGAGAGACACAGACAGACACAGAGTGAAACAGAGTGAACAAACTAATGGCAAGGAACATGCGAACATCCAAACAATTGAAGGTTCCATCCTGGTGTACGGAATTCGGAAGACGAGAACCCTTGAAGTCTTCCGACTTAAGGCTTACCTCTAATTACACTAAACAAACCGACAGAGCTTTTAGCCCCAAACCTGTGAATGCCAAGCTACCCCATGCTCGGGAAGAACCAGACAGTATCCCTGACCCGCAAAAGACGCATGACCGACCCCAGTTGCGAGAACGTAATGTATGGCATCGGGATTCGGGGTCTAAGTTGGAAATGCTGAGCTAACTGCAAGAGTTTTGAGGTTTGGAGATTAATATAGGGGCCTTAATGATCAGAATAGGGTATTGGGGCCCATAATACCATATTTATAAGCAGGAGCCCCCCCAAATAGTATAGCTAATTATTAAGGCCAGAGAAACCCCAAACCCTACCTTGACCCTGAATAACTTACCTTTTATAGGGCTCCTTATTATGATTTCCTTCTATACGTCCTTAAAGAGGTAGGTTATTCCGGCTTAAGGTAGACCCTAAAGTTAAGAGATTGGAGACTAGGGCTTGAGGGCTTGGTTTTACCATGGTTTTACCCCAGCATGCAGAACGCGCCTTGCGCGGCTAAGGTCGTCCAAATGTCTGGCTCTTCGTCGTTCCGCCTGTTGGGGAGAAACTTCAGTTACCGTTAAGGTTCTTTTTTCAGGGTTTAGGGTTTAGGGACACCCAATCCTGGGCACTAGCCGCTAAGGCCCAACCCCTCGGGACAAGCTCGCTACGATCTGAACGAGTGCAATCACGAAGGCATGGGCGGCTTGCTGTCGAGGAAGTCCGGACAAGGCTGTTGAGGGTGCTTTGGCCGGGTGTCTTGCCAAGCTTTGACCCCCCTCAACCCTGGAACATTTTGGATGCTGGGTCACAACATCCTACTGCTAGGCCCCCCCACCAATAAAGACTCGAAAAGTGGCTTCACTATTAAGGGCACTTTTAACTCTAGTGCCATGTCGGGGAAAATCTTGCTCCTGTCCTGGCTCTTGCTCCTGCTCCAGCTCCTGCTGCGGCCCTTGCTGCTGCTCCTGTGCTCGTGCTCGTGCTCCTGCTCCGATCGGGGCTCTTGCTTGCTCCTGCTGCAGCTCTTGCTCGTGCTGTTCCTGCTCTTGCTCTCGCTATGGCTCTTGCTCCACTCTTGTTTCTGCTGTTTCTCTTGCTCTTGCTCCCGCCTTTGCTTCTGCATCCCCGCATTTCAATACGGGCATTCTAAGGCGGGATGATTTGAGGGGGATTTCCCGGAATGTGCTTTCACTAATAGGGGGTGTTTAACAGATTAAGACATGATTATATACGGCAAAACGCTGACAACAGACACACATACTATTGATAAGGCTACTAGGTACAATCGCACCCCCGGAGTTTCTGCAAGAAGCCCAATGACGTCAATCATCATACTGGATGCAAGGTCGCAGTTGCGACAAGACAAACGAAACACAAAATCATGTTGACACTTTTACCTTCACACCAGAAACGATTAACCCCACACACGACATGAATAAAGCAACTGCTGGTTAAATTTCCATATTCGGCACAACCTCGACCCCAACCTCCAAAGGCATCCAAAAGCGTTTTGCAGTTGGGTGCATTGATTTGAATTCTGGGCTTGGGTTTGCCGGATTGGACCTTACCGCTGTTACTCCTGCCTCCTCATGCTCTGCAGCATAACGTTGCTTTTCGCCTGAAGCCTCAGTCACTGTCTGCCGGAGCAATGTGTAAGCAGTGTTAGGGTCCGGAATGTGGGACGTAAGGCGTACCGTTCAGGGCCTGCCGTTTGGGGGGCAGCGCTTGCCCAAACCCTGTTTAAGATTCCTTGTTATGACTTCCTTGCAGAATCTTTAGGGTCCGGCGAGGTCTAAGTTTAGGATATGGCGAACGAGTGGCAAGCCGACATTGCAGTCCAATCAACTTTCGCGCGTCCCCAAACAATCAGAAATCGCCTCTCTCAAGGAACTGTGGCTGAAAATGTCGTTTGCCAGGGTTCGGCTTCGGCGTCAGACTTGCATACTTCAACAACGACACGGCAAAGTCAGGGCGAGTCATCTCACATTGTCAATTCCCGGCAATCATGCTGCATGTAGGGATGTTGTTGCTCGCAGGCCCAACGTGCTGCGCATAATTGGCGTCCAACGGTCAGAGACGATATTCAACGAAACGTGTATTGCACGACATTTCACGCGACGAAAGCAATGTCAATGCAGAACCTAGGCCTGTTGGTGAGACATCTTCCCGGTATCGCGGCGGATGTGGATTCCTTGCACTTGAAGATGACCGGATGATGGTGATGATGGCGGAAGTGACATGACAATGAGGATGACGACGACGACGATGATGAAAATGACGCGGGTAAGGATGGGAATGAGGAGGAGGATGAACATGAGGATGAGGATGAGGATGGGGATGAGGATGAGGATGATGAGGGTGATGGGGATGATGAGAAGGATGAGGAAGATCAGAATGAGGATGAGCATGAGGATGGGGATGAGGATGAGGATGATGGTGATGATGAGGATGATGATGATGATGGTGATAAAGATGATGATGACAGTGACGATGATGATGATGATGATGGTGATGATGATGGTGACGGTGATGGCGATGATATGAAGGTGATGGTGATGGAGAGGGTCATGATGAGGATGGTGATGGTGACGCTGCTACTGATGATGATGGTGGTGATGGAGAGGGTCATGATGAGGATGGTGGTTGTGACGCTGCTACTGATGATGATGGTGGTGATGGTGATGGTGATGGTGATGGCGATGGCGATGGCGATGGCGATGGCGATGGCGATGGCGATGGCGATGGCGATGGCGATGGCGATGGCGATGGCGATGGCGATGGTGGTGACGACGAAGATGACGATGATGACGAGGATGATAATGATTATGACAACGATGACGACTTCCATGCTGTCGCCCATGGCATGGTGATTGCAACGGTGACAGTCATGAGCAATGGTGACAGTGACAGAAATGGTTGTGGCGATGTCCAGTGCCACGATAGCGGGGCGGTGGTGGCGGTGGTGGCGGTGGTGGCGGTGGTGGCGGTGGTGGCGGTGGTGGCGGTGGTGCCGGTGGTGGCGGTGGTGGCAGTGGTGGCGGTGGAGGCGGAGGCGGAGGCGGAGGCGGAGGCGGAGGCGGAGGCGGAGGCGGAGGCGGAGGTGGCGGCGGAGGCGGAGGCGGAGGCGGAGGCGGTGGTGGTGGTGGTGACGCGGCGGCGGCGGTGGTGGTTCTTATGAAAATCGGGCTGCTGCGAGTTGCCCACGGCACCACCAGCCCGGCAACACGAGCACGACATGTCTCAACTGGACGAATCGAGGGCTCATATGGCTCTAGGCTTGAAAGGCTAAGGGCTCGAGGCTCGAGGGGTATACCCGCACGCTTTTTTGTTTGTGCTTTTTCGGCTCCAGACAAAGCCTGTGCTGCATAGACCATCGTGCTATGCTCGGATGGCATGATCCTTTTAGCCCTCTGTGGCTGGTGTTGCTAGCTTCTGAGTTCATGCGTACAAGTAGCCGAACTGCAGATGGATATCCACAACGAAAGCCCGAACGTGATCTGTGACTTTCGGGTCCTCCGGGCCCTGTGCTGTTTTCATTGTCAATATATGTCGATATGGTCCTACGAGGATTGTTCTGGGGGCTGATCGAATTTGTTGTGCTGACGAGCGACTGCTAAATGGGCCTTGCGCCCACACTTGAGTGCAATCGCATGGTTCTTGCCAGCACACTAGTTTGTTGCCTACATCTTGTATGATTAAGGGTTTGGTTGGGGCAGAGGCATGTCATGGACTAGTTTACTAGTACTATACTTATACTGACACTGATCATTACCATTTCGACTATTCTTACCAGTACTACTATTAGTACTATTATTACTAGTATTACCATCATTACTATGATTGCAATTATTACTGTTACTGTTACTACGATTAATACCACTCTTATTACTATCACTATAATTATTACACAACTACTGCTACTGTTAATTATTGCTGCTGCTTAGTGATTTTTATTGCTTTATTACTACTATTTGCTTAAGAACCCCCCAAAAAATAAACAATTATAATCCCTATATTATCCCTATAAGGAATATATGATATATGTTTATTTTTTGGGGGTTCTTAAGCAAATAGTAGATTATGACCTTGTGATCAAGGAGGCCGGGTTCCCTTTTGCGGAAGCTTAGGTCATTTAGGGCTCAGGTCAGGGCTCGGCACCCTAAACCCCCGAACCCTAAACCCCCAAACCCTAAACCCCTAAACCCTAAACTCCTAAACCCTAAACCCCTAGAACCTAAACACCTGAACCCTAAAACTTAAACCCCAATTAAGCCTAAACCCCAAACTAGGCTTGTGGCTTTTGGGGTCCTTGAGGTTCTGGGGTTGATAGTTTCAGAGCCCTTCACCCCAACACCTGGAAAGTTCATGTGCCCTCAGACGGTTTAGGGTTTAGGTTTGATTGAGGATGTGGGATTTCGGAGTTGGGGGGTTTAGGGTTTAGGCTTCAGGATGCTTAGACTCTAAGTTTCAGGCGAAATGGGTTGGGCATGTGGCGGAAGGGTGTGCAAGAATGAACGGGTTAGAGACGAAGCAGCGCGTAGGGGTCGCCAAACAACATGAGCTTCAGTTTCACAGACGTGCACAGTTTCGGGTTCAGGGACTGTGGTTTAAGGTAGGGTTTGGGTGCAGAAAGGAATAGGAGTACAAGTGGCGGGCCCTGTGGCCTCAACAGTACACACAGGGACCCTAAAACCCTAAACCGTAAATTCCAAACTGCTAAGCCCTAAACCCTGAACCGTCCGTAAACCCTAAACCCTAAACCCTAAACCCTAAACCCTAAACCCCTAAACCCTAAACCCTAAACCCTAAACCCCTAAACCCCTAAACCCTAAACCCTAAACCCTACACCCTAAACCCTGGGAGCCCCTGTAGTGTCCACTGCTCCAAGCATTGGGGCCGCAGCTCGCATGGCCTCCAGCGAAAGGTTTCGGTCTCGCGGTTTAGAGTGTCGGGTTTAGGGTTTAGGGGTTTAGGTTTTTTTTTAAGAGTGTGGTGGGCCTTTGGTTTAGGGTTTAGGGTTTAGGGTGTAGGGTTTAGGGTTCAGGGGTTTAGGGTTGAGGGTAGAAGGGGTAACCGCTAAGCAGGAGCAATAGTTGATGCTGCTATAAGCCCTGTTTGTGAGTAGCCAATAATAGACTCGCAAGCGGCCTGAGTAGTACCAGACAGTAGTGCCAGCTGCAACATTGGATGCACGAGTGAGAACTGTAGCTATAGTGGCAACATGATTTAAAATCATATTCAAAAGCACATAGGAATTGCAGCAATGCCCTAAGCCCGAGCCTGAGCCAAAACGAGAAAACAAGTTAAGTGTTGGTACGAGAGAGAGAGAGAGAGAGAGAGAGAGAGAGAGAGAGAGAGAGAGAGAGAGAGAGAGAGAGAGAGAGAGAGAGAGAGAGAGAGAGAGAGAGAGAGAAAGAGAGAGAGAAACAGAAAGATTAAAGAGAAAAGAGAGAAGAAGAGAGAGAGGGAGAGAGATAGCGTAGAGTAGAGAGAGCGAGGAAGAGATAGAGCGAGAGAGAGAGAAAGAGAAATAAAAACGATCGAGAGAGAGAGAGCGCTCGAGGATAGCGAGAGAGAGAGGGAGACGAGAGAGAGAGAGCGCGCGGTGATAGATGAGCTAGAGAGAGAGAGCGCTCGAGCCGATAAATACTACAGATAAGATAACACGAAGATAAAGATCGCGATATATCGCGGGATCGAGAGATAGAGTCGAGGGAGAGCGCATAGCGAGAGAGAGAGCGAGAGATGACCGATGACAGATACCGATGATATATAGAGAGATAGAGAGATATACGCGATGGCGTTATATATATCGTCGATAGAGCTCGTAGCGACAGTTCTCATAATCGACTTATCCGTTATCTCTCAGATATCTACTATTCTCTTAAATCTCTCTATCGCACTCGTATCCGGAAGAGCTACAGCGTCGGGCATCTATCGATCTCGAGGGATCGCGCATCGTCTCGCGATTCTCTCTAACTATCAACTAAAGCTATCTGATATCGATCTAGCTTACTCGATCGATATATATAGAGAGAGCGAGAGAGAGAGAAAGAGAAAGAGAAAGAGAGAGAGCGAGCGATGGAGAGAGACAGAGAGAGAGCGAGAGAGAGAGAAAGAGAAAGAGAAAGAGAGAGAGAGAGAGAGGGAGGGAGAGAGAGAGAGCGAGAGAGAGAGAAAGAGAAAGAGGAAGAGAAAGAGAAAGAGAGAGAGAGAGAGAGCGAGGGAGAGAGAGAGAGCGAGAGAGAGAGAGAGAGAGAGGGACGAGTCCGTTTGTGGGATCAAACGTTCGGAGCCCAACTGTCGCAGTTTATGCCTGCGGGTCTCTGAGGTGGAAAGTCGTTGGGTTTATTAAACGCTAGGGTCCAACTCAACATATAACCACACAATAATATAACTGGTTGTATAGTATCTTTTTGATTCGGTCTTGTTTTTCGGGTATGAGAAGTCAATGAAGAGTTGGGGTTAAAGTAAAAGCCAGAAAGTTGGAATATGATTATCCTAAACCCTTTATGGTAAATTATAAGGTATCCTACCCTGAAACCATATTCCAACTTTCTGGAGTTCCCTTTACGTTCGAAATCTGCTTTTCAGAGCCGCGGTGCGTCGCTTCAGGGCCGACGACATCCTCTGAGGCCTCAATCTCAAACCCTAGACCCAACTTGGAGGGGCAGGGGACTTAGTAAGTAGGTTATAAGTACAGTTATAAGTACACTAAATGGAGTTACCCCAATTATAGCCCTAGTTATAACATACATACTAAGTCCCCTGCCCTTCCAAGAACCTCAGACCTTTTCCGTAAACCGAAACCTGGAACTCTGAACCCTAAACCCCAAACCCTACACATCAATCCCTAAACCCTACTCCTAAACCCTCATCCCTAATCCTAGCCCTTAAACAACCACTAAAACCCCAAACCCTTAACCCCAAAGCCCTGAACCCTACACCCCAAGCCCTAAACCCTAATCCCTAATCACTAAACAGGCCCTAAATCCTAAACCCTAAACTCTACTCCCAGAACCCTAATCCGCAATCCATATAGAGGCCCTACTTAGAGGATCATGGGACTTAGTAACTAAGGTTCTTACTAGGGTAACTATACTTCTATCTACTTATATAACCCCAATTAGGTACCTATCACCTTACTTACTAAGTCTCATGACCCTCCAAGTAAAGCCCTAAAACCCTAAACCCTAAACCCCTACACCCTAAACCCCCCAAACCCTGAACCCTAAACCCCAAACCCCCAAACCCTGAACCCTAAACCCTAAGCCCTAAAACCCTGAAGCCCAGGAGAGCCTCGCCAGTCGCTTCATCCAAGCGCTGCTGCAGCCGGGACGCTTCCCGCTGGGCCTGCGAGGGATTCCCAAAGACTCCAATAGCCCTAAGCTAAGGAAGACCTAGGGGTTCCTTTAAGGAGTACCTAGGGGTTCCTTTAAGGAGTACCTAGGGGTTCCTTTAAGGAGGAGTACCTAGGGGTTCCTTTAAGGAAGACCTAGGGGTTCCTTTAAGGAGTACCTAGGGTTCCTTTAAGGGATGTATAGGGTTGAGGGTTTAGACTCCAATAGCCCTAAACTAAGGAAGGCCTAGGGTTCCTTTAAGGGATCTATAATACTGGATTCCCGGGCTCGAGGTTCAGGATCTTTGGAGTTTAGGGTTTAGGGTTTTAGAGTTTCGGGCTTAGGTTAGGATTTAGGGTTTAGGGTTTAGGTTTGGGGTTTAGGGTTTAGAGATTTCGGGCTTACGGTGTAGGGTTCATGTCCCTGGGGTTTCTGGGTTAGCTACAGAAATTTAATGTAAGCCTTGATACTTAGAACCAGGTCTCTCTGCAGGCAGCTTGGGGTTCAAGGGTTTAGGGATTTGGGAGTTTCCGAAAATTGGGGGTACCTTATTTGGGGCTCCTTATAATAAGGATCCTACTATATAGGGTACCATATTAGGGTCCCCTATTTTCGGAAACTCGAATTTGGGTTTTGTGGCATAGGACCGTGAAGTCGCGGCTCAGAGTCTAGAGGGCTTGGGGCTCAGGATCTTGGGCGTTAGGGTGCAGCACGAGGGTTGCAGGCTCAGGATTTGAGATGAAGGGCTTCGCGATTGCATGTGTGATTGCCCCTACTGTAAACCCTAAATCCGAAAACGGTCGGTATTCTCAGAATTACGAACAACCCTCTGAACCTTGTGTCCTCCTCCTCCTCCTGCCCTCGTCCTCTTCGTCCTCCTCGCCCAAGTCCTCCTCGTCGTCGTCATCGCCGGCAAGAACCATGACAACATACTCGTAGCATTTCCCAAAAGCTACTGCCTGCTGGATTGAAGGAAGCTGGCTGGACCATCACCACCCTAAACCCAAAGCCTCTATATGCGAGCCTTAGATGACTCGTCCACGAAGCTGAACAGCATATCCATGTTATAACGATCCTTGGATTTGGTACACATGATCTTCTGCCACCCCACCTCAGAACTTGAACTCTAAACGGTAAGGTCAAATACAGCTATAGGGCAAAGGTAAAGCCCTTCACCGGAAACTCTGAACGCACAAACTGGATAACAGTTTACGGTCAACTCAAGGTCTGAACTTAAGTCTAAACACAAAACCTTTCCCTGAAACCGAAGGTCTAAACTTGAGTCTAAACCCTAAACCTTTCCCCTAAAAAAAAGCCCGTGGCCCTGAACCCCGAATCCCAGAGAGCGTGTAGACCACGCGACCTTGTGAAGCTGCTCCGCGATCTCCCTCTTCTCAGCCTCAAGGTTCTCGATCTTGTCCTGTGCAAACGGGGATGCTTGGGGATGGAGGGGTTGGGGTTACAGGGAGTTTATGGAGGGGCTGTAGTGATTATAGGGGAGGTACAAGGAGTTTGAAGGGGTTTCAAGGGATACAGGAGAAGGGTATAGGGGTTTTAGAGTTTGTGGGGGTCAGAGGCCTACACGTTTCAAGTCTTGGGTTCATGGTGTAGGCTCTGCGGCTTAGGGCACTTGACGGATCTTAACAGCTAGTAACTCGGTAATAGTTGGGGCTAAGGTGTCGGTGGACATCGCAGTTCTAACTAATTAATTAAACCCAGAGACTCCAATATCCTTTGATTAAGATTATTCCTTAAACCATGTTAAGGATCTTACCATAGTTTAAGGTATATTCCTTAGTTACGGGATATTCGCGTGTTTGGGAACCTCACTTACAGCCGCATTGCCAACTCCCTGAGCTGGAAGGTTTAGGGTGCATGGTTTCTTTCTCCACAATTTGCTAAGAGCTCGATCCCGGTTGGCGGGGGTGGGCTCAGGGGCGCGAACTTCGAAACTGAGGAAACTTTAGGGGTTTTCGGGGCTTAAGGGTTCGGGTTTAGTCTTTAGGCGAAATCTCGCAGCCTGGAGAGATGCACCAAACACTTCTCAACCTGATTACCCCAAAGATCCGTACATCCTAACCTCAGCCTGGCAGCTGTACGGAGAGCTGAATTACATGCAAAAAAGGGTTTAGGCAGGCTTTAGGGTGGGCTTCGGGCGCACCCCTCCATAACTGTCTGAACCGCAATACTAAGCCATGAACGCTCTTCGAAGAACCGAATACAAAAAGATAGCATTGTGGGCGTTCAGAACCCTTACACAACCCCCCCTACAGAACCCTCTAAGATTCCTTATGACCCTAAACCCCGACATCCCAAACTCTTAACCCCTGAAGCCTGAACCACGCCACACTCGCCTGGGCTCCCTTCCAGTCCCGATCCGTTAGCTCGTACTCGAGGCATCGGCGCTGCTTCCTTTTTGAGAGCCGAGGGTAGGAGGCTTTTGGGTTTACAGATCGAGTTATCAGGGTTTGAGGCTCCGGGTTTCACAAACCCTAAACCGGAATCCCGAAGCCCTAAACCCGAAAGCCGAACACCGAAGCCCGATAACCCTGAACCCTGGCTCTATCCG